CTGCTACCAATAGGAGTGAAAATTATTAATCTTGAAGGGTTTCCTCGTGAGCCCTTTTCGCACTGAGCGCACACGAAAAAACAAACTCTTTAGCTTTATAATATTGCTATATTGGAAAGGGAGTTATAGCTAACACATACGTAGCTTTGTTTCATCGAACATGTTCGCTGGTGTCATTCATCTTAGTTCCTCAATTAAGTACGTTCAACTTAGCACTTAAACAAGTTGGCATCGTAAAAGGATGTCGGCGAATGCTCTACTGTATAGATAACTTTTAGGATATTAGCTACATTAAATTTTATATTTAGTTTAAGCTATCGATGTAACACAGTATGTCATCTTTAATAATTAGTTTCATGTTATCGCCCATGATAGCGTTATATGTATTAAAACCTGATTTTACATTGAAAATCTTTACGACACCGCCGGGACTCGAACCGGCATCCACTGTATTCCGTGCCGTTGCTCTAACCAATCTAATCAAAAGCTACCTCGTTCTACACGTCATCGTCGAAATTTTCAACTTATTGATACTGGTTACAGCAACAGCACGGAACGATGTGGCTGTCGGTTCAAGACACGCCCGTATCAAAAAACTTTTCAATGTAACATCGATTTTTAATTTACAGTATGTAACATCATGTCTTCAATTATTATAATTAAGCTATCGTACAGGTACTATCTTCAATAGGAGAGGTGAATTAGGAGCTTAGTCCCACCACGGCGTACCGGTCCGCCACTAAATTAGTAATTAAAACCAACGGAAACTAAACATATTGTAAGAACGTTTTGAACCCTAGATCTCGTGATTTACATACAGTATTAACCACTGGATAAATAACGTTACATCGTAGCATATATGAGGCTGCTAGAGTTAGAGTGGCCTAATAACAAAAACATGATTTTCAATAAAAATTCGCAATGAACTTAGGCGAAAATGAATTTGTACTATTGTTTGTATAAAAATTTTCGGTAACCTTGCTTTTGTAAATTAACATTTTTAGACTATAAAAATATAAAGTAAGTAGGTAGTAAGGCTACTCTGCTTCTAGCAGCCTTATATGTAACATTATACATATATAGGTATATTGTTTTAAAACTAATATATAAAGCTGAAGAGTTTTTTGAACGTGCTAATCTCAGGAGCTACGGGTTCCATTAGAAAAAATATTTTTGTGTTAGTTAGAGCATTTATAGAGAGGCTATAAAATATCGCCCTGTGACTAATACAAGCGAAGATACAGCGAGTAATGTGGAAAAAATGGGAAAATTATTCATGATCCTGAGTTTCCGATACGCTGCGAAAACGGTATAAGATACCCAAAAATATGTATGAAAGAATAATTCCTCATTTAATGATCTAAACAAAAGTATGTGACGCTAAATAATCTTTTAAGATTAACTTAAAAACGACAGAAAGGGACGCAACCGACGTCGTGGGTAACAGTTTAAGTTTATAAAGATGAAGGGATTTGCAAAACCGAATTTGGATTCCCCTAAATAACGATTCTCGCGGACGAAGTCGCTGACACAGCTAGTAACTTACATATAGCTTACATTGGAAGAATTATTACGAGTTAATGAAATTATATGCCTCTAAATATTTTACAGCCTTTCACATTTCGTAACCATTTTCATGGCTTCTTACGTTTTATGGAAGGAGAAATTTTATTGATCATGTAGAGGTTTAAAATGCATTAGTGCCTCGAGCTCGTCCCAGTTACGAGAGCCAACGTTAGATCTCTTATATAAAATCTTTCCCGTATAAATTTCTTCTGCAGGTTTGAAATGCATTTTACATTTACTGTATACACAAGTATAAACATATAATACTTGTTGTTGTATAACTTAATCCAACGTTTCGAAACATTTACATAAAATGAATTAACGTTGGTTATAGTAAGAATGATTGATATCTATTAATATTTTTTTAACGGTGTAAAAGTTGATATGTTTTAGTTAACTTATTTTCATTTTATTTCAACTACGGTACGTTTGGGATGCATTTAAACACACAATATTTATTTAATTCCTATCAAAAATAGGACAAAACAATATGATTCATACCAAATATGTTTGTAACCAAACTATTGGACGGACTACTCCTTTGGTATCAATATATGGCTAATAATTAACAATGACAACAGATTGTCATCTGTCAAGTCGTCATGTTTAATGTTATGGTTTCAGACTCTGGATTTAACCACGTTAGATCGACATCTCATCTTCTTGAGACGTGTGCTGAGGTATTTAACCTATTTTCAAATGAACATTACGCTTCTCTGTCCTTCTCTATCATTTGAAAAAAATCGTAAAAATGCACTTGCTCAAAGATACTGTGTAATCAATACGAAAATTACAAAATAACAGTAAGCTCGCAAGCGATAAGCCGGCGTAATAACGAGATCCATTCAACACGGCGCCATTACCGTGGTAACAAATGCGTAAATATGGGTTAAATAAAGGGATACACTTTACGTTTATTTCTTTTTTCGTGTTATTAAATCTTTCGTTATAATTGCACAGTTCGATGCGCTGCGAAAGAGTTGTAATGGAGCGGTAATTTCATCTTGACTCTCTTTTATACATTGTGAATAAATGTGTTGTAACAGAAAATAACTACGTATACTTAGTACATAAATTAAAAATTTATATAGCCCTGCCAATGTTTATTATAATAAAAAGGTTTTTGTGAGTAAATCTTAAAAGATATCTACTGTCGCATTTTTTTAGATTATTTAAAGAAGAATTCTTTTAAATTTATTTTTTGGGAATCTTTAACTGTTTTCGCCCCGCACGCAACGAATATTTTCTCCTTTCCACGTTCTCCTTTATTGGTCACAACCTGATGTTTTATAGCCTAAAGTTTTTCTCTGTTCCATTGGCACCAGTGGTTCCTGAGATTAGTGCGTTTAAAAAACGAACTTTTTTAGTTTTATAATATTAGTGTAGATAAAATCGACGACAAAAAACACGGGCGGGACTTAAAACTTGCTACAGGTTACTCTATGAATTTAGAAGTAATGTACACAGTACAGTTTTGGTTTGGACTTACGCTATTCTTTAAATTTATATAAGTTCTTATTTGGTTATGAATATTATTAAATTCAATATAAAATCAATTAAATCTTGTACCGATATGCAATTCAATGGCTATAAGATGATAAGTATATCTAAAGAATGCGATATATGTATCATTTTAAACAAGATATTTCGGGAGAAAACCTTTCAATATCAGCAAGAATGTCAATTTATCTACATTGGCGAACGTATCGAAGGAGAATACTCGTTTCTCTCGTCTTTGTGAGATATCTGCAAGCTATTCTCTGTGCTTGAAGAATTTTATCGAAGAAAATGCTAGAAAGTTCAATATAATTACGAAAGAGCCTTATTAAATACATCTTGTATGAAATTATATCACAAAAAATCGTCAAATTATAGTTGTCGAAAAATAATTTATTAATGTATGTCGGCGACGATCATGAATACGGACACTAAACGTGTCGGAGGAGGAAGTTATAAACCAGGCGAACGTTATATGAGGACGTATGAGTGGTCATAATAGCTGTGTCGCCATTTATTGACCAAATCGATTGGATAGTTAGTTTAAAAATTATAAGGGATATACAGATACGTCGAGTAACATTTGTGACTTGAGCATTGACGTTTGACAAACTGTCATTGAGAAATGACAGATGGTTATTGACAACTTGTTATTTTGGAATAACGGCGGCGTTGCGCATTTTGTGTTTATTCGTTTTGGAGTATTTAAATAGTATTTTGATCGTAGGAAGAAACGTTTATTTAGAATGATGCTTAGTTAATACATATATTAAAAGAGTACGTTTACATATTGTCTGAGAAAGTTATAGATGTGACATGCGCTGCATAATATGATTATTAAGATAAATATGAGCGTGTGTATATTTACTTACGGCTTGATCTTACATTGTGTCACATTTTCCTGAAAAAAAATATATTCTTATTATAAAAAAAAAATATTGAATTGAAAACCTTATTACCCGAATAAAATTACCCTTTTACCCGAATAAACAACATTTAAATAAAACAAATTTAACGGTTTAAAACAATATACAAGATAAACTTATTTAAACATTATTTTTACTACACCCCCCCTGACGTTTCCGATGTTTTGCAGGAGCTGTGATTACGATTTGAAGTTTAATTTATATGTATATATATATTGAGTTTTAAACAGTTAAGGTGTTATTTTATTTAAACATAGAATTTATTCCAAAAAAAACACTATCTTATTCCCTAAGCAAATGAAGCAACCGTAGTTCGTAAAACCTTATATTAATAATGAATAAATCCTTTGAAATATCAGGAATTACCGACCAAAAAAGCCGAATGCCTCTATCAAGAATAACAAAGGATTTCGGGTTTACCGCTCTACAAACGAGAGTTTTTATTTAGCTTAATTCACTTAAGCTTTTATTCACGCTTCGACTATCCCTAATATATGTTTTTGTGTAATATTAACTTGTATTATTTTAAATTGTGTAGTTACCTTAAGTACAAATCAAATATATAACAGATCACCATTTATGCACTTATAAATTTCTATGGCTAGTAAAATTTTAACTACTATAATTTCTTCGGATCTTTTATAATACTAATAAACCCTTTTTATTGGGACAATACAATTCCAACAGCAATGTGTTCGTTGTAAGATTAAGTTGATTTATTTAAGAATAATACAATAAAAGTAATAATATTAGCCGCATACCTGCGCAGGCGTCACTATAGTGTCTTACATATAGACAGCCAAACTTATTAGCTATTAGATTCAGTGCTTGAAGTCGTGGTTAACAGCTATATTTTATAAAGTTGAGGAGGCAGTTAACAAGAAAAGATTATTTATTTATTTTTTACATATGATGCCCAAAATCCATGCAGATAAAGTCGCGGGCACAGCTAGTTTACGATGAATTATTAAAAAAAAAACAGTGTTTTCAGTTCATTCTTTTTCTTCCCAGAACCTGAAGAACCAGATAATGACCACTAATCTATGGGTGGAGCAATCCTGGTATGACTACAAGCTGCGCTGGGAACCCCGGGAGTACGGCGGAGTGCATATGCTCCACGTCCCGTCCGACCACATCTGGAGACCAGACATCGTACTTTATAACAAGTAAATGCCTGAATATTGTCTTCACTTTCGCGAGTAGAACAGATTGAAGTAAAACACTTTTAACGGTTTAAAACGCGAAGCACCGCCGTTACCACAACTGCTACAAAGCAATCAAAAATCGGGTCATTGTTAGATTGAATAAATTTCACGTTTTAATCCGTTGAAGGTGTTTATTTAGATAAGTAAACGCCATATGCTTTTTTTACAATTTCGCGTTCCACATATGTACAATAAATATTTAATACCTCCTAAAAATTATAAAAACCTTTAAGTACTGTCTGTAGTTAAAGTAGTTTACATTAAGAAAACAGTTTTAACAGTTTAAAACGCGAAATGTATTAGTTTAACTTTATTTTAGAAAAGCCGTAGATAAAATAATTTGTAAATCAGCTTAACAAATACATTGCGTCTCAAACCGTTAAAATGGTTTTATTTAAAGGATAAAAAATACTACCACGGAATTGCGATAATTTCAACTTATTAAGTGCTAATAAGCTATCTCAATTTTGCTTTCGCTAAAGATCGTTTAAGAAGTTGTCAATCTTGGATTACAGATGTTCTATTAATTTTGCTCGTTATGCGGATACAACATTTTACCCAACGTATCTCTTGTTTGAAAATTAATTCAAATTTAGTTGAAAAGATCGTGTGACGTCCAACATTTTTCTAATCAATTTAAAAATTTTTTCGAAATATGTCGGACTTCGTTTGGAAATCTGAATATTAAATGAAAAAGCCGTGAAGTCTACCCGCGTTTGGGTTTCAGCCCGAGGCTTTACGAATATCCAAACGCAAAATAGATCGACAGCCCATCAGGTTCAGTTGTTATATTACTGGGGTATTTTACTTACCATCAAGCTAACCCATACTTGTCTTTTCTCTATCTTAAAAAAATCTGTGTTCAGCCGTTGGCATTATTAGGTTGGTAGCCCATCGATATAAATGTCATAGTTGTGATTTATCGATATACTGTTTTCTTAGTATATGTTATTAAGTATTGCTCTTATTTTCCGTATAAACATTCCGGCTCTCATTAGTAATTACATCGCATCGTCGACGGCCCGGCAATATATATTAATTAATAAAATTTTACGCATGACGTGTTAAGCGTTAATAATGAAACGGCTTGAATCTAATTTTTGACATGTGATTTACAAATTACTAATATACAAAGTTAAGCCACGCTGTTCTACATCCGTTTAGATGTTTAACCTTTTTTAAAATTTGTTTCAAATTTAAAAATACTTATGACTCGGATGTGATAACACGTAAGCTAACATGTTAAGTACTGTCCATAGTTTACACATTTAAATAAAACACTTAACGGTTTAAACCGAGAAATATATTCACTAACTAACTGCATACTTTTGGTTTAATAATACATTTCGTGTGTAAAACCGTTAAAAATGTTTTAGCTAACATGTTCCACACGTCACCATAGAATTGTGTTAATCTATTTACACGTGCAGCTTTTGAAAATATTCAATAATTATTTATTAATACACTTATGAACGTTAATACAGTTAGAAACAAAAGACGAATGAAAATAAATATGTAAAATGAAACGTGCTGGTAAGAATCTCGCCGCCCCTATATATATTTTTCTTGCTCAATGTAATTTCATCATTATTTACGTAATCAGTTAACAGCACTGACCGCCGTGGTGAGTTTGAGTACAACTTATCATTTTCGATCTAAAGTAAATTTCAAAAAGTCTACTTTTCCTAAATTCTTAGTTTCCAAAATTCTAACTATGTTAAAAAAGAAGTCTCAGAAATGGTGTGAATCTAAATTCCTAACAAGCATCTCAGGGGGGTATTGCCTTATCTACTTAAATTTCGTCTCAGAGGAATATGTTTAAAGCGAATGCAACTTAGCACTTCGTGAATTTATGCTGTACTCGCTAATACATGAAATATGTGTACTTGAACTAAAAAACAAGTACGCAAGTAGTTCGAATTTGAATAAAACATTTTTAACGGTTTAAAACTCTAAATGTGTTAATTAAACTTAACCTTGACCACAGCTGCTGCAAGGCATCAGAAACATCGGGCTATGGTTGTTGTAATTTGTAAATTAATTTAATATGTTTCGCGATTAAAACCGTTAAAGTGTTTCATTTAAATACTAAATTTACTTTATTAATATCCCACTTTTCTCGTAGTGGGGTTATGAGATTAGCCTTCTCGTGCAAGGGAGTAATGACCTCCTACTTCTTAATGTCAAATTGGTCCTTAGTAGAAAAAAATGCTACTACTAAAATACAGTACCACGCGAATGGGGGACTATAAATTAAATAACTTTATTGGTTTAAAACACAAAATAAAGTCAATTTATTTAACTATGACATAGTGTTTTAAATGCTTTTCACTTGTCGTGGTCACGAGGGACTAAAGTGGCCGTCCCTAATATGAAAATCAAATCTTTTAGCCAAACTAAATTGGAATATTAGTAGTAGTTTAATATTTTTTTTATGATGGTAAATAAATAATGCTTTCTTTCTATTTTTCATACTAAGCGCTATCGTAATAGCAATTAATATTTTAAAACAATAAAAACTGTTTTATTTAATACACTAGACCAAAACGGTTACTTAGCCCCAATAATTTAAAACACTTTCTACCTTAATATTTGTGACTACTTTTTTTGCTAAATTAGCGATGCCTCTTGAGAGCGGAAAGCTATCGATCGCACTATTCATAGACAAGAACACTCGGCGCAAATTCGAAAGGCGGCAACAAAAGATCTTTTCTTATATTTACGAGAGGGCATTATGGTCCGCTGATGTCATAAGTAGGCTGTCCTAAATATTTCGTATTCAACACTGTATGTGATACAAAATAAGGCTTCCGAGTAGTAATGAGTAGTTGACATCTGTAGGATAAAAACGGAAATGCTAGTAGTACTTGGGCCTGACATTATATCCCTTTGACTTACAGTCGAGCCCTGTCCGACCGAAAATTATTTATTACGTTGTCCTGTTTAATTAAGAAAAATCAGTTTTAATGAAACATTTTTAACGGTTTAAAACGCGAAATGTATCTTTACTTATCAATACTCTCCCCGTGACCCAGTTTTCAGTTTCATCAAATACCAACTAAAGAACAGATGGCGCTAGCGTAGCAGTTCTTACTTTGACATTAGGGAAACCCTCCATCTTTAATCCCCCCGAGACCTCGGCTGCTGCAAAGTATCAGAAACGCCGGGCCGTGAAAATAATTGTGTAAATAAGTTAAACTAATAATTTTTGCTTTTTAAACCGTTAAAAGTGTTTATTAAATCTCGCGTAAATTACGGACAGTACTTAAAAAACCGTTTTTAACCGCTGATCGTATTTACATGATTATATTGTAAATACGATCAGCGTCAAGTAGTTAAATAAGTTGCATAAATTTAATTAAATACGAAATAAACGGTGTATATCAATTGTATTGTAAAAGTTAATGGGGCCGGTAAAAACAAAGAAGCCTTTCCCCTGTTTATTAAATAACAAGCTGTCACTCGTGGCCTTCCCCACCGAGCTTCGCTATTTGTATTACTTTACAGGACAGAAGACGTTTTAAATAATTTAGGCTGTTCCTAAGAGAATTTACATTTCAATTTGACACTACATCCCTTAATGTCCGTCACATAACCTTACAATTTTCAGGATAGGAAAGAGTATTGTGGTAATTTTTGGATCAGGATTTTTTTATGAGGAGGATAAGCATATTGGAAGTTGAAGCAACCCAGCCTTACAACGTTAAGCAACGCTGTTAACTCATTTTTAGCTTTGGATATTCCATTATGATTATTTATTCCATTATATTTCCACCACCCATTAAAAGCCAGATATCCAGATTGATAAAAATATGTTGAACCTGGTGGTAATCGAATCTACGACATGTTGATTATAAGAGACCATAAGACTAACGAGCAAATCAAATGAAGAAATGTTTTATAAGAGCTTGGAGAAAAAAATAATAGAAGATCAATAAGGAAGGAAATAAGGAAAATCATTTCTTCAAATCGTGTTAAAACACGCCACGCCTGCAAAAAGTTTAGGAGTTTCGCGAACCAATTGTAGAGAAAATTTTGTTGGAAAGGAAATGTTTTTGTGACGTGCATGTAACATTCGTGTGTTATAAGAATACGCCTCTAACAATATACTTATATATTCAAGCAGATAAAATAATAATTATAATTACTACATAATTATGTTTACTTACTACTTGGTTTTAACAAGTGTCTACAATTGTAGTGACGACATTACTAATTTAAATAATCCAATATTTATTCTTTGACTGCGAAAATTACAAAGCAGTCTACTTTAGTTGTTATCCAACCTTTCAAAAGCAAGGTACACCACAGTAATTGATAACGTATTTCTAAAATGAAATTGTTAATTTGGTTTTTAATTCTTATAATATCCTTACAAGTGGTTAGTAGTGATTATTTCGTATAATTTAAGTTTTATATTATTGGTCAACAAGTAGAAAATCACACTTTGAAAATAGGTTAACATAGGGTCGTTTTGTTTGTATAATTATTATTGCTCCATGATTTATGCTATGGTGAAGTTTATTAATAATTTTAGGTATCCAGTTTCCCGACAATCGTAGGCTTCGGGATGGTGGTAGATAGACTGAAATCAGGTATTAATACACTTTTAAGTGATGTTAAAGCTGATTTGCAGATCGTTTTTTCATCAACAGTGACAGCTTTCAATGTGATCGTAAACCGACCAGGAAAAGGGTTTGAATTTGAAGAACAAAAACTAAACCAGACACATTGAACCAAGTTCTAATGCAAGTGCTATTGAAGTCAAATGATACAGTGTTTTCCGCCTTATATTAAACGATAAGATATAATTAAGCATACAAAATTAAAAAACTGTTCTTTAACAAAGTTTATAATTTACTGTCGACTACCCCAAATTTATATGATTATCTAAAGTGTATGTCATAAACATGATCATATGTTACTTTACAGGAAATTAAAAAAAAAAAAAAAATATATATATATATATATATATAAGTATATATTTTCCAATTGAAACAAGTAGCTGGCAGAGAAAAATGACAACACGAACTTCATGTACGTAACTATAATCATATATCACACCAGATTTCGCTAATTCGAAAACGAATAATGCCATAACTACTGGGCCTATTTTAATGCAATTTTGTAAATATGATTACAATTTGCTAAGCGACATCTTATTAAAATTAATGTGATAACTCTTGCGACACCCTATATATACGTTATTGTAAGGATTTATCGTACAATCGGCCTTCAAATCATATTTATCTAAAAATGTTCAATACAAAATTATTCCATACCCGCCGTTACCCGACGCGTTTTGATTTATATATCCAGACAAATATCGGTCATACCTGTGCGTCCCTTGAAGGTCCCTCTTCTTTCCCCGACTCCCATTACCATACTTTTCAATCCCTAAAAGCTTTCTGAATCTCACAAATTTATTGCTATAACGATTTATTTCCTTAATTTATTAGGGTACCACCTTTTTCAGGATAACTTGTAAATAAATATTTGTATAAACCACGAAATTTATTTAATTAAATTATATCACAGTATTAATTAAGAACATCAATATTTTCCTATAATCTGAAAGGAACATAAATTCTCTATTTCTAATCTAGTTCGTCGTCCAGAGAAAATACGACTGTTATAAAAGTCATTTTTCATTGAATTAATTGAACACCAGTACAGCGTCATACACAAATAAAATAGACCCATCTAAAATCATGAAACTCAGGATGTAGAATTATCCTCAATAAACTTAATACTAATAATTTAAACCGGCAAAAAATAGCCTCTGCACGGTGTAAACATACATTAACATTACAGTGCTGACGGCAACTTCGAGGTAACGTTGGCGACGAAGGCGACCATCTACCACATGGGGCTGGTGGAATGGAAGCCTCCAGCCATATACAAGTCCTCCTGCGAAATCGACGTCGAATATTTCCCTTTCGACGAGCAAACGTGCGTCCTTAAGTTCGGTAGCTGGACGTACGACGGATTCAAGGTAATTCAGAGGGAACGACCGCTCGCGCTGACCGCTCTGTTTGTCCGCAGCGCCGACGGCAACTACGAAGTCACGCTGATGACAAAGGCCACCGTCTACTACAACGGCATGGTCGTGTGGCAGCCGCCGGCCGTCTATAAATCGTCCTGCTCGATCGACGTCGAGTTCTTTCCTTACGACGTCCAAACCTGTGTGCTTAAGTTAGGCAGCTGGACGTATGACGGCTTCAAGGTGACGCCCCGCTGTACGCCGCTTGCCGCGCGGGCCATAGCCGTAGGGCCCGACGCAGCCCGATGTCAGTAGCTAACGCTCGAACGTAATCGTCGTAATCTGTCCTTGTGATCATCCCGAGGCGCTTGCAGGGCGACCAGCGTCCCCCGCGCTCATCGCCCTGGCCTAGCTCTGACTTGCAAGTTTGTGTTTCAATTGAGTTGATTGTTTAAGTTTATGGAGTAGCGGTTGACTCTGCGAGTCCTCGAACGGTCGGGCGACCTCCGCTCCACCCGATCGGCGTCCACCCGACACGGAAAGGTATAAAATCTGATGCCAGGTGATATGGGATGCAACTTCACTATTCAATCCCCTCCGACATACTATCCCACTCGGGGCGGGCCGTTTCACGCGAGATGTCCATTCTTTCACCTACATCTTGCACCCTCTGTTGCGCTAACGTTGCGATCTAGCGTGGAGCGGCTTTAACCGTGACAGACACTTCTCCCCTGTCCAGCTGGCTCCGCCGCGACACATACAGACGTTCACACAGACGCTTGTTGCATGTTCTACACTACATCACCCACTGCATGTCGGCTTCTATCCAAACCGTTTGCATTCCCGATCACAGCGTCTTCCTTTGCCGCGGCTATACACTGACACACGCGAACACAGCACGTTGGTACGATGACGCGCCCTCGGGCCCACACTAAACAGTCATCAAAAGCATATTTTATACCTTTCCCTTTAGTTACATTAGTGGCTGTTAAAACTCGGTGTCGCTCATTGCATGATATAATTTTAAACAACAAAGACGAAACAATAACAACATCACTTGATAATGTGTTTAACAACCTTCTCGATTCATTGAAATGTATAACGTGGTGTGAGCATGGAGCTGTTGTAGCTAAAACTAACTTAATAACAGACCCTGTTAAGCTATTGACAGCTCAATTCCAGCAAGCTAAAGTACGATATAAAATAGCAGCTTATAATTTTCGTAACAATTATATTGACTTGATGTCTCTTAATTAAAACGGTGCGCCTTAATTTGAATAGATTAAGGAGTTTTGTGAAAGATCAACAAATCTCCCGGAATTTGAAAGATGTCTTATTTAATTGACTAAATATATAATTACTTTTTTATTTGTGAATTTGGCTGTTGTCTCGCTAAGTGCTAACACCACATATTGAAAGGGAGGTGCATTGCATGAATTACACTTGAGGACTTTGCGCCTGATTTGAAATTGGAGTCGTTTCAAAATTGTTATACGAATCAGAGCAGGTGCACTGTCTGGTAAGTCGCACGATGTTATCAATTATGCGACTAGTCGTTGCGACTGACACTAGCGTGGCGGAGCCGGTGCTTCCGTGGTCCTTAACGACGATTGTTTTGCTGAATTAAAATCAGAATATCGCCGACTCCATGACTGGTCTTTTTAAATTGTTTAGGTGTTGTGTCACGTGCGTTTATGGGCATGTTGTTGTGTCATCTTTGGCGTTGTGCGAGATGTGTGTGGATAAACAATAGGGTACATGATACTTTGCACACTTTGTGGTAAGTAATAACTTAAGATCTACCTAAATTAAGATTAAAACGTTGTAAACAATGTTTACGTGGTATCTGCGTACACATTGTGTGACAGGTGCATGTATCGAATAAAAATGTAACTTAAAACTCAACAAACTAAAATAACAAAATTGGCGTCTAAACAAAATTGACTATCGACTAACTCAGTAACTCACTGAAATTTTAAAACGAAGACATCCTGTGGGAAATCTATAATTTTGTTTGACGTGAATTCTGTAGTGTTTTCGCTTCAAAACTAAATTATGACTTAAATAAATAAATAAACTGGTGATAAATAAATAATAAAATTAATGTGAACTATGTGTGATTTATATTTAAGGTTAATTACGATATTATTAAGTACTCTTTAGTCTAACTAATTTTATTTGTATCATGAAAATGAATGAAAGAATGACGAATGACGTCTGACAAATGAAGAACAGAGTGATTGATTTGAGATGTAATTTCACTGAGTTTAAAACTCACTCAGAAACAATAGTCAACTCGTCCACTGTGACAGTCTTATATTTCCAATTTATTCTACTGTTAAAGAGAAGAATGAGCACACTTAGAACTCAATTACTGTTTGACGTTTGAAAGGAAATAGAAATCGTTGAGCGTGGTATAAATTTTAGTGTCTGTGTGTGTATGTTTGTGTGTACGAGGGTGTTTTAAAATATTTATATACTACTTCTAGAACAACTTCGAATCAGAGGCGATATACATAATAGATTACCGGGGTAGGGGGGAGGTCAATGTTATTTATACACTATAGTAGTTAGACTCAACGTTTCACATTAGTTTTGGGAATTGATAAACTAAATAACCAGGTTTACTTAAATAACAAAGGTTTAAACAAACATTGTTTTATGATAAAGGAGGACAAAAAAGCCTTATAACATCTTGACAAGACGCATAGTCCACCTATTTAGGCTTTGGATATCGCAGACTGATAGATTACCTATCAACACCACAGATTAACGCAGTCTACCTTCTCCCCTGCCCCCATTTTACGCCTTGATTGAAGTAATAAAAATGTTGTTACTATTGAAAAGTGAATTGCTCATTCTTCTTTAACACTTATATTATGATTCAAGATAATACGTCAAGCGTGTGTACAGGTCGATCTAAGGCATATGGACGAGCAGGCGGGGAGTAACATCGTATCCGTCGGGGTGGACCTTTCAGAGTTCTACATGTCTGTCGAGTGGGACATACTTGAAGTGCCAGCTGTAAGGTGAGTTATTTAGCATAATGCAGGGCCCTTGATGGCATTCGATGCTCGAATTACCTAGCACAAAGTCCGGGGGTTAGATTATTGAAGTTTCGGTCGAACATGGCACGAAAGTCTAATTAATTACTTCTGTGTTTTCTATGGTCCCTCTCATATATTCAATAGTCTAATAGCGTTGACTAACACAAGACAAGCAAAAAAGGGCATTTTATCTATATGTAAGCGCGGCCCATAAGGGGAAATTCCGTTTACTCTTGTGAGGCACAGTGCAAACATAATACTTTGCTCGTTACATTGCGTCCATTTTATTTATAGACAAATACTTGATTAGACAGCCAAAATGAAACAATTTATAGTATTCCTGGGGATTGAAACCCACATTTTTGCCGTGAAGCGAAGGGGTCTGATCTAAGAGGCAAAGCTAATATAATCTTAATGTAGATAGCAGACGCGAGCTATAGAGCATATTTGTTATAATTTTGACAAAATGAAGACAAATAATGGAACATAGAAAGGAAACCTTTTCCCAAAAAATTGTTTGGCCGATTCTCACTTGCCAACCAACGTTTCGCCTATTTTTCACTTTGACGACTAACGATTGTAAAATTGTTGTATGACATCACTTGATATTCTTTTCACTATATGTTTTATTAATTTATTATGTAAAGCAATTATAAGTAATGGAAAGATAGTGAGCATAAAATTGTCTATTTAAATAAAACACTTTAACGGTTTTGTTGTTTAAGTGTTTTATTTAAATGTGTACTACTCGCGTAAACTATAGACAGTATTTCATAAAATTGTCTTTCAGTTCACTTAAGGCTTCTTAGAAGCACTTAGCTCCAGTCCTTGTTATGAAAACAGTAGTTAGCCTTCTTGGAAGACCTATTTAATATTTTATACGGCCAACTGTGTAATAAATATTATTTTAAAGTTGTTAGCCTTAGTCACTATAAAGAAAGTCGTTCTTAGAAAGGTTTTTAATAGATATTTGTATAGTATATAAAACGAGGTTTAAGAGATTTACTTATGCAAAAAATAAATTTTACTTAAGCGTAAACACAATAATATATAGTACATAATATTATCTGCGAGTAGGTACGAATTTACAATGAATACAAAACATTTAATGGATTAAAACGCGAACTATATTCGCAAAACTTTGTAGAGTATCCTTATGTAGAGTATCCAAAACATCAAACCTTAGTAAATTGACAGATATATTTCGTATTACATTGATTTTCAAGTCATGGTTAATATTTTCTATTTAATTTCTTAGCTTGATATTTTCATTATCTGTAACATTTTGGTAAAAGCTCTAAGTTAATTTAAAATAAAGTCAACATTGATAAAACAACACGAGGCCAGCGTTATCTGTGGTTCACTGCGGTCGAGACGTCTCAAAGATAAAATTAAACCCTATTTTCAGTCCAAGCTAACTCAATAATTTACTACGAAATCTTCGTAACCAGAAAAGGTGAGCGAAGACTATGCTTGATCATTTTTTCTCTAATCTCGTTTGCGACACGATCACTTTGTTCATTTGATGAAAATACAAATACGTAAAATCGAGTCATTTTTAGACCTTTAAATAAAACACTTTAACGGTTTAAAACGCGATATATATTAGGTAAACTTATTTGACGTAAGAGACACCCTCCATCTTTAGTCTCTTCGTGACCACGGCTGCTACAAAGCATTCAAAACGTTAGGCCTTAGTTGAAATAATTTTCAAATAAGTTTAACTAATATATATCGCGTTTTAAGCCGTTAAACTGTTTTATTCAAACGAGTCATTACTCTTTGGGATTTGGAATGTGGGTATTTCTGTTGAATGCCCTCTGTGTTTTTAGGGTGTCTATTACGGCAGTTGGTATTAGAAGCGGTTGTTCGACCGCAAGCTAAGCTGTAAGGTTAAGTGAACACAAATTGGATAGGGCGTTTGTATCGTTTCAATATATTAAGTGTAGTGTAGCCAGGATTTAGGTGTGAAACGGTATTAATACACCAATGAAGAGAAAAGATTTCAAAAAATTTTGCATTCGTACAATCATTTTCAATAACTATATATTTTTGTTATAACATCTTTATTATTTTCATAAAAAATATTTACGATTTCATTAAATTAAGTTTCTAATTGATTAGTTTAAACATTAAACAAAATTGGTTTCATGATTCAATAATTATAAATTTTCACATGGTTATTAATTGCTTTTGAACGTAAATATGTTTAAAAATAAATAGTCGTATAGTATAAGTCGATAGCGAGTTAAATTGATAACGCACATCACGTAGGTTCGAGTCTCGCCCGTGTCACAGTTTTCTTTCAACCTGAAATATTATTTATACCTATCTATTTTATTTGTAAATATTTCTCCGCTGAGTGAAACTTATACAACGGATTACTAATAAATGTGCGATTAAGTTGAGTATCTCCTATCATTTCGTGAGTCGTTCGCGATATCTGAGTCTGGTATTTCCTCGTAGATTGCAACTCATTCTCGTCCTATTTCTGACTCGGCATAATTTGCTTTCAGCTAAATCGCAAGTTGCAGGATGGATAATCCCCGTCAAGGAATTTGTATTAAGACCGTGAAAGCATTTGTGTTGAATATTAAAATAACAAATACACTATATATTACAAATTTACATCGAAGCTAGTTCTAAGATTACTTAAATTATTTCGGTTTAAGTATTGTTTGTAGTTTGCGCATTTGCGTAAGTAAAAGGAGTTATAAATTGTAACAGTTAACATTTCACGTTTTAAACCGTTAAAAGTATTTTATTTAAATGTGTATTACTAGCATAAACTACAAACAATACATGAACCTTAAACAGTCCAGTAATCTTAGATAATTACAACTAGATTAGCAGGTTTTTTAATATGACAGAGCAGGACAGACAAGCACGGGTTTATTTGATGGAAAGTGATATACCCCAAGCATATATCATCTATACAAGACACGCTGTCAACCTATCTTGGCTTCGGATACTTGGAAATCCACATACTGAAATGGAAACGCGAATTACGATGACAGTTCGTGATACAGACGGAATTTCGATATTACTACACATTTTATACCTAGCTTTCTAGATGAAGTCTAATATGTTTCAGAAAAATAATAAGTCATTAGAAACCTTTTGAAAATAATGATTCCTCTTTAAATGATCTAAAAAATGTCAGCGACAGTATACGTCTCTCGTTTAAGATTTACTTACAAAAACGACGGTACGCGGACGACGTTAGTAACAGCTACTTATAAAGATGAAGAGGTTTGCAAAAACAAATTTTGATGTCCAAAATAACTATACGTGGTCGAAGTCGCTGGCACAGCTAGTAATAAATCTATAACCGGATGCGCTCAATATGACAGGGTAGTAATCTAAAAATATTTCCTTTACTGATTTGATTGATTGAATTGCCTTTGTGACCTAATTTTTAAACGCGTTGAGGCCCTAGGTTTGTGTTCCGTATATAATAAATATTTATATTTACAATTAGACTCAGCGGAGACTTTCAAACTAGTTGTGACGCCTGTGAATAAAATGGATCAGTGGAACAGACACAAAAAAATGCCTGCTTTTTATCAAACTAATGTACTAAAATAATCAACGTACTACGAAATTATTTCAATAAAACACTAACGGTTTCCAACGCGATATATTAGTTAAACTTATTTGGAAAATGATTTTTAACTTCGGCCCGACATTTCGGATGCTTTGCAGCAGCCGTGGTCCCCCCGTTACCACGGCTGCTATCGCGTTTTAAAATCGTTAAAGTGTTTTATTTAAATGTCTACTACTAATTTACAATGGAATTACATTTTCTAACAATTATTAATTATTTTTACAATTATTAACAAAATTTTGGAACTTGGTTACCCTACATTTGATTATCCGCTATGTAACAAAAAATACATTGCAGTAGGGAGGCTGTAATTAGCTCCGTATCTCAGATATATAAATCTTGTCCTTACGCCACTATCTTCCAACTTACGAGAATTAGACCGAATCATAGAGGGTAAATTAATTAGTATTACACAATAACACATATTGGTTCTTCCTATTATTAAAAATAATCTGTATGTGTTATATAAAAGATTGGATGTCATATCTTCAAATTGCGTTTTAGACTGAATAATTGTAAAAAAAATTGAACCAATTTTCATTGTTTTAAGCGTGAAAATTTTGGTTAACTTATCTTTAATTTAACTACGATGCTTTGCAGTACCTGTAGGTATCGTTCGCCCTCCACCTCTGTCTCAATGCATCCTAACCGTCGCGCCATAGATTAAAATAAATATTTCGCGTTTTAATCGGTTAAAAGTGTAGTATTTAAATATGAATTACTAGCGTTACCTTACTATTTATTTACGCACATCTAAAAGCGCATGACAGATCGATATCCTCACCACCCATTAATAAGAAGAAAAAGAAGAAGAAATCCAACATGTTTCAGCAATATTATAAATTTACTAAAAACATGTTGGACCCGGCGGTAATCGAATCCACAACTCATTGATTATTAGCTATGCATCTAAGAACTCGTTGGTTCTAAGATGTATGGCTAATAGCTTCGTCAATGCCCGTTATATGTGTATAACAAGCTATCCTTATTACGGAAAACACAATTTCTTTCAATTACGGTAAATTGAGGATAATACAATAATGAAGGATCTCGTAAAGGCCAAATATTTGAGAGTAAAAGTAAGGATTCGAGTCACGCCAGCCTAAGCCGTAAAGCCTATAAACCTTACAGACGTCGCTCGTCCGATACTTTGAAATTGCTTTACGATCTATTGTAGTATTAACGTGTTCTTATTCCTGTTTTTATGATGGAGGAGAACAGACAAACATGAAGCTTACCCAGCCATATAACATCTAAACAAGATGCACTGTCTACCTTTGGCTTTGGATATTTGGAAATCCACAGACTGAAACCGAAACGCGATTAATCTTGACGGCTTTTTCATCTGTGGTCGGTAGTTTGTGACGTAGACGGAATGTCTATATTCCTACCAACCAGACGAAAACCAACATGTTTCAGAAATACTTTAAATAGATTTGAAAAATGTTAGACCCACTGGGTATCGAACTCGCGACCCGTTGGTTATACGCCATACATTGCTACAATTACACCAACGAGCCCGACTTTATCATATACCTAGGTTTTTACACATTACTACTACTTAAGTATGCACGCGAGTACACATTTAAATTTAAATAAACAACTGCTCTTTACTAGCCATTGCTTTAGTTTAAATTAAATTAAGAATAAGTTAACTAATATATTTTGCGTTTTAAACCGTTAACACAGTTTAACTTAATGTCCGGGTCTTTTTCAATGATCGATTACAGGCGAGTTTATCAGATTACTGAGTTCTGTCGACCGTAACTATTTCTTTACTCAGCTGTTTGCAACACTAACCAAGGCATTCAACCATTAAGCTAAGGAGACAAAAGTTAGTCGTAAAACTGTATTTTTCATATACTTTTCCCCAATTTACAAATCGTTTTGCAACGCGATGAAATATGACAGATTAGCCGTAGGGGATTTCAGAATGTTGGTTCGAACAATTTATATTGAGTCGAGAAAAGCATTATTTTAGTTTTATTGAAACCATAAAAAACTGTTATATTTAACACATGTTTGTACACACGATTGCATAAAACAAATTAGAAATCAACTTTACATTGAAAAAAAATTACGACACAGACACAACTTGAACTGGCATCCGTAGCTTTCCCGGACATGGTAGCTCACTTGGTTGGAGCAACAATACGGAACGCTGTGGATCCCTGCTTATTTTTTTCAATCTATAAGCGATTTTTAATAAAACCAGTAAAATAAATACAATCACACTGTTCTAATATGTACGAGTATAAAAGGCTTTTTTTTACTTAAACAAAGTACGTAAAATAAATTTACGTAAATGTGAATTATTAAAAATGCTCAACGGAGGTTCAATTCCCACGTTGAAAAGTAGAAGAGAAGCCATTACAATACAATGTGAATATAAGTCATTTAAAGGAATTTCACTAAGACATTTTACGAAATACTGGATTGCTTAATCAAAAGACCAATTATTTTTCCGAATAGCCATATGTTACCTGCTAACCTAATAGAGGTTCAATTTTTGGGATTTTAAAGGGAACTCAATCACACAAAGCTAAATACTGTCTATAGATTACGCGAGTAGTACACATTTCAATAAAACACTTTAACGGTTTAAAACGCGATATATTGGTTAAACTTATTTGAAAATGATTTTTAACTTCGGCCCGACGTTTCGGATGCTTTGCAGCCGCCGTGGTTACGGGACCCGTGACCACTAAAAATCATTTTCAAATAAGTTTAACTAATATATTACGTTTTAAATCGTTAAAGTGTTTTATTTAAATCACATAAACCTACTAGATTCAAGAACCTACGTTTAATTGAGCTGGACGCATTAACCTATATATCTTTAGAGTCATAATGATGTTATTAATAAAAGCAGACTCCAAAAGCCTACGGCGGACAAAGCTGTAACCTTTGTGCAAAACCGTAAACAGCTTTGAAAGGCTTATACGTGCGATCCTTTTAGTATCACGGATTCGAATGCAAGGCGATTACTGAAATAACTCGTCCGTTCATTTACCTTTCCTGTATCCTATAACGAACATAGCCGATGTTCTGTCTCTTTTACTATACAGTGTAAATATATTCAAATACTGTCTAGGTTTACACGAGTAGTACACATTTAAATGAATCACTTTAATAGTTTATAACGCGAAATTAACTTAAATTTATTTAAAAATGATTTTAACTACGACCCGATGTTTACTTTGCTGCAGCAGGGTCACATGGTCCGAAACGTCGGGCCGGTGTAAAATAATTTTGTGTTTTGTGCCAAATAAAATATACGATTTTTACTTAACCGTTGCAACTCTATCTAAAAATGAAACTACCCATAATCCAAAAAAAAGTTAAAAAACACAACACATAAGTCCTTAAGTGAAAAATTTAGAAAATAAATATTGATATATTTTTATTGTTAAATATAAAAAATCTATGTTACAAGAGAGCAATAAAATTATCCAACACTAGTAAAGCTTATATTATTATAGATAATATAGGCTTTTATCAAAAGACTTCAAAATCAAATCAAAAATCAAAAAATCTTTATTGTTTCCTGATATATGGTGCAGAATCGAAAGTCCCTAGTCCCCACACTAGGGCAAGCCTGTGTCGTGGGTGACTAGTCTCTTCCAGATGATGGATTACAATAAATAAAGACATCTAAGCTAACTTATGTCTACTTACGATTAGTGTCTATTTAGGTGAGTATTTGCATTATGTGTGTGTTAGTGTATGTATGAAGTGAGAGCGTGTTAACTTAAAGGATCTATTATTAGAGAATATTATTATCAGCTGCGGTTAAAAAGGTAATAACGGTTGTCAATAGTAACTTTTCCACACAGAGACAGATGCAGAATAAACTTCTGTATCGATTTCAAAAGCGTTGTCACGTGTTTGTTGTATGATTTGAATTACAGTGACTCGTTTTGTCCCATAAAAATAGTTCAATTTGCACTAATGTCCTTTGTAAATAGGTGAGAATATTCATTGTATATTTTATCTACTCTATCGTAAGCCGACCTTGTCCCGTTAAACTGACATCGCTATTTACACCGTTCTCAATTCGGGACTACGTTCAAGCCCACTTGGCTAAGTGTTATTTTCTTTTGGCTTTATTGTTCGCCTTTTCTTTTTCTTGGTTCAATATTTCGTGCACGACGTTTTAACCGATAAAAATATGCTTGTTATAAAATTGTAAGAATCCCTCCTAAATGTAAGGTAATTTACAAATTAGTATGTTTACGTTATTTATTGTTTGACCTATGTCCGCATTTACTTTTGTAATATGACAATTTAAAATGTACATCAATATATGTTACAAATCATAAAGACGTGACCATGAAAATTGAGGAAATATTCTATGTGATTAAAAATAAGTAACCCAGGTGCTAACCAAGGAAGAGGGAACCCTGTCGTCCCTTGCTGAAAAAATACTAGGGACATGAAAAAACATAATAAAACACAACAATCTTAAATTTGACTCATAGTGCGTCTATAAAGATCCTATTTTAGAATTTCATCCTGATAAAAACAAATAATATACATATATATATACATCACCTTACAATTAATAAATATTAAGACTCTAAATGTAAGATAAGAATTAAAACAATTTAATTTGCTGATTGCAATGTTTAGGTAATTGCAAAACTTAATATGTATATGTTTTGCAATGTTTAGGTAATTGCAAAACTTAATATGTATATGTTTTTCATTACTTCTGACTAACTCAAATATCTATTCAGTTTTACATTGCATTTTTACATTTTCAGTGGCGTACGTTTTTATATTCTTAGTGTTGAACATTACAAATGTTATTTACTGAAACTTGAATACGCTAAAAACATGGCGGTCGCTAAATGCATATTTTATTTTTACTTCATATTCGAGGTTGTTTGTCATTCTCAATGTTTATTAAAGGGAATTGTACATTCCATCCACGAGCAAAAGTTATTTGACCACTTCTATTATTGATATAGGTTTCTCGGGACACTTGAAGTGGAGTGGGGCAAAGTTATTTATCGTGTAGCATTTCGACACAAAACATACATTTTGCGACATTTTTTATTAAATATATACGAGTACGAGACCTAAATAAAGCAAAAAAACCTACTATTTATTTTATAAAGAACAGCAAAGGGTGAGTAGACAAACTAAGCTTATATAACCCATATCGCTGTGTTGCAATGTTTTGAGAGAGAAGGTTCTGGGTTCAACCTTTGATCAACTGTTTGGAAGTAAATAAATATCGTAAAGTAATGGAGTAGCAGAAAAGTTACCAGAAAAACTTTAGACCTTCAATCAAAATTATAATTTAAATAAAAATAAATTGAAAATCGACCTTTCACTTTGCATATAATAATAATATAATACTTATGGATTTAGTTTAAAACTCGTATTTAAAAGAATACGACATCGAATTTCTACATTATTTGAAACTATGTTTACTGGCACCTTGATATATAATTAATTAAAATACATAACTATATTGCTTAATTAAAAGTTTTTTTTGTATTACAAACGTAACGTTATTTTTGAACCAGTTAGAATTACCTTGTGGGGCGTATGTACGATCAGTATGTTTTAGTGGGCTACGGTTAATTGATTGATATTGAAGAATTATATGCAGTGACATTTGAGAATAATTATTATTTAGACCTAATGTATGTCCTTACGCTTAAAGCATAAAGCATTAAACCCCAATACGTAAGAGTTAAGGTCGAAATTGCCGTCTGCATGCATTTATGAAGTGAGCTATTCGATTATCATACTCTCGTGTACTGCAAAACAAATTTCAATGTTACCTATCTTCGCAGAAACGAAAAGTTCTACACGTGCTGCGACGAACCGTACCTGGATATTACATTCAACATTACTATGCGACGCAAGACACTCTTCTACACTGTCAACATCATTATACCTTGCATGGGCATTTCCTTCCTAACTGTGCTGACGTTTTATCTACCTTCTGACAGCGGCGAAAAGGTATGTAAAAATTATATCTTCCATTATGAAATACCGGTGACATAACAGTAGACATTGCGCACACTACTAAGTAAACTAACTCCTAACTCAACCCAATTAATTCAAAAGAATACAGTCATCAAAATTTACCGACGGTTAAAATTTATTAAATCTAAAAACTAAAGAAATTGACAACTGTTAACGTCTTTAATCAATCACATTATCCCTCAGTGACATTAGGTTCTAACAGGGACACTGGTTGATTGATGTCTCAGACCGAATTGGCTGTGTTATATATATGCACATATATACAACTAGCTGTGCTCACGACACCGCGTGGAATAGTGATTTGGGGTAGAATTTTTAATTATTGAGGCTGTTTATTCATTAATGTAAGGCCGCATTTAAGGCAGCCAATCTATGGTAAGTGCTACTTTGCCGCAACACTCTTACCTCACATCACTCCTACTCTAACTCTCAGTCTCATTTCTACACTCATTCCCACTATCACCCCCACTCCCACGCCCACTCCTACTCCCACTCCCACTCATAGTCCTAAAAAGCCAAAGAAGAAAGTTTCATTGTTTTAGCTTCAAAAACAAACTTTCAACCCCTTTTTCACACCTTTTTTGACATTAAAGCCTATGCCCTTTCTCAGGGTCTAAAATATCTGTGTACCAAATTTCATTTAAATCAGTTCAGTAGTTTCGGAGTTAAAGCCGGACAGACAGACAGACAGAGTTACTTTCGTATTTATAATATTAGTATAGATATAGATAGTATAGATTAATACCCATAATAAAATATTTATTTATTTATCTGATTCACCAACATTCTTACAACTAAATATTAACCTAAGATAGAAGTCTGGGCAATAGGTTGTGAAGAACAATAATTATAAACCAATACAGCAAGCAAAAATAAATATTAAAAGAGAAAAGCTCGCACATTGAAACATTTTAGTGGGATTAACTTATACATTCAAATATGAATATATATATACATATATATGTATAACAAAAATAAGTCATTTTAAAACGAAGAATGCAGTGCCTATACAACATTGACATAAAATTTATTAACATGTAATCGACGGAGTTAGGTATAGTCATAGTAAATCTCATAATGAACTTAACCAACTAATAAAGATTTATTTCCACGGCTACCGAGATTTTATTTTACTAAAAGATGAAATATGAATTCTGAAAGTCGTATAAAGCTCCACATTCGATCAAAGCCCAATGGCATTATCTCTAACGAATGGCTCAGTCAGTTTCCTAGTGACATTGATAGGTGGAGAAATTACTATAATTTATCACTAGCTTATTTTTCGAGCGCCTTTCTGAAGCATCTCATTATTGAAAACGACGCCGCTTTTGTCATTAAGGGACAAAGTGAACTTTTCATTTTTATATTACTGGGATCTCTGCCTGCAGTTGAACTATTGTCATGAATTCCTTTTTTATTGCGAGAGAAACCTTTGAATACTTTCTCACCTTACCACAATAAAACTACTACTTAACAAATATTTACCATTAAACATTTGGTTGTTATATACATTTATAAAAAAACTTTAACGGTTTACAACGCGATGTTAAACGTATTTGAAAGTCGGTCCCCCCGTGATCACGACTGCTGCAAAGCATTTTCGGATACTAAAATAGTTTTCAAATAAGTTTAACTAATATAAATACGTTTGAAAGTGTGAAAGTTTTTTTAAATAAATGTCGACTACTCGTGTAAACTACAGACTGTGTTAGTTACATATCTTTATTAACAGTGTAATTTTTAACAGGTAACTCTATCAATATCGATTCTTATCAGCCTCCACGTGTTCTTCTTGCTGGTTGTGGAAATTATACCTCCCACGTCTTTGGTGGTGCCTCTACTTGGAAAATATCTCATATTTGCTATGATACTGGTTTCAATAAGGTAATTTTTTTGCATATATAGATGAAATTTTAAATTTATTTGCGCTACCTTGTTATATGGTATATATAGTAGGGGCATGGTGAGCTATTGATATTAGATTCGTGTCCCGACGTCATCAATGTTTATTGTTATTAGTAAATCATGATTTCATTGATGTTTGAACGCTAATCACAGGACCTATTTTTATGATTGGAATTAGAAAATTCATTTCGTGTTGGTTAGAGCTAAGCTTATAAAGGTCAGGTTTCCGATGCGTACGCTGCAAAAACGGTTCAAAGTACAAAAGATATGTATAAAAACATGATTCTTTAGTAAAAAGTCCCCGTTAGTGGGCGAGGGTGGGGGGAGGGTTTATCCAAAAACAAATTTCGATGCCGAAAATAACTTTTCTAGGCGAGAAAAGTTATTTTCGGCTGACACCGATAGTAGCAAAACATATATTTCATATTCACATATGAAATATATGTTTTTTCTCACATGAGTGTTGAATGTATTTTCAAATATGAGTTCCTTTTATCATTCCATATACTGTTACTTATTAAGTTATTAATACCTTCATCCAAGGTTTCCGTACAACAAAAAGGACTGAGTAAATGAATGAACTTTTGAACAGAACGCGTGAGCTTCAAAGTATTAAACCTCTCTGGGTCGGATTACAAGCCACAATTTACATATAAATTAAAATCCTCTTCCAAACAAGATATTTGATTGGACGACTTTCAAACAAACGACATTTAGGGCAAAACGCTCTTCTATAGAATATGCAAACTGTTGTGAGAATTCGTTATTTCGCTGATATTTCGTAGATCGTCAGATTAAGCGGCGATATATAAGGGCGATTAGACGCAGTTAGTCATAATGAATAAGATAAAATCATTTTATGTGGGTAATATCCTGTAAAAAATATGTAGTGCAATTAAAATACTTCTAATTCATTCTCCGCCCTTGATTTGAGAAGTGGTAGTAAATGTAATGTTAGATTCTCTAGTTGTATGACGTTCATAAGTGTACCTAGTTATCTACACATATGATTTTTGACTTTGACATTGACATTGTAACTCTTAAATGTTAATTGTCAAATAAGTACTAATTTTAGAAGTATACATTTTCCGTTAATTTCATTAAGAAAATGTATATTAACTATTCTATTAATTGCAAATTAATTTTACCCTCTACTCAAACTCAAAACTAACAGCGTAACGTTGCTCAATAAATTGAGCTACTGTGTCCTGGTACTATGATATGAAAATTATAGCGAAACCTGATGTAATATGTTTATCTGTATATGCATTATATCGTATGAGCAATTAAGCTAAAAGGTTTGTAAAAGAACGAAAAAAGGAGTCAGCCATGAACAAAACGAAAAGTGTTATACAGTGTATTTGTAGAGTGTCCTTAGCTTGAAGTACTTATGTCAGAATGCTGTTAGCCGTGACACGCCCTGTCAAGTGGAGTTTGACGCAATGTGGCTATATTTACCAAGATTTAACTTACCCTGACGTGTTTGCAGTAAATATAGCCCTTTTTCATACTTTCTCGTGCTGAACTTATTCGGTCGGGCACTATATACTATTAGTGACACGGACACAAAAATAAGTCCCATGTCTTGCTTAGAACTAACGTATCAATCAATTACTTTACTTTTGATCAATCTATCACGAAAGAGATATTCAAATTCCTTACTTTTAATTACAATTCATATTAACCTATAGCGTAAATCGTCTGATCTAATTTCACTAATAAATAATAACATTAATCCAAGTTGACTGACCGTTAAACCCAAAAGTACTTGACATAAAAATTTCACATTGACAGTTAACTTTCTTATTTCTCAATTAGTCTTTTAATTCTCGTTGGGTTTGTGTTTTAAGTTATTTTTGTTCGCGGTAATATAATTTGGCTTTAAACGAAGAAAATAAGCTAAAAAGGTATGATAAAAATGTTTTCTTTATCGTACCTTTTTAAAGTCTTGCCGCTAAGAACAAATTAACGATAAAAAACCACTGAGGCGAGAATTATGCCACCCAGCACCCTCCCTTAACCACATATATCTTGATTAACCGCCGAGCTATTGCTATACGGGTGGCAACTTTGGAACCTATATAGATAGATACAACTTCCCCGGTTTCACAGTATTACGAACTCAAGTCAAAGATCAGTTACTCGTACTTACTATTAGTTGTTTGTTTCTAATGAGAATAATTTCCTCTCAAACTGACTGAGAAGCTACATTAAGTGATAAAATGAATTGTTCGGTTTGTAGGGTAGTATGAAGTAATAACTGTCTCTGAAAAATCGATTTCTGTAGAAATAAGCTTTTCAGATATGTAATGTAAAATTTGCTTCACGGATAAATATAACTTTTAGTCCATGGATTCGACTTCCAATCATCTCATACGTTTTTTATCTAATTAAGGTTTTAATTACTTAGTAAGTGAAAGTATAAATTAAAAAGCAAAGGTTTAATAAATGTTGACGGCATGAGCGGGACTGAAACCTGGAGGACTCCACAGCGTTCCGTGCTGCTGCTCTAACCAATTGAGCTACCGTATTCCACACCTTGTGTGACACGGTAGCTCAAAAACTATGAACTGGATTTTAATCCCAATAATTTTATTTTATCGTATAAAGTTTTCAGAGTAAAAATAAGTTTTTTTAAATCTAGTCACTTGTAACTTAATTTTTGTTTGTTTTCAGTATATGCGTGACGGTGGTAGTTTTAAACGTCCACTTCCGTTCACCACAAACCCACCGGATGGCGCCGTGGGTGAAACGGGTCTTCATACATATTCTACCGCGTTTGCTGTTTATGAAACGGCCGCAGTACAAGTTTGATACTACGAGGTATGTTACTACAAATTATATCTGAATATCCGAGGACGAAACAGGTTCACCTTCCATCAAGTAAACCCCGTGCTTGTCTGGCCTCCTCTATCATAAATATAAATATACATATATGTATATCGTTCGTTTTGTTCGAAAGCATAAAAATTAGTTGTCACAAGTCGTAAACAAATTCTAGCATTTAAACAAAGCACTTAACGATCTGAATCGTTTTAATTAGTTAAACTTATATGAAAATAATTTTAACTACGGCTCGATGTTTCGGATGCTTTACAGCATCCGTGGTCATGGATAGCCTCTCCGTGACCACATTTTAAATGTACTACTTGCGTAAACTACATACAGTATTTAAATTGTCAAATAAACAGATATATGATTGTGTCTGTACCGGAATTTGAAATATACTTCAACACCCTAAACATTAAATAAACTAAAAGTAATCTAATTAAATTAGGTATAACCTACTTATGTTATTATGAACATACACTTTACTATAAGCGAGAAATTAAACTAGTTGGCTAACTAAACCTGTAAGGAGAATTAAAAACAAAACTAAAACAACGAATCTGCTACGCTAGCGCCGTTCTAGCTATTTTGTGCAGATCTTCTTTGACATTATGCTACCACGCCATAGTTATATAAATTAACTAATACATTTCGCGTTTTAAACTTTTAAAATTACTATATTATGTAAATGTATTCGACAGGCAATTCCTTAAGCTAGCAGACCAATATTTGTATTAGCGAAATCTGTATACTTGATGTAAATTAAATTTCACTAAGTCTAAATCAATTATAACTTCGCGAAAGATCTAACTGTGTTTGCTTCGAAACGTCAGCATTTTAAGACTTATTTTATATTTCGTAAATATTTTTTTTCTTCGTTTATAAACGTCAATTCAAATTCGTCATTTCAACAAACCGTAATCATGTAATGTAAATGGCGTACTCACCAAATCATATTAGAGTAGCGTGGTGGATCTATGTGCTGTGGGACATTAACGTTGAAACATCGAAAGTCTTATAGAGCTACTCCATCTGTGTCCCAATCGATAAATTCCTTATATAGTAGAATATACAAGATTACCTAAATACGAATGTCGGGAAAAAAAATATAAATAATATTTTCGAAACACAAAATCGGTCTTTGAATCAGACAAGAATGTAGGGGGCAGATCCCAAAATCCAAATAAGATAAATGTTTACTTATTCTAGGCATGTAATTTGTCTTTAAACAAAAATATGTTACACTTAACAATAACTGAATTTGTAGCTAAATGGTTAAGCCTAGCATTGCGTTCAGCTTGAGAGGCCCTAGATTCGAATCCCAGGGAAACAATAAAATTGTGTCAATCTGCCTGGGCTCAAAAGTCTTCGTCAACTATTTGCCTACAAAAAAACAAAACAGTGAAACGGACACAGAAAAGTGTTCGCCCCATGCCCCACGGGGGAAAACAGGACGTCACTTATGTGATATTTAAACTGCCTTGTATTTTGCAAATCCTAAAAGATCTTAAGAATCATCTTTCCATCCTTGTACACAATTTTCGTGCATCAAAGGACCTCTCAAATTAATCTACCCACTGTTTCATTGAGGACGGGCCTTTTAAAAGGTATTTTAATCACGAGATTCCTCGATCTATCAATCTTCATTCTGCTGACGCTACACAAGGTATAAGAAATTCCAGTAATATATGTGCCTTTCTTACTTATAATCACCTTAGTTTAAAGGTACGCTTGGCAAAATTTAATTTAATTTGACATCAGAGGAACTCGTCTCAAATAATACAAGTATAACGCTAATAATAATTTATAACATATTTGCTCGTAAAGTGGATGTAATTACACCAATTTCAATATCGTAATGTATCTCATTACGTACTTGTGCGATAATGTAATGTAAAAGGCACGTGTTTTTTTTCTTAGCAAAGAGGTTTTATGTCAAGAAAGTGGTCAATATTTTATGAATAAAATTAACTTTGGGAAAAAAAATATAACAAATAAACATTTCATTCGTTAATTTAATTAATTTAGACAATAAATTACAACCATTTATCTATAACAAAAACACAAAAATATTAAATTACTTTATTAGTAATACTGGCTGTTTTTGTACCTTTGCCCAAAAAAAAAACGTTGATGCCGGCGCATCGCTTATTTGTGGACAAGTAAAAATTTTTATAACTGCTTTAACAATTAATTAAAGATCTATTCGTTTAACTAAGATTTATTAATTTCCTCGTAAATATGTTATAAAACGTCGTATGACATACGTGCGCTTTGAAAATTACAGCCTCTGCTTTCTTATAGTAATATCGCCTCGGCTGTAATTTTCAACTTACCGCACTTTTATCATAATGTACCACCTCATTAAATTGCTTGTTGTTTGCATTTTGATGTTAGAGGTTCCAGGTTCTAAGCGAGGGAAAAAGTGATTTTATGTTGATTCGTTTCGTGGCTTCGAAAACAGACACGGAAATTTTGTCGATGTCGCGTCTAAAACTTAAACGTTTCTATAATTCATTCTATATATTTAGGTAGAGGTTAATATATAATCATTTCCCTATATTTAAATAAAACAATTCCAAACGAGAAACGTATTAGTTATATTTATATACAATTTAACCCAAACCACTACAATAAAACAGTAGCAGTTTTTACTTTGACGTTAGGGACACCCTCCATCTACAGTCACCCTCTTAATAAGGCTGCTGCAAAGCATCCGAAACACCGTAGTTAAATAAATTTTATATAAGTTTTAATACATTTTGCGTTTTAAACAGTTAAAAGTGTTTTATTTAAATACTACTTTTGTAAATACTTAGCCGCTTTCCAACCGCGTTTTCAAAGCGTTTTATCGTGTTAATTCATCAACGCATATAAAAGGGTAGTTCGTATTTGAGTGCTAACGTGCTCATTATTTAAAAATATTCCAAGGGGTCGGGAACCCTCACAACCTTGGTAAAGTATTAATACACCCCTGCGTTGCATAGATCGTGCCCTTAATAAATAAACGCCTTATTATTTACTAGCGGTTGCACGGCTTCTAGTGCATGGAATTCTTTAAAATTTCCATTTATGTTACTTATACGTGGTCTACTTTTGAAGTATATTAAATAAGGTTTACTTATTTCATATACTTTTACTAAATTAGGGGTCCTGTGTAGCTAAATAGTTAAAATTGTTGCCTACAATTGCGTTAAGCGCAACACGATTCGAATCCCGGGAAAATAATAGATTGTTTTAGTCGGGCAGGGCACGAAGTCTGATCTATAATATTTTTGCCTCATGCACCATGGAGAAACCGGGTTTTCGGGTCACACGAAAAATAAAATTACAAAAATGAAAATACTGTCTCCTCTTGACCACGGCTGCTGTAAAGCATCCGAAACGTCGGACCATAGTTATAAATAATTTATAAACACGCTTGACTAATATATTTCTCGTTTTAAACCGTCAAAGAGTTTTATATAAATATAAAAATGTAGTAAAATATGACAGCAACAAGATTTTTTTTGTAGTTTACGCATTTTCTGTCTTAAATATTAAATTGATTTTATGCATTGCTATCTCTTTATAATAGTAATATTTACGTATTACGTATAGTAATATTTTTTATTTTCCAATTTTCATCCCTTCTCGTTCTCGTGGTGCAATGTATTTAGCAGTAATCGGGAACCCCATAACGTCATAAAAGGCATCAGAACGTGTCAACAAAGTGTCCAATTAAGCGGTCGAGCCTCAGAAATCCTGCCTTAATTGCCCTACCACTCAAGTAATTAGGAGATGATTGCCAAAATGAGTTTACACATCCCAATACAGCCGTTGAGTGAATTATTAAAAGGCGAGTTATGAGGCCTGGAGAGATCTCAGGATTATATAGGACGCATTTAAGTACCTTATTAACACGAAAATATAATAATACTTCGAAGCAAGTAAATAAGAAGCCAGTAACAAGTAATTAAGAAGAACAGAGCCAGAGTAGAAGCGAAGAGTAACAGTAAGGGCGATAAACATCTTAGTAACGAAGATGGCGTCCATTCAATAGCTTATTAATAAGAATTCTGGATTTGAATTGTTTTTAAACGACGCAAGTTGCTATGTAAAGGGTTACGAATCTGGTTTTATTGCGATCACTATTAATACGGTACAATCTATAATAATATATAAAACTGAAGAGTTTGTTTCAACGCGCTGATCTCAGGAACAAGTTTTGTACTGCTTTAATTGAAAATTATTTTTGTGTTTAGTTGTGTGTTAGCAGTAATCAAGGCTATAAAATATCACACTGCGACCAATAGGAGAGAAGAAAAAGTGGGAAATGTGGGAAAAACGCGGCACAGTACGAAAACGATTCAAGACACCAAAAATAATGTGTATTGTTTCTTCTTAAAATTATAAAAATATCCCGCGAATATGTCTATCTTTAAAGATTAACTCGCAATAATGACGGGAAGTTTTATAATGCTAAGGTTGTTTGCAAAAATAAATAATATGATGCCCGAAGTAACACAGCTAGTTTATTAATTAGAAAGGTTTAGACCGATTTTAACACAGAAGTTGCTGCTAACATACCTTTATTAGTATACTGTTAAGAATCTGGTTTTATTGCAATAAAACCTACAGTATTATATAAAACTATTCCGAAAAGCCGCAATACAAACAAACAAAATATTAACTGTACTGAAATTAACCGTATGCTTTAGAAATATCATTTGTCAAAATATTTTAAAGACTTGAAAATCAAACGGTGTGCTTATAAGAACGGTCGTGTATAGAATTCCATATTAAAAAGTGTGTACGTCTATTTTTCGGCATACAGTTATTTGAAATATGAGTAACATTACCAAATGTAAAATCAATTAACGATTGGGATTCGCAGGAATATTTGTATTTTTATATGAAAAACACTTCAATATTTCTTATTTCTCTTTTTTATTACTTTTCCACATTCTCAGATTTCGTTATTACGGTTACTGAAGTCTAGATTTTGCATTATCTGTGAGCATTATTCAACTATGAGTGATATAATCTGCGGCACCTCGCTGCGGTCTCGATGCTTATCTAAATAGCTCTCGAAGATCTGCAGATAGCTCCATTGATGCCCCAACCTCAATTAATAGTCGGCCCTTACCTATGTTTAATGTCATTTATGAGAACCCTGAATTGATTTTAGGATCTTCAGATAGGGTTAAAGACTTTCCAAACTTAGTGATTAATATTCGTGGATTTAGTAATCAAGAAGTGTACGTAGCTACATTGAAAATACTCTTTAAATAATCCCTGTACTTTACGCGAGTAGTACACACTTAAATAAAACACTTTAACGGTTCAAAACGCGATATATATTAGTTAAACTTATTTACAAAGCATCCGAAACGTCAGGCCATAGTTAAAATATATTTCAAATAAGTGTAACTGATGTATATCCCGTTTGAAACCGTTAAAGTGTTTTGTTAAAGTGTTAAAGTGTTATGCTCTATAAATTTTTATTGCGTCTCAGTAGAAGTAAGCAGGAAAAATCCGAAGTTACAGCGGAAATGTTTCATGATCAGGGGAAGAACCGGAAATCACGTTTCAAAAACTCCTCAGCTTCCTCTGGGCAGTTATTTTGTGTAGCTTTAACGTAAAATTTATTTTATTGTGAAAAAGGGGACTTCTTACAAAACCCTTGTAATAACCGCGCCAACTTGATATTAACTTTGTAAAATATTGGAACTTTTTTTACTTATTAAAGGTCGCTGAAGCATAAAGGTGACCAGTTTTTCGATAGGCAAGAATCATTTTCTTGCTCATAAATAAAGTCAATCAGTGAAGCAGACACACAAATGTGTGTGCCCATTTATGCGAAACATACAGTAAAACTTAGTGATCACCACAAACATTATATAAGTAATAACTTATAAGAGTCTGGTTAGTTACCTCAACGTTTTTATATACTTGAAGTTAACATAAAAACTACGTCATCTGGAAGTCGAAAGAAGTAACATTTACCTTAAAACCCAGAAGTTTGCCTACACTGTACGTGATTAGCTACACTTCGTCGTAGAAGGCGCTACGAAAGTTTTACTCCGAATGAAAGAAGTTACGAAGGCCGGACATTATCTCTGCATTTAATAAAATTAGAACTTATCGATGTCTGTGCTAGATATATATTCAAAAAGGATAAATTAAAAGTGTTTCGACGTGCAGTGTTGTTACGCTTACATAACTTTCATCTTAATAAAAATAAGCGAATATTACATTTTTTCCTATTTAACCATGACGGCTGTACCTTACTATTAATAATTGGTGGTCACTTACTTGTTTCTATTTAAAAATAATCAGATAATCATAAATAGTCTCGTCTGCTACACAGTTTAATTGATGCATCATATTTTCAATAATAAATCTCTTTTAATGGTTGAAAACGCGAAATATATATATATAGTAAACATATTTTAACAACAGCGCGATGTGTCGGATGCTTTGCAGCTACTGTAGTCACGGTCACTATGGTCGGGCCATAGAAAATATAAGTTATGTAAAATATTTTAGACCGTTAAATGAATTTTCTATATGTACTACTGTATGCGTAATTAATAGAGAAGAAGTCCGATGAATACCACCAATTAAACATTTTTAGTCTATACTTTTATTTAATATTGTTCATCCAATTGTAGTACTAGGTTAAGAGTTAATTAGCAACGTTTTTTCTCAAGCGAAATATATTTCTAAATATATTTTCTAAGCGCGGAGATCCTCAAGCCACAAGACCTCTTCACGGTTATCAAGAGCTGTACAGAAATACTGTTATTTTAGTACCGTCCGTGTAGTTTTGCTCGTGTGCTCTTGTTGTATAATTTCTTATATTCGTTGCAGAAATCTTTCATTTTTACCTACAATGTTATCAAATCTAAACAATCGACTATAGTAATTTTAGTGCTATCGTATACGTACAAAGTAATACTACTGTTTTCTGGATACGTATAAAATAAATAAAACCCTTTAGCGGTTAAAAAGCGATATATATTAGTTAAATTATTTTGATAACATGAGGTCGGCCTCAAGTTATCAAACACCTGGGATCCCATATTAAGAACTCTGGATTCCAATAAACAGCATACCAGCAAACGCAAAGACACCGTTAGTCAATTATGCAAGGACCCGGCCAGTTTCGCCAAATACCAACTTCGACGGAACAAATAGTCCTAGCGTAGCAATTTTTACTTGTTCCTTATTTTCCGTGTGACCACGCCTGCAGCAAAGTATCAGAAACGTCGGGCCGTAGTTATAAATAAGTTAATAACTTATTAAATACTTATAAAGATGTTTTCTTATTCTGAAGGTCCCGGTTTACCACGTGCGGTGTTGTGGTGCGTTGTGGTGGTACAGCGCGTCCCCTCTATCCGTACAGACTGGCTGCCGCTGAAGATGACTGCTGTGCCCCTGGTGCTTGGCCCCCACCTGCCACACCCCTCAGACCACTCACCAGAACACCGAGTAAAGAAGACTTAACGCACACCACTTATGTACAGTCCGGGTACGTTGTTGAGACATTTTTATAGGTGTGTTTTTTAAAGGCTCGCAAAGATAATGTACAACATCCGTACATACGTATTTAATTTGTTTATTTTATATACGAATCATATAATTTAGAATAAAATAAATAATAAAAGAGCGACAGCACGGAACGCTATGGATGCCGGTTCAATTCCCGCCTTTACCGTCAATGTTTTTTTATTTAATACCGGGCAGTTCTTATCGAATACAAGAATTCAATATATTAAATATTTCCCCTCAATCTTTACTAATTTGCTAAACTGTAGATGTTTGTTGGTTTGTTTGATCGCGTTAATCTAAGAAACTACTGGTTCGAAAAAATCTTTCTGTGTTGGTTAGAGCATTAATCAACGAAGGCTAAAAACATCGTTTTGCGGCGTATTGGAGCAAAGAAACAGCGGTAAATATGATTTAAAAACGGGGAAAATTAATACATAATCCTCGTGGGTTTCCATGGCGTACGCTGTGAACACTGTTCAATCTACCAAAACAACATGTATCAAAGAATGATTCCTCTTTAATTGATCTAAAAAAATGACCGCGACCCAATATGACTATCTATTAAAATGAACTTGCAAGAACGACGGGACGCAGACGACATTAATAACAGCTTAAATTTATTGTGTTATAACTATTCTACGCCGACTCCATAATGTTTACGAAACGCCATTATAAAATTTCAGAGTAAGCGACAGCAACCGTTTTGGCGGCAGCTGTGTTGTTCACGGGTCTTCTGAGGGTGGAGCATTGGGAGCCGCGGAAGACGAAGCCCTAAGCCCTGTGCCTGACCCACCACCGGGATTCAGTCATTCTTCATGTCCGCCCGAGGTCCATAAAACATGCTTCTGTGTCCGCTTTATTGCAGAACATACGAGAATGTTAGAAGATTCTACTAAGGTATTGGAGTTTAATACAATTATAAAAATTAAAAATACATTATTCTATAAGAGTTAGCTATTGAACGATCTTTTCTATAAGTATTATAAACTGTCATTAGTTTTTAATATTATTTGAGGTTAAAATAAAACAATTTTAACGGTTTAAAACATGGAAAATATTAGTTAACTCATTTACGATGCAATTGAAGTACGGACAGCCATTGTCACGAGGGTTGGTGCAAAGTGGTTTTAAACCGTTAACAGTGATTAATTTAAATGGATGCTACTCGTATAAACTAGTGACAATGTTCTTTCAGGTAAAAGAAGATTGGAAGTACGTAGCAATGGTGCTAGACAGACTTTTCTTATGGATATTTACGCTAGCCGTACTAGTGGGAACAGCTGGGATAATTCTGCAGGCGCCCACGCTATATGACGATAGGGTACCCATAGATAAACACTTCAACCAGATAGCCACCTCCACGCTTGTCAGGTGTCCACCACCCTCGTAAAAGTTCTGAAAGATAAGATAAATAGGGATAAGAGGCCATAAGGCCTCTCCCTCTATCAGGATTTTGTCTTCAGGTCTTTAGGGGTTCATGCAAAGTGATTTGTTGATTCTAGATATTGGCACTGAACGTCATAACTGTTATAGTCTATTCACGAAAATTAATTAATGACAAATTATCTTGTTCCCCCCAGAAACGTCTAACATCGTCTGTGGGTTGAACATTCCGTAATAACGTCTTTTAGTGAATACACTTTAATAACGAACAGTGCTTTCCAAATTATATTTATGTACCATCTTGTTGACGTTCAAAAACTAGGACGTTGAAATTTTAACGTATCCTTGATCCGGAATAGAACAATATACAACAGCGCACACCCGTCCCCGCCCATCGTGTGTTCTATTCCACGACATTCACTTTTTAATCTATCTATTAATATAGGAATAGATGATAAATTCGTAGAGTTCCTTTTACGTTAATCCTTAACATATGCTAATTCTATTTACTCTATTCCTAAAGTAGACTCTTGTGAAAATCTTGTTTTTTTAAGACCCTCTTAAATACTCCAACGTTATAGATGATTTCTTGTACCTAAACTATATTATCCTAGTTCCCTAAAATATTCAACACTTATTTTATAAAACACTCGAATTGTATCGCTATTGTATCATTTAAATATTATGGCTACTTATTTTTCAAGTTGGATTATTATTATTTTGATTAATGTTGCTCCAATAGATCTTATAAATTAGACATAAATTTGTATTCTCCATCCACGAATTCAAAGTATAGAAATAGTAAAATGTTTTAGTACGCCAAATAAGCAATACTTAGCATACAATATAGTTATAAAATAAATTAATATTATTAATAGAAATATTATAAGGCAAATTAATTTTTATATGTAGGTGTTTAAGTTTACAAAAAACGTTTATAATAATTATTATACAATTCATCGATTGCATTGTGAGATATTATTAAACGCCCAAAAACGGTTCGTAAATAATATTGATCTAATATTTTTAGTCTATTTTCCTTTCATGCCATTCATAGATTCAGTCAAGTCTTTACGTACGGAGCGTTCGTAATTCTTAGTCTATGTAGGGAATAAATCTATACTGTCTTTAATACTTCTTGTAGTAGTTTCCTCGGCATTTCTATACTTCTGTCGTAGAATAGAACATGTACGTATAAATCGATTTTACTACTTGTAATTCAAGACGACCAGTGGGTTAAAACCAAGATTTACTATTCGTAGGAATATATATTATGGAAAGGTAATGTTTTACTGACATTAATGGTATCTATCGAGTTTAGAGATTTCAAACGAAAATGCTTATGACGATAAGTACAATATAATTAAGTGACTTTTGCTCAATTTTGAATGTCTAGCGAAATGTCTGCCTGACATAAGAATAACAACATGTAATTTCCACTTTCAGTTTGTACGATACTGGGTAATTGTTTATTGAATGCAAGTCGTGATAAAATTTTACACAATATTGTTTCATTTAATTATTATTTATTTAATAAAATCTAATTTTCTTTATTAAGGAGTGATAATAAAACAGTAACAATTAGATATTGTGATTTTAAACTGTTGTATTACAATTATTGCAACAGTAAAAAAAAGAAAACATTTTTATTATATTTCGTGTAAGAAATGGTCTTGCTAGTAATTCTAGAGAAGGTGTTAATTGCATTTTCTCTAACACACGATTACAATATAAAAAGTGCCAAATAACTACCAAGTACATTTCTTATATTTCAATTGTAAATAATTTGTATAAATGATAACAAAACCTAAAAGTTGCATGTTAAACAAATAAATAACTTAATGTTATGTACAAAAATAAATTAAAAAATAACAACGCATAATAAACGCTTTTTGTGTTTATTTTTAAGGAAGCAATGAATAGCACTTTGTAGTGTGAATTATAATGAAAATAATTGTATTCTACAAACATAGTTAGAGAATTATATTGGTGCATAGCTTAGGGCCCTGCAAGCGCTTGTATAATAATGATGATAAAAATGTTTCTTGAAAAAATGATAATAATTCATAGTTTTTAATGATTTTTGGCTGGTTCTTTATTGTTTATTTATAATGGTAATTAACATTATTAAAAAAAAAAATTAATCATTACTATACAAGCGTGGGGGAATATTATTTACTCAATGCACGTTGGACTGCCGGCAGTAGATAATTGTAGCTCAATAATTGTAGACAATTTGTAATGTACCCAATTTATATTGTTAATAAAACCGTTATTATATAGATACCCCTGTCTTCTTCATCAAATATATTATAAGTAAACCTATGAATATATGTAAAGAGTACAAAATACGTGAAATAAAAAAGATCTTATTGAAGTAATGAAATAAATTTATACATAGTACCTACCCTAATAAAGTTGAACATCTAGTTGTTATTGTTACAATAACGTAGAGGTAACTAAAACCGTCTTTCCGATTCATCTTTTTATCCTAGTGGGTTAAATAAAGACATTTAAGTGTTTCTGTATTAGTCATGGTTGGAAATCGAAAGTATTCAATATATTTCTATATAATATTAGCCTTCAAATAAATAATGTTCTTCTTAATAAAAAGCCTAGCTCAACTAGAATTTACGTATCTCACCGTTACAATTAATTCCTGTTTAATAGCTTAAAAATTAAATATACTTCTGCCGGAAGCAAAAACATCAGTCCCGCTATTAGTATGTTTCAGCGCTTCCATAATTTGTTCGTTTCTTTCACTATCTCTAATAACATTAAAAGCCGTATCAATGACGCGCTTATGCTCTTCACTGTTCTCTTGATCTGGGTCATAGAAGGGCGAGAACTTATCCAATTTTGCATCAACATTAAAAATTGATCCAGAATAATCATCGCTCTTAGTATTTAATTTATTTCTTTCCCTTTGAGCGACATCACGAAAATTCTTTGGAATGCCATTAGAATCATCGTTCTTCTCTGCGGCATCCCTCATTTGGTCAAATTCACGTTTTGCGTCATTATACGCATCTTGATTACTTGAGCGTTCGTCGCTGTTCCTTGGCCCACCGGTCCGGTGTTGTCTGTTTTCATGTAATTGTAATGTTTGCCAGTTTATCGTATTACCGCTAATTTCTCGTGTATTCCCATTGTTATTAGGTCGGTTTCTCTTCTGAGACCACACATTTGTTACATCGTTGTCAAATTTCTCCAGTTCTGTATTAACATTTTTCGATATACTGTTCAGTTCTTGTCGTAACATATTGCTAACTTTAGTCAGCTGTTCCGTTTCATCTTTCAGAACTTTTGATATAGATTCTATTTTCTGCTGACCGTTGCGATTCTCGAAGGCATGCCGGAGCGTGGTGTTTATTCTGTCTATCGAATTGTGTATTTCACTCGGTACGACGTCGAACTTCTTAGCTTCTAACGCCGCTCTTGTTTTGATGAAGTTTTCTAAAGGGTCGTTGCTGTCTCTCGCGTCTATCGATGATCGAAGTCCGTTCCTACACTTATGTCCATATGGAGACTTGTTTCTCATCAGGCCATTTAATGTTAGAACATGTTCGACAGCGGAGATAGTGCAATGGACTGTGTCGGTGACATCAAAGACAACGTCGTTAAGTAATTTTCCGAAGCCGTGTTGTACGGAATGCAGAGCTCCCTGGAGTTCATCGCGGAAAGACGCAGACACCTAACAAAAAGAGTTATTAAAGATTCGTTCCCCTCCCAGACCATTAAGTAAGTTTCTAAAATCAATTTACTTATATATTTTTTGATACATGTTGAAGTTTGTCTGGAAGAACTGGATATTAAATGGATGGTAGAAGTATCGAGATTCCGTACTGGTCCCAAACTACAGTCCGCAGTCAATTTAAGTCTTTAGATATCCCAAAGCCTAAGCCAAATATTTTATGGCTGGGGTTTTGTATTTTCTACCAATTTAAAAAAGAAAGGCGAATGCTGCTTTAATACATGTAACGTACACTTAGTAATCGTCTAAATATGTACTTACTTGAAGAATCATAAGACTAGCAACAATACACACAAAATTCATTTTCGCACAAAAATCATAGACAAAATAATCCGAGCCTCACAGGTACACTGAAATGGAAAAGGATCCATGAAATCGTGTTTACGTGACGAGCAACACTTGTATCAATATTTGCCACACACTACGCCACTCAGACTGAACCAACTTTACGCTTAATGCAAACGTAAATAAAACTACAGAGTAATTATTAATAGCAAAAAGTAATTTATTCAATACCCAATATCGTATCACAAATATTAGATTAAATTTATCTAAATCTTGTAAGACATCATTCAAATCACATCTGCGATCTTTTCTTATTTAAATAAAAATTATATGTTTTCTGTCACATTTGTAACTTACTTTTACATATATGTAAAAGGTAAGATGATTATAATGTAAAAAAGTATTCCTAAAAAGGTATCGCTCAATTCAGTTGCAACAGCTTAATTAGTTAAAAAACAATTATTTAAATAAAACACTTTAACGGTCTAAAACGCGATATATATTACATAAACTGTGCCAGCTAATACAAAGCAACCGTAACGTCGGGAGCAAATAAGTTTAACTAATATATACCGCATTTTAAACCGTTAAAGTGGTTCATATAAATGGGTACTACTTGCGTAAACTACGACAGCATTTAAAGGGATTATTGTCAAACTTTTAGCCACCTATCCTAAAGAGATTTCATTGCTTTATTGAAGAATATTAATAATTAAATTACAGTTCCAATTATTTTCGTCTTTTTTAAATTTACAATAGGTATACTTTTTATTAGGCCCTTTATTGTTAATAAAAAGTTGAAACGTTTATGTATAAGTAGCGGCAGGGATCTTTAGCGCTGAACGAATCCTGCGCAGAAGTCAAAAATAAGGTATCTAAGGGACGGGAGCGGGGCGAACGTCTAGTGCACTAGCGTTGATTGGTTCCCCAGTCGTGTTGTCTTTCTCGGACCAATACGACGCTCCGCTTGCTTCTCGAGTACAGTCAAGTTTTCCAATCAATTAAGTGCGCGATTGTCAAATGCGCAACTATCCCTTCTACATTTGGTTCGGCGCTCAACATCCGTGCCGCGACCTCTATACACTCCGACCGATATTTAATAGACATACACTATACAAAAACAATATTGCTCATTTAAATGCTTTTTTGGCACCCCGACATTTGAGCAATCTCTTAAAATACAACCATTGTAAAATTGACCTACATCTTTTGGCAAATTTGCGACATTGGGTACAGAGTAGTTTAGTCTTCACTAAATCGTGGAAATTATTAAAATTTAATTGGAAATAGAGAATTTATAAAATATATCTTACACAATTCACTTAAAGCATATCTGACTATAAATAATTGAACGTTTAAAATAAACATACTTGAATAAAACAGTGTGGAATGTAACTAGTGCAAACCACTGTAGAATATTCAGGTATCGAAATAATTCACTTTAGCTTGCCATTACAATCCACTTTTATACATACAACCGGCAAAGCCTTGAATCGTTACTGTCAAAAATAAAATGTATCACAGGGCGATGATACTTAAAATAAGTAAAAATATTTGATTTCATTGTGTTTTGCTTACTAATTACAGTATAAATAGGTATATATTTCTATAATATCTAACAGATTTGACAAATGTATCAAAACAAACTACTCTTTCTATAAAGGTACAATATACTTTCCAATGGAACTAGTTATAGGTTAACTTTTAGATCCAATTTGAATAAATAAATACGAAGGAAAAGAGATATCTAGAGTATCTATTATAAATTTCATGAGAATAACTTAGCTTGTTTAATGAGAAAGGACAGACAACCTTAAAGTTCAAGGTGATAGTGAAATAACCCAGACAACAAGATGTGTTGTCGACCTAATTTGGCTTTGGATATTCGCTTGCTTAGCTATCAAAACAGTGAGAATATAGAATGAAAAGTAGTTTATTTTATATACGCTACGTCCATAGCGATTAATATTTACAACACTGTACACAAATGTTATATGAGATATGTCATGATACATAATGATGATAACCAGAAATTCATATTGGTTAAGATTTTGTACGTCCTACCCTACTTACACTAACTTCATAATAATTTCTAGAGATCTTCTCTTATATCTACGTGAACACGAAACTACAATGTTAAAAGTTTATCAAAATATCGATGAGATTAAAAACTTCATAAAAATAAATTTTAATTTGACCAAAAATGGTATATTATAGATGCCGATACATAGCCTATACTAAAAAGGAAGGTAAAAGATATGTTATAATAAGGAAGAGATGAATTACATATATATTAAAGTCATATAGAAGGTAAACGTGACTAATATTGAAAGTTATATTTTATAGATATTAGTTTTTTTACTGAGCCCACATTCACCAAGAAATAATGACATTAAATTATTTTTTTTTTATATTTTTAGAATAGAAAAGTATACCGTTAGAAGATCTGACTTATATAGAATTTGAATGTTTTAATCATTGTCAATATTTCTAGGTGAAACCGAGTGCGGTTCATACTATTTTTAAAGCTAAGCAGTGACGTCATCATCATCACTTAAATTTTCATCCCGTTTCGGTGGTAATGGTACTTCAACGTCATCGCGACGAGGGGGGATTGGTGTTATATTGACCTTGGGTAAAGGGGGGATCGGTGGTGTTTGCACATTGGGAACAGGAATAGAGAGGTTTGGTGAAACGGGCGCTGTTTGAGTATTCGAGGGAAAAGCGTTGTTCATCCTTTGGTAATGCGCTTTCCACGTGCTCGATGGTGGAGTGTAGTTTAAGTGGTCGTACTCCATTTCTGTAATAGATGTGTAATATAGTATTTAGAAGAGTAAATTGTTAAAGTTATAGAGACAATTCATTATGATTAAAAGAGTTGTGACACAAAACCTACAACCATCCCAATGTTATAAATCTCATCAAATCTTAAATAATGTTATAGTTTATATACACTGTCTTACATGCATTAGAGAGTGAGATTATTATTTTGATTTAAAAGTTCTTCACCAATATATAGCGAGAGAGAGATATAAAGGGGGAGTTGGGGGTTAGGGGGGAGAGGGAGAACGATATACTTCGTGTTACTGCCACGGCTGGTACAAAACATCTAAATCCGGTGTATATAGCGTTTGAAACCGTTAAAAGTGTTTTACTTTATATGTGTGTAGTAATAGTAGATCTAAGTTACAAATTAAAATTCTTACCATATCCCTCCTTATGCTTTATCTCGTCATACACATGATCAAGTTTGTTGTCGTCTTCTATACAATGATACAAGTTCGGATTGGTTGCGTCTGCGTCCTTATTCTTGAGTGACATTGGATCATACGCTAGAAAAGAGAAAGTCGCTGTAAGCATCTCCTTTTATCTGAATTAATATTATGACGGACTCCTTGGTCCAGTGGTAGCAATATATTGCTAATAATCAAGGCGTCGTGGGTTCGATCGCCACCGGGTCTATCAAGTCTATCAAGTTTCTAATCAATTCCTTTGAAAGATGTTGATTACATCTGGAAATCTGTATAGTAAATAGGTGGAAGAAATATCGAAATTCAGCCAAGTCATAAAACACCGCACATGGTCGAAAACTGTGATATTCAATTGAATTTCGGTTTCCGAAAGTCCAAAGCGAAAATATCAACAGCACAGTTTGCTTTGATATCCACGCTTGGTTGCCCTCCTCAATTTAATTAAAATAAAATTATTATAAATTCGATATAAGTACTATCCACATCTTCTAAAAAACAAACACTATTATTTTTGTCCACAATTATTGAGTTCTTACTGCCGTTAGACCCAGACGCGGTCATCCTGAGTTTCTCCATAGTGGTGTTGGTGAGTTTAGCAGAGCCGAGGTTGTTGATGATTGCGTTGTTGAGCAGTGTTGTAGAGTCGTCACTGCGGTTGGAACTATTGTACGAGTATACTGGGTTGTCGAAGTGTTGTTGCTCTGAAAGTTTTATAACAAATAAAACATATTTATGGTAGATTAAAAATGGAGGGCATTCCTAATGACAAAATAGTCAAATGTGGATCGTTAGCGCATGGGATCCGAAAAATAAAAAATAAAAAAAAACAAATATTTAAGTTTACCTGATATATTTCTACGTCTTCTACTGTGTAAAGTGTTTTATTTAAATTTCTTGGAATATTAGTTTAAAAACTAATATTATAAGAATTGACTAGGAATACAGAAGAGTTAGTTAAGGCTTAAAAAAAACCAACAAGACACTATTTAATAACAGTAATTATTTTTTAAGCTGTATAGCCAATTTTAGGTTATTTTTAATTATATTGCTATGTAAAGGAAATACCTGGCTGGCTGGCCGGATCTGCAGTATAGTGCACATGAGCGATTTCCCTCTTGAGCAAACGCACTCGCTTGCGGTAGTAAAGCAGCACTAAAACTGCACCACCCAGGCACAGTAACAATACTACTACCATGGTAGCTATTGCGCCGCTGCTGGTTCCGTTTTCTGTATTAACAACATTACACTTCATATTCAGAAAGAGGTTGTATTGATTTTTATTTTGCTAGGTCTTATCTGTGATTCTTCTAGAAATAGTATGGATTTTAGTACGATGAAAGGTCGCAGTTATATAATAATTTAGTATTCATGAAATAGTATCAAATGTTTATAATGAGCCATCGGGCCTTCAATAATAGTTGGAAACATACAGAATTTTAATTAAAAATTACATTGGCTTGTTAGTACGCATAGTTCAAAGTAGGTGGCGCCACTCTGAACTATGTGGATACTACATTTTTTATTAATTTGTTACAATGTATGGCAATTTGGCACAATAATGCGTGTATTTTATTGGTAAACAGTTAGAAAAAAAATTTAAGACTAAAAAATCTGTGAACTATATAAAAGACCAATAAGTAATTAGGCAACAGACAGTAAAATAAAGCCTAGATTCAAGAAAATGTAATTGCAATTGTGCTGTATATGTAATACGAGAGTTTATAATTTAATTTAGTGATTTGACGACTTACCGCTATGCTCTATTTTGATCGCGTCACTTGCTTGTATATCGCAATTGTCTCCAATGTACCCGCGGTGGCAAACACAGCCTCTTACCGGGTCGCACACCCAGTTACCGTCAGAGGAACAGTTGCAGGGCGACATACAGTGGTCACCGAAATATCCTTCTGGGCAGACTGAAAATTAATTGATACCAATCACTCATAAAGAGAAACGATTTGCCCTTGTACAAACATATAAATACATATAAGAGGATAGAGGATATGGAGACAATAATTTGACTGCTTGACGCCTTTGAGAGGGGGCATCCATTTTTTGAGTCTTGTCAATATTTATTGTAAGAGGGAGGCCAGAGCTTATCAGTTCCACTTTCTCAATTGAAAGATTGCGTCAACATCATATAGAGCTTTTGAATTTTTAGATTAAGAAAATAAGTGCATAATTGTTACTAGCTCTATCTAATCTATATGAAATAGTGATTTTTGATATTAAGTGAACTTATTATATTTTATATGAATTAGAATGACTCGGTAGCTCCATCGGTTAGAGCACGGAACGCTGAGGATATCGGTTCAAGTCCTGCCCGAGTCGCTAATTTCAATTTATTATCTTTCTTACACTGTGTACAGAGGGCGCCGGTAAAGCCCGGTGGACAGCGGCAAAAGCCGTCATTAGGACGGCATGCGGCGCCGCGTGCACATCGACACGGCTGCGAGCATCCAGCTCCCCACATACCCGCTCCACAGGCTTGGGCACAGGTCGGTCCCTGCCATCCCGGTAGGCACTGACATTCGCCTAGAATAAATAAGTAAATACTGTCTGTAGTTTACGAGAGTAGTACACATCGAGGTAACACGCTGCAACGGTTTGAAACGCGAATTATTTTACGTAACTTGTTTGAGAATTTCAAACTACGGCCAGGGGTTTTGGATGATTTGCAGCAGCCATTAAAGATTTTTTTTATTAACAAGTATTAATGTTAATTCCGTATTTTCTTTAGTACTGTAAAAGCACATATGCAAAAGCTTTGCACGGGTTATAAAAATATTATAAATATAAAAAAAATCTAACCGGTGACATGATGACAATCAGCTCCGTTCTTACAGAAGCACTTTTGTTCACAATTGCTCCCGTACGTACCAAGCGGACACGGGTATTCACACGTCACACCAGTAAACCCGCTAGGACAGGAATACGCTCCCGTTACGGGGTCACATGTTGTGTTACCTGAAATAAAAGTATTTCTAGTTTATATCAAAGGCTATGAAGACAAGGCTGGACCTTGACAATTAATTATTATGTCTGTAGTTTACACATTCAAATAAAACACTTGAACGGTTTAAAACGCGTAATATATTAGTAAAACTTATTGAAAAGTTTATTTAACTACGAACCGACGTGTCTGCTCGCGACCAGGGCTGCTACAAAGCATCCGAAACGTAAGTTGAACTTAAATATTTCGCGGTACAAATCGTCAAAGTGTTTTATTTAAATATTATGAAAGTTATTGCGATTTTACCTCGAAGGTTTCCATAACAGTTTGAACAATAAAGTTGTAATTTCACTTTGCTGGTTGTATTTTGAAACATTTTAAGAAAACAAACTTGGATTGATTAAACAAAATGGCAACAATCAAAAATGCTGTTGTTAGTTCTTATAAGCTGCAAGTGCAAGAATACAAAGCCTGTATGTAACCCAAAAACTATAAATACTTATATAGACTTGAATATTATATTGATATGAATATTATGCTTCAATTATAAGTAAGTTTTGTGTTATAACAATATATCTATATAAATTTAACTTACCGTCATGTTGCATAGGACACAACTGTGCACATCCAACCCCATAACGACCAGGTGGGCACGGCTTGTCACAGATATCTCCTTGCCAACCAGCTGCGCATACGCAGCGTCCAGTCGACGCGTCGCAGGAAGAGTTGTTAGCGCATGGGCATCGCTCGTTGCATTGCTCGCCGAAATGACCTTCCGGACATTGAGTTTCGCAGCGTACTCCTATGATTGTATATGTATGAATTAGAATAAAATAATGTTTCTTGCACATGTTACTAGTAAATTTAAAATGTTCTAGTACTATTTTTTATCGGAAAATTGGTATTATGATACCTATTATTATTTCTGGTTTTAGTTATAATTTTATATAAGTACGATGAAAAAAATATATAAATATTCTGTAAATACAAATCAACTACATATAACATGTCTACCAACATTGTATAAATAATTCCGTAGCAATACAAGATTCTTTTTAATATTAAGTTTTTTTGAGTATCTATAATTGAAACCGTCTAATCACATTGAAAATTTTTTCTTTAAACCAAAATATGTCTAGAATAAAATAATAGTCTTTTATGTACTTCAATATTTACTCTTTCAATTTACATTTAAGATTCCTCCATACTGAATTGCAACAAGTGACATTTTTGTTTCTGCCTTCATCTTTGAAACATTATTTCGAACAACCGCAATGATGGACTTCAAATGAGATGCATTCATTCGCTGTAGAGTTTTAAGAATAATCTTATACACTAGTTTTAGTTCCACTTCGTCAGGTATCTTTAAAGATATGCACTGGTTATATGGTAAAATGATATTCTCTTCACTTCCATCACTATGGGACTCGAATATTCTCGACTCATTGCTTTTTAATTTTTGATATAATAACGAGTTCTCGGACGTATCTGTATTAACACAAAGGAAGGCTTATTACAAGACTTACCCCATACTAAGTTCCTAGTTAGACCTTTTTCAGCAATTAATGGGAAGTTTATTATTAATGATATAGAAATATTGTAAATGCACTAGAGTGATTACCTTAAAGCTGATTTAGTATTATAGATTCACATATTTTTAAAGTGTTTCTCTCTATGTATTGTTCTAGCGAAGCGCATATCTATGTTATTTTACCAAGAAATAATGACTATAAACAAACAATAACTTTCTACGTCTGTATTGTGCGGGTAGTCTGAAGTTAACGCACCGTTAACAACCAATTACTTTAAAATCGTTAATCTTCTAATAAAAATCAAAATCTTTAAATTCTAATAAAAAAAAATTTTTAAATGTATTATATTAATAAATATACTTTTTTCCCCTTCATTTTAAATTGTTGTGAAGCTCATAAGTGCATTTACTAGCTTACATCAACGGACAGCGTTAAATTTTCTTAAGTGGTGTCACAATTTCTTGATGCAAATGGTTCTTTAATCACACCAAAAAATTGACGGGTCACTTACCACGCCAGCTAGTCTCACAGATACACTGCCCCGTCACATGATCGCAACTAGGCGCGTGCGATGAACACGAGCATTGCAATGAACAATTTGCACCGTAGAAGCCGGGACTACAGCGGCGTGAACATTTTGGTCCTTCGAATCCGGGTCCACACACACATTCACCTATGTACACAGATTACAATACATAAATAATGCATAATATACACTTAATAAACAATAGCCCGACGTTTTGGGAACTTTTCAACATTATTAGTTTATATGTAATCTTATATACTTTAAATGTAACAATGTAAAAAACAGTGTAGAAAAACAGAAAAGAAAGGAAGCAACCTAAATAACTGCATGGACCTTTGCTTAGCTGTTCTATCTTTTCCTGTGAAGAATATTTGACATCTCACCATTAACTGGATCGCAAGGAGCACCATTATCACAATCACAGGGCTGTCTGCATCCCAAGCCATATGTTTTTCCGTCGCATGGTCGATCACACTTCAAACCATCGAATCTAGAAGTAAACAATGTTTTACACAAATACTCCACAAGGTATTTGGAATTAATGAAATTATCCCCAAATAAAAGAGAACGACACAGAGAAAGTCCGCAATGAAAGAAAAATGTCTGCGGGAAAGAATTTTTTACTCGTTAAGGAATCAAATAAATCACTTAACACTTCCAAGTTTTCTTTAGATAAAAATAGTTTGTAATAGTTTTACTATTCGCGAAATTACTGATTAGGAAGTCTTCAAATATTATATAATTATTGTATATATGTATTCAACTGTGCCGTGAATGTTTTAAGTTTGTTGCAAATATCAAATATATAATGTGATTAATTTAGTAATATAGAAGAAGTATATGTAGCCATAAGCTACATACATGTTATTTTAAGTAAATTAATTTTATGAGAATTAAGTCTCTAAACTTAAGTGTGAAGCTACTGAACTCACGCATTTACAATGTTACTATGAATGAACGTGTTTCATTAATGCGTCGGGTCTGATTTGGTAAATTCTACTGACCCAGGTGGGCAGCTACATTGCCCGGTCTCATGCGAGCAGGTCGCATTGTTCATGCATTGACAGGTATCAGCGCAATTATCCCCATACAACGGATACGGACACGCTTCCTCGCAGTGGACACCCCGATATCCGGGCGGGCATAGACACGATCCTAGAATAAGACAAACCAAAAATTCATCAATTACTTGTTTACAATATTTACATACAAAGTATAATTCTTCAAATAAATAAATTGAAAAAAAATCGATTTGGGCAGGACTTGAACCGACATCGTCAGCGTTCCGTGCTGTTGCTCTACCAATTGAGCTACCGAGTCCTACACCTCATCGTCGAATTTTTTCAACTTATTGATAAATGCACCTCTCGTACAATGTAATTCAACCTTAACTCTTGCGTATTAATATAATAATGTAATGTTTTTGTTACCGTTCACTGGCGAGCACAATGCGCTGTTCTCGCAACGGCAGTTAGACCGGCATCCTTTGCCGTAAGTGTACAAGCGACACTGTCGCGTACAGGACTCGCCGTCCCAACCCGCTGAACACTCGCATGTCCCTGTCCAGGGGTCACACCTGCGTAAACAAATTTAAGTATCACGTTTTAGTGACAAAAATACTTGCCACGAATAGTATATAGGACAGTGAACCGATTATTCGGTTTACTGTCCGAATAGCCCAATATTCGGTAGAACTATTGGGTCAAACTTTATCTCTAAAATGTAAACAGATGGGTTTGTTCTCATCGCATTAAATTGATTATAGGTTCACCTACATAGACGTATGTATAGCATGCGGATATTCGGTGAATAGACAGAATACCGGATAGTAACCGAATATTTGTTGCAAGCCTACATGCTGTATACCAAGATAAAATACTAATCGTTTGGGTTTATTACGCAGGGCATCAACGTAGGCCCGTGCAATCTATAAACTTTAAAAGACCATAATAGGGTGTAATTGTCTTACATATCCGTGGTATGTGGGTTACACTCGCACTGGTGGTCGCAGCGTGGTCCCCACAACCCATCCGGACAAGCTCGACGTTCGCACCAAGCGCCTTTCCACCCGGGTTTACATTTGCACGAACCGTCCGTAGGGGAACATTCTCCACCATGCTGACACGAACATGTCCCAGCACAATCTACGCCGTATGTACCGAGGGGGCATGTTTCCAGACACTGAAAAAATATGAGATTAATAATACAGATATATAAACATTGGTGCTGATGGAACTTGCACCAGTTTCTGGGACGTGTTATTGTACCAATTTTGCAACATTTTTAGGATTAACAGAGTCGATAAAGGCTCAACCGAGTGAAATAGATATGTATATAAAAGATTAGAGAGTTAAATTTAAAAGTTCGAAGTAAATTCAAATTATACATAATATAAAATATTGTATGTCATTGATACATATCAATGACATACAATATTTTTTAAATTTTCATTCCATGTGTTTGAATTTATAATGATATAAATACTAATGTATCGAGTGTCTGTATAAGGTATACTGGTTATTTAGTAAAATAGTCTACTTTCTCATAAAAACTGCATAAGTTTTTTTATTAATTTCTTTGGATAAGATATTTTTCTCATATCCTGTTTTGTAAAAAGAAAACATTTTTTTATAACTCTAAAACATTAAGCATTGTTCGAAATAAAAATCGCGTATTCTATATTAGTCTAGTCAGTAAGGGGGGGGTATTTAGGAGACTTTGAAATCAAAGATACCTTATCTCCAATATAGCCAGCTTCACACTGGCACTGTCCCGTCACATGGTGGCATCCCGCACCATTTGCGCATTCGCATGTCTTCTCACACTTGTGGCCCCAATGTCCAGGAGGACATCTGAAAAAGAAATTAAAACTTAAAAATCCTACTTAGGTTATAAATACCACTGCTTGTAAGGACGGGTGGGTGATAAATGTTTGTTAATATGTAGCCAACAAAATGTATGTACATGTGCTTACATCCCATATGTAGCCAATGTCTAAAGCGAAAGTATGTGAGGTGAACCCTACCTCTGTCTTTTGTCTTAAAAATAGCTACCAACTTTGTATAGTAAATAATGTTTGTTTATTGACCCAGACGACAAGATTAGGTAATATCGCGGTACGTGTTTACAAATAGTAGATAGTTCGAATAGTACACATTTAAATAAAGCACTTTAAGGGTTTAAAACGCGATATATATTAGTTAGTCTTCCCGTGACCACAGCTGCTGCAAAGCATCCAAAACATCGGGTCGTAGTTAAAATAAATTTTAAATAAGTTTTATTAATTAATGCGTCGCGTTTAAATCAAACACTTGAAATTAATGAATAGTTACAACGAATCTAAAAGGTCTGGTAATTAAGTAGGGTTAAATTAAGTACAAAAAATTGAGTTTCAACTAGTTTTAAAGTAATAAATAGTAGTCTGTAATTGCATAAAGAACAAAGACTCACTTGTTCGCGCAAACCTCCCCGGTCCACCCAGGAGTGCATTCACACTCGCCAGTAATAAAATCGCACTGTCCTTTATTTTGACACTTACAGCGCTCCGGGCACGGCGCATCTTTTGGACACACTTCCTCACAACTGTAAATGAGCAGCAAAGTTTACAAAATTACAACAGTACAACCGGATTTTTTATATCAGTAATCAATCGCAAACACGAGGTTATTACGAGTATATTTATGTGTCTGTTACACACAATTAGTTGATTAGACTTATATATCGTGTTTATCTGAAACCATCATGATCCCCGAAAATTGAACTCGGGACCGTTCGCGCTAGATGCTAGACAACGCGTCTAAACATTGAGGTACGGAAGCGGTTTTAATAATGTTGAAGCATAGTATTCTAAGCGCTAGATAAAAAGATATATAAATAGTTGAGTAGGAAATTGTTTAGTTAATAACTCATATTAATATTCGATATTTAAAACCGTTAAAAGTATTCTATTCTATTTGGACGTACATCTTGAATAATCTACAAAGAAATTATTTTTCTTATGACTTAGCCGTCGTTGGAAACTTAAAATTATTCTAATATACTAATAATTATTTCTTAAAAATAATAATAATTGTTAATAAAACATTAGTAATTGTGGCAAACCCACCATATAAATCCAAAATAAGGATATTAAGAATGACTAATTAGCAGTAATAAAATTATCAAATAATTAAATATCTAATATTTGTTTTTGCAACGTTGAAATAAGAAATCTCTGTGTACTTTGAATTAATTGCTTTTGTGGATATTTTTTTCATTACGTATAATTATTTCAAATTATATAATAAATATACGTATTTTTGAGAATAAATGATAAGTGTTTGCTTTGCGTTTGTTTTGATTTATATTTATTGTATCTCAATAAGATAAATATCCTCGGTAGCATTTTATTATTATTGATTAGAGCAATAGGAACGCTGTGGATGCCGGTTCAAGTCCTGCCCGACTCATACGTTTTTCAATTTACAATCGATTTTAAAATTTTAATTTCCTCTGTTATCCTGTTGGTAAAGAAATGAATAAATGAAATTTTAAAGGTATATGTTTACGTTTTAATATGTAACGCACTATTGGTTTTAATAACTATATTATATATAAATTATGAGTTATAAAAAGCCAAAATAGGCCAATAGCGCATCTTATTTAGATGTTATATGGCTAAGGCGTTTCACCCCAAGTAAACCGAATGCTAGTTTGTCTTTCTCTATCATAAAATATATGAAACCAAGTCAGATAACTTACAGTGGCCCAACAAATCCACTCAAACATTTGCAGGCTCCACTAGCTGGGTTGCACGTAGCGTTGTTCCTACATTGGCAGGTCTGTTGGCAATTATCGCCGAATGTTGGCGGCGCGCATGTCCGCTCACATGCGTCCCCTCGCCAACCCACTGCGCAAGCGCAATCGCCGGTCAAGGGCTCGCAGGTACCTCCGTTCAAACAGCGACAGTCATGTTGACAGTGTCTTCCCCATTTGCCGTCTGGACAGGCTGCAAAACAAAATCAAATCATGTCTTAGTCCATACTAAAAATACCAACGCGACAGTTGGTTTGACTTTCTTTTATAGGCATATGATTTAGTTAAACAAACTTCATACTAAAACATAAAACTTAAGGTTAAGATCATACTTTTTACATGATAAATTATATGAAAGCAGCTTCTTTATAAATTAGTTCTTTAATAAATAATATATGATATTTTTTTAAGTTTTAAATAACTAAACTAATAAAGTGTGTTTTATATGTAATACAATTTAAAATGTATCAAATAGCTGTGAACGTGTGACGTTTGAAGAGGTATATTGAGCACAGTTTCCATTAGACTCTCACTGAGGAGGAAATTCTCAAACGACAGCCACTAGGGAAATTCATATTGTCAAGTGTACAAATATATAAGTAACTAGCTGACCTGGCAAGCTTTGTTTTGCCAAATAAATAAATAATTTTACTAAAATGGCTATTAAAAAATAAGGGTTGATCTTAGAAGAATGAAAATTGAGGATTGTATGTATCATAAAAAAATATAAATTAAAAATTTTGTCTAAAAAAAAAAAAAAATTTCTTTTTTTGCGTGGACTACCCCCAAAATTTAGGGGGGATGAAAAATAGGTGTTGGCCGATTCTCATAGATACCGGATAAGCACAAAATATTTCATCAAAATCGGTCAAGCCGTTTCGGAGGAGTATGGCAACGAAAACTGTGACACGAGAATTTTATATATTAGATTTAATAAGAGTTTTTGTCACAAGTGTATGCATGCAAAACTTTTTGTACTTTACGACTCAGAACAAATGTGGAAGGTAGATACTTTGAAATATTAGCTTATATAAACTAAACGGCGTTGCAAAGAGCAAAACAAATGAGCCAATTAATAGAGCAAAGAAACAATTGTGCGCCAAAAATAGACGACCAACTGTAAACTGTTCCGCTCGATTCAATAAAACATTACAATAACATAATATATTACCGCGCTTTAAAAGTAGATACCCTACTTTTAGCAGTTAGTATTTTATTGGTGGTGTACTACTCGCGTAAACTACAGATTGAGAATTTACTAACATTGAAGCTCCACCTTCTCAAGAATAGAATTCACTACGCGTTGGGTAAAGTACTTCGAAATGATAACTCACATATATCGCAAGCCGGTCCTCCATATCCATGCTCGCACGCACAGGTGTCCGGAGCGACACATTTACCGTGGACGCACGACTCCACACAAACGGGTACGCACTGTTCGCCGCGCGAGTCCGGTGCGTATCCCTTACAACATTCTTCCACCGGCCGCTGCTTGACTAGCGTCTGAGTCTTATACACTTGACGAAATAGCACTTTGTATTTGGAACAGCGAGGTGGTACACTGAGGCACCACGCGTATTCCTTCACTTGGTAGGGCTGATGTTCTGACACACGTATCGTCGTTGTATATCTGAAATGTGTTTAGATAAATAATAAGCTAATAAGAAAAAAATGTGTATTGTACAGGAGGAGAGAATCCAATCTTTTTCGCCGGGCTGAAGTTAGCAAAAAGTCGAGTCGTGCACCCGCGCACCCCTTTGGTAACGCTTTTTGCGTTCTGCGCAACCATCCGCGCTAACTTCAGTCCGGCTAAAAAGTTTGGAAGGCACTGTAAGAATAGTCAAACGCTTTAAATTTTAATAACAGCAATTTACTTAATGAAAAATAATTTCGTAATGCTTGCGAACTATTAACTAAAGTCAAGCAAAAACTGACGGAGACAAAGGACTGACTCATGTGGTTTTTACTTCACAATGAGAGGTAGATAAAGCACTTCCCAGATATGTTTGCCGTTCGCATAGAACATTCTGAGAAGACTGCTGAAGATTTGATACTTATGTATTATGATTTCCCAGTAAACTATTGTTTCAGTCGTTAAAGTGGATCGTCTTCGCACTTCGTTGTAAACATATCTTGAACTAGATGGATCAAGTGTATAGAATTTGCTAAATATTTCAATTCAGTCTTACGAAAATAACCTAATGTAGGCGTCAATAACACGACCCGTAATCACCTCCCCTAGCAGAATTAACGCCAATATACGCCAAACGCTAAGTGTCTGAAGAACAAATAGCAAAGCAACTTATCATTCTTTTGAGTTAATAAAATTAAATAACACTACTTTCTTATTAATCGAATATCTAAAGCCTTGTGAGATATTATATACCTAGGGTATTTCATATTTCATGTAGTACATGCTTGCAAATACATGCTTGTCTGCTTGTTTGTTGCTAATGCTTGCTTTGCTCCTTTATAAAAATGAATTGTTAGTCTAATTGGACCACATTTTTTAATCTGTGCTAGACAGATTTATTTTTTATTTATTATTGATGGATACTAGCATCTCAATATTATACTATATTATATTCTAGTAATTGTAATCACATAAATACGCTAGCTACTTAGAAATGAGTCACAGTTGCGTCAATCACTATGAATTGTATCAAAGGGGAAAATGATAAGTGTAAAAGGTCAACATTCAGTGTACACTGATGCATTTTATGCGTTCAGTTACTATGTATCTTACGACGAACGTACGTAGTACAGCTTATGACCAGCATTCTTTAACCTTGACATCAGTAAGTAATCATCATCAGTACCTACTTTACTTAAGAAGGGAATAAAATAAAGTAACATTGTTTCTTAATATAATGTCAATAGAATTTGGATAGACTCAATAAAAACTGAGTAAGATTTAATAGTGCTGCTAATTTTAAAGTATTATCTCAATCTTTAATTTAAACTTATATTTAAATTAAACACTAACGGTTTGAAACGCGACATATTTTTGTAAAACTTCTTTAGAGATATTTTTAACTACAGCCCGGCGTTTCGGATACAGCAACCGTTGTCACGGAGAGACAAAAGAGTTTATCTAAAATATATCGATTTTAAACCGTTAAATGATTTATTTAAATGAAAACTCCTCGCGTAAACTACATACAGTTACTATACCGATATTCCAACAAGACGAAAAGAAGTAGGTAAAACGATAAAGTCAATCTTTTCATTAAAATTCGTAATGCGGACGAGACTCGAACTGGAATCGAAACAGTACCGCCCGTGTCATCAAATTAAAAAATTTAAATTGATTTTTAATTACAAAATGACATCATGGGCACTAGCAAGCAAAAACGCATTAAAAATAAACACGAAAGAGAAAACTTGTCTTACGATTCCTGTCTGGTGCAGACATTGGGTCCTTCCAAAAGCGCGTTGACGCTGGCCACCAGCATCAGCAGCGAGTAATTCTTCATGGCGACTGGTACCCGTGGTCACGCGATCCGAGACTCCATAACAAGTCTATTGTTTGCCGCGTCACTGATTGCGGCTATCGGGTTTTAACGGCCTGTAAAAGAGCCGATTCGGATATCAGAGGCAAGGTAACAAATTAAAACTTACGAACGTATGAACTTACAAAGACCAGAAACTTGTGATATGAATTACATTCTAAATAGAACCGAGTACCTTATAATCTATAATTTATTATATGTAAGTATGAAAAATACTGAAAAATCTTCGTCGCTCTTGACCGTCGCTGTTTTTTAGTTAAAATTTACTTGGAAAGCATAGTTCATTGAATTCTTCAAATAAAAACATTTTTAACTACGAAAAACGCAATATTAATTTAAGTAGAATACTTCATTTTTAAACCATTAAACGTGTTTTAATTTAGAGTAAGTTTATTTAATTTATTTTGACGGGCTCGTTGGTGCAGTGGTAGCAACGTATGGCTAATAATAATAATCAGGGTCGCGGGTTCGATCCCCACCAGGTACAAAATCGTTCTAATCAGTTTATCATTTTTCTGAAACATGTTAGACTTCGTCTGGAAATCTGGAAATTTTAATGGGTGGTAGGAATATTGAAATGCCGTCGGGATCACGAACCACAATCCACAGATGAAAAAGCTATGAAGTTTAATCGAGTTTGGGTGTCAGTCTGTGGATTTCCGGAAATACAAAGCCGAAATAGGTCGACCAGCAAGTAAAGACCATGTTTGTCTGTCCTCGTCTTTTATAAAAAGTAAGTAATTTGAACAGTTTTGGCAATCGATCAACCATTATTGTGAAATTAACAAGTTTATTGCACTGTGCAATAATTAAAATCAGAATGAAATAACGAAATTTTCAATAGTAAATAACGTATGAAGTAATTGGAGCACGCAACGGTATGTTTTGTTAAAATTCAGTACATGTTTTGAAAATAGAAGCCGGTAAAAGAACTCGCAGAGTTCATCACCCTTATTGTTCGTTGCAATTTAGGTACATGAAATTCGATCCAAGACATTACTCAACATTATTGTGAACTGAATATTTTGACGACGCATATGTCGGGGAACGGTGAATGAAAAAAAAATCGTTTTATAACCTTATTTGGTATACGTTGAGTTATTTGTATTTTTTGTAATAAGTATTGTATTTTAATATACTAGCGACCCGCCCCGCCTTTGCTCGGGTGCAATGCTGATACTAAATACACTACAGAAAAACTGTGAACGTTGTATATAAAAACCTTCCTCGTGAATCACTCTATCTATTAAAAACGCATCAAAATGAGTTGCGTAGCTTTAAAGTGTTAATTGCACAGTGGGACACAAAAAGCGACTTTGTTTTATACTATGTCGTGAAGATTAAAAGCCTCCACTATATGCAGTCTTGCTGAGGTATGGTTACGGTAGATAGGCAGATAACCTATATTACTAGACTTTTAAGGTGTGAAATCGCACACCCGCACAACTGCGATAGGCTTCGTAAAAGTACAATGTTTTCAAACAATTAAGATTATATTGTTTATTGACGTACAATAGGATTCGAAACAATGACCAATTTCGCTAACTGGGATAATTATATAAAGCCTCTATTGCTTATTATATATTGGTATACCTTCAAAACCCATTTAAATTAACCAATAATTGTTATGTTTTGACATTATTTTCAATACTTTTGCAATAATATACATAAGCCAAATACGGTGTGTTTACAAGACGACAAGGGTTCCCATACCTTCAAACAAGTGTTTAATAACTTTATTTAGGATTCTTAAAGGGAATATAAACGTTCAAAATTATTATTATAATTAGTATCAGTCTGTGAGGACTTTCCATTCTAACAGTTCGAAAACCGATGCAAATATGACCATTGACCGACTGACACGCATAATTGTAGGTAGATATACATATATCGTCACGAACGGTAGCTCCGACAGCGCCACATATACCCATATACTTATATATGTACACATAAAGTATCTGTCTCGGCTAATTTTGAATCGTTTTAAAACAAAAAAAAACGTAGGTTTTTAACGAGACATATTCTTTATATTTGAAAAATATTAGCGTGTACTTTACACTACTAAGAAGTTGTTGTGATCTTATTAAAATAAATAATTATAAAAAAAGTTTTTAAGTATTGTATTACCAAGCCATAATACCTATATACGTGATATAATTTAAAAATATATTAAGAAGATACGTGTTTCAATAACACCAGTCAACAGTATTATATTAAAAGGCTAAGTGTGAGTCGGACTCGTGATTCACTACTGACTAGGTAAAAAATAGTATGTGCAAACATGGGATTATTCAACCTTTTTTTATTCACAGTGCCTGTTGTACGGAAGCCTACTTATCCTATATCGCTTTAAGTGTTCGTCATAACATTTATACTTACACGATTTGAAAATTTAAGGTATACCGGTCGTAAGATACAATTCGGAGAGACAGACAGGTGGACAAACAACGAAATCTTGTCTGTTTATCAGAGTGGAACTCCTAATATAAACCCTACAGATATCCCCAGAATAGTCTAATGGATACTGAGAGATTCTTTTCCAGGATAGTAGACCTATTGACTTTTAATGACATTACCAAACGGCATCTGGTATACGATTTAAATATACCGTCCGTATTAATTCCGATGGTACCGAGCCTACAGTCTTATAATATTTTTAAAGTACTTAAACATCGGTTATGCGGCGACTGATAAGCTGGTTAGGCTGCTTATAATAAAATTATAGTATACATATATGCATCGCCGTGGTTAAAATTCCCGAGACCAAGCAATTTTGCTTCACGTTACAAACTTAACCGTTAAAGAAACTTGGTATAGCATATTAATAAATACTCTAATGATATTTGTGAAGTCATGTCTCTATCGGTGGGGCATGGGCCCGACACTTGAAAGCGAACGATTTTTATTTAAAGAGAATTTTCTCAGAGTTCAATCAAAGACCTTTTACACTTTACTCAATGTTAGATTCATGGGGACAAAAAGAGTATATATAAGTCGGTAACAGTCAGAGCAATTCCACCTTTGACGTATATAATTATAAATAACCAACCACAAGACTAACCGCGATTGCTTACTAGCTTTTGCTTACCGGTTTACTGATGGAAAACTCAATGGGCATAATATAAACACACATACATAATTCAATAGGAAAAGTTTATCTGTCTATGGCGCGTATATAAATTAAATTTAATATTTCACCACAATAATTACATTTGAAACCAAGTTGTAAGGAAAATGTTAATATACTTCACCATATTATATATATATGAGGATAATTATTTAAATAAAATACCGAAATTCGGAAAATTGTGTGTTCATAGCGCCCCAAATCAATACCGGAAATTCATTAATTGATTTTTTGCTATTTAAATAAAAATGTGAAATTACAGTGGTGATTATTTGACTATGAAAAAATATTAAATGAATCAGAAACTGTAATAATTATTTTTGTAGTCGTAGTTTATATATACGTGTTATACCTTTTAGTGGTTCAAAATTGATACGCCAACATTCCCGTTTTACGACACTGCCGGTATTCAAACCCGCGATAAACGAAATCGTAAATCCGTTATTTATGCATAACTGCGTTAAAGCATATAAGGTGTACCAATACAATCTAATTCGGTACGATCCTGTTTTGTTTCGCAGCGTGTAGTATTGTCAAAACAGCCACGTCGGCGTTGGGTCGGAATTGAAACAATTGCCCCATTTATTAGATAAACAGGTCGCCGAGCCATGGATATCACTGGATAAGTATTTGCAAAGATATTTATAATTGTTGTAGATACAACAAGCATTCAGTGTTAAGATCGTTCTTTGTTTACAACAGTGATTCACGCTACGTTGCTTATCACTAGTCAAACATGACTTTTATAGTAAGCTCGACAAGAGTATGGTTCATTCGGAGAAGAAAAGCATTTTACTCTAATTATATGTATTGATTTATCGTCCCTGTAGCACGAATTCCGAGAAACAGATGATATAAAGTGTTTTAGTAGGTCACAAAAGTTTAATCACCTATTTGTTTGTAAAAAAAATATCTATAAAAATACTATTAGAGACCGCAAAAATTCGATAGCGATAAGACGACCTATATTAGATGATGTTTTCATCTCACTAATTACTTAACAATATAATATTACTGTTATTTAATAGTATTTATTTTTGAAAACATTAATATTTTTCACATGTTATTGCACATGAAGGCACTATATAATTTAAAAATCGAAAATAAATTGAAAAAATTTTCGACTCGGGCAGGACTTGAACCGGCATCGTCAGCTTTCCGTCAGAGAGCAACAGCACGGAAAGCTGACGATGCCGGTTCAAGTCCTGCCCGAGTCGAAAATTTTTTCAATTTATTTTCGATTTTTAAAGTATTTATTTTTTTCATATAAGCTACCAGTCTAATAGGTTATTTTTTTATTTTTCTTCTAACTTGTTGATGTTGCACCAAGCGCTCCCGCAAATGTAAAATTATCATAACATAATTGTTATCAACACTATCACAGTTAAAACTCATTGTGTAAATTGTTCTTTCTTTCCTGGTAATTGAATGCTTATCACAATAACATCCTGGATGACCGTGTTTTACGAGCATTGTCTGCGCTTTTTATTTTTCCACTTGATGGTCAATAATGACTTGATATGGAAGTATTGACGTGAGAAAAGATCTCAAACACCAAGGGTCTTAACCAACTTAAAAATTTAAAGATAACGACATTTAAGGAGAACAAAATGTATGATATTGACATCAACCATACAGGGAAATTGTATTCATATTTATAATACATTGCCCGTTAAGGTTTCAAATTTAAATAAATTTAAGTAAAAAAGTTATAAAATTTAGATTGTCTCGAAAGGCGTATTATTGTCTGAACACGCATTCTAAGTTCTAAAATCATATTTCAATCCATTAAACGTATTTCATTTAAAGCTTCTTGGGATTTGGCGTCGAAATTGAAAATCTGCTCTCGTTATTACGAGTTGATGACATCATCAGGTATTGCGCGTTCCTTAACTAACAAAAGTCCGCAAGAACAGATTCTTAATTAGCATAGCCAAAGTTTTAAAAATTAGCCCTGAATGCTTTACTTAATTCAGTGAAATTGTGAAGCAATCTAAAAGAAGTAAGATACCTAGACTTGCCTCCTGAACAATGCGGCAAAAATAATGTGGTAACGCTTAATATAGTTTTATAACTATGCAAAAGAAAAAATACTAGAACCAATTAATCACAGTGGGAGGCAAAAGTTGGTTACCAAAAATATCATATATATTTTATAACTAGTAACTACACTCAGCCAGCATCTTTACACATATGGAAGCCACATATTACTCATACTATGGAAATATTTTCTTTAATTCATATACTTCTTGTAGCACATGTGCTAATAAAGATTTTTGCATGACTCATCTTAATAATAGTGACCTAGTAACTTCAAACATACTACAATATTTCACACATATCTAAGCAATTAAATAAGCCAAATTTGCTTGCACAACCCCAACCCAATCCGATTCTTCTGCTTAGTATAGATTGCAGGTCTAAATTCGTAAAAAAAATTAAAAAATCTTTGGCTATCTATTTGTCTTGATTCTACAAAGTGTTCAAGACCAATATAACCGAGAAGAACAACTAAAAACTCAGTCCAGCTTTTTTTAACATGTCTTAGCTGAGCTTTAGCAACTACTGCTACTACATATGTGATGAATACTGAAGACTATATGCTGTCCCAGGCACAGGGGAAAAGGGGATAGAAAGACAAACACTAGAAATTTTCTTATTAATTCCAAATACCAGAGCTACTTCTTGTTCAATCAACAATAGAATTCTTTAATTGCTAGATCTGCAGTTGAATGAAATAACCACTAGACAATGAGATGACAAATACTAGGCTAATGATAAATTATAATTAGAGTTATTTATATTTACAAAACACTGTTTATGGAATTTAAAATATTTAATTATAAAGAACATAATGAGTATTCTAGTAATATTTCAACAGGTTCAATTTTCTGGTCTTGAAATTAGATTTAGAATATCTTCTCCACATCAAAATCAATTAATTTTGTTGATTTTACATAAAAATCTACAGAATAATTGCAATATGTGTTTAAAAGGCTTATTTGAACACTTTTGGGAAAAGAAGCTTTGGTCAAGAATGATAATGGCAACAAAAAATTTAAGCTGCAGCACCTGCATCGTTTTTGAGGTACAACATGTCACTTTAACGTTGTGTACCTAAATATAAGATGTTTTTGGAATAACAGATATCAGCTACGGCAATATATAATTAAAATGCCTAATACTAATAAAATTATGTACATACTCGGATATTTCAAATTATTCTTTAGTTGAAAATCCTTCTATCACTTTATAATCGCGTTGGAATTCAATTCAACTTGTAGGTCATCAAAAACTTGTCTCACTGAATGTAACTTAGAAACTCATTGTATGTGCTAATTAGCAAACTCGCAGTTAAATAAAAATCTCACTAAAACTGCTAAAGAAACAGTTTCCTTCACTAATATTACTAATAATACACTAATATTTTCGAACCAAAACTATTAACGACACTATATTTTAATGTGTTTGATTTGCGCCACAATTCAACAATCTCACAATAACAATTATTAATTCAGACCAAATTCAGACATAGACACATCTGTCTGTCAAATGACAAAACCTCTAATGTCTATTTAGTATTGACATAAGAAGATCCAGAATACAGATTAGCCAACACACACAGCAACTCGGCAAACAATCCTGTCCATTATACTAATTTTTACAACAGATAATAAAAGCTGTTTAATAAAATATTGTCAAAACTTTACAGTATGAATTATTAGTGACTAAAGAATTTTGATTACTTTAGTATTAAAATAGTAATGAAATAGACATCAACCGACGTCACAAATAAGAATGATGGCACTCCATCCATCCATCCATGGAAATGTCAAAATCACTATTTTGACATTTCTAAGTACAGTGCTCTCCAAAATTTTTGGCCGGGCTGAAATTAACGCGGATGGTTGCGTAGAATTAAAAAGCAGCCAGGTATTAATTGCACAAAGGGAGTGCGCGGGTACGAGGCGATTCGACTTTTTGCTTAAAATTGACAGTACCTTGCGCAAGATGGCGGTCGCGTTAACTTCAGCCCGGCCAAAAAGTTTGGAGAGAACTTTATCCAGAAGTTATTTACATTAATACACTGTTTGTACCAACTTTAATCTTGGCTTAAGTTGACTTGACTTGATTAAAATACACAATACTCTTATTAAATACTTTATTTAGTCTTATAAGCTACATTTAGCAATAATGCTTTCAGTTCGACAAGGTTTTTTCATCTTTGGTAAAATAAATAATGTGTGTTTGTCAATGCCTTAAAGCAGTTTATTTTTGTATTTTGTAGTGCAAAAACATTTATAACACTGTCAGAATTATAAGTCACATTAAAAAAAATGCCAGACCATAGATCTTTAAACCTCTATAAAACGTGCCTTTTAGATTATTGTACTCCTATATTCTCATCACTAAGGAAATAATCTATGGCCTATGATTGTTAATGTTAAATAATCTGAATGTATACTACTGGGTTTAAACAAAAAATAAATACTATTGTATGTTGTATGTATCAAGCAAGTAATATACATATATTTAATAAAAGTCATCGCTATTTGTCTATCTATATCTAATATATATTCCGATATTTCATGGAAAGTCTGACGTAATATAATATTTAACAGGATATTTACTTAGCTTACTACACTATTCCTTGCAAGGGATTAGTATATTTTTATTGAAAAACAGGATAAAAACGCAGATAATTACATTTCATTTTCAGTAAATATGGAAAATCTAAGAAGTGTGGTATGTATGAACAATATTGACTTCATTTATTTATGACTGCTTATGAGCATAACATAGTTTTAACATCTTAACAGGTTTTAAACAATTTCAAGAAACTCCATCGAACTCGTTTAAAAGTATTCAAAGGAGATTACCGTGCACAAACTGCAGCTCGAGTAAAAATCAATGAAGAATATAAGAAAAATAAAACAGTCACGGATGTTGAAGCAATAAAGGCCGTAAGTTTATCAATGGAAATTATATACCACTTCGTATAATGCATAAGTTAGAAGTGCATATTTTTGCTAAGATTTTTATAAAGTGTGTTATTTATGTTCTCAGATGATAAAGTTCAGTGAAGACATAGAAAACGAGTTACGGACACAAGTAATTCAAGCCAAAGAAATAAAGCCTGGAGTATTTGGTAATATTAAAGCATATTTCTACTTAAGTAACAATATTTAAATAAGGAAATCTTTAACTTTATATATACTTCCAATTACAACAGAGACAACACATTATGTTGATTAGTATTATAAAGACCATTTTTTAAATACATATAATATGTATTTAATGTTTTTTTTTTTAGAAGCAAAAATAACTGAAGATACTGTAAAACTAGATAATGTACCTTTCGATGATAATGCAATACTACCAAAAAGGGGAAAGAGGAGACAAAACTGCTGTCAAGAGCAAGTTAAAGATAATTAATAAAAATAATTACATATAAAACAATGTTATATTTATGTAGAATAGCACTTTTTTTGCTAGTTAGATATAATGACTAATAAAGTATTTTTTTATGTTTAAGATAATTTTAATTTGAAAAAGGTTTACATTTAAATAAAATACTTTAACGGTTTAAAACGCGATATATTAGTTAAAAATCATTTTCAAATAAGTTTAACTAATATATCGCGTTTTAAACCGTTAAAGTGTTTTATTTAAATTTGTACTACTCGCGTAAACTATAGACAGTATTTAAAGATATACCTACATCTGGGTTTCACTTACCTTTTCTTAACTGTAAATGTTTTTTTAAAGCATAAACTAAAATAATGTGACACATCTGTGTCTACTTTGTGATAAAAGATAACATAATGCTTATTCTAAGTTAGTTAGCGTAGATCTAAGATTTTTATGTTGAGTTCTTAGTTGAGAGTTGATTATCAAGCAGGTGCATAATTGCGGGAGGGAAAAGCGAAACAACCCTTACCTACCTCCTAAAAAAAATTGCGAACATCCGAGGATCAAACTCTTCACCTGTTCAATGTTTTTCATTTGGTGTGTAGGAGTATCTATTTATATATATATATATAAAGCTGAAGAGTTTGTTTGAACGCGCTAATCCCAGGAATTACTGCTTCGAATTGAAAACTTCTTTTTGTGTTGTTAAGAGCATAAAACATCGCCCTGTGACTAATACAAGCGAAGATACAGCGAGCAATGTGAAATACATTGAGAAAATAGTTTATCATTATGGGTTTTCGTGGCGTACGCTGCAAAGTTTCAAAACCCCAAGAAATATATATGAAAGTAGGATTGCTCTTTAAATGATCTAAAAAAGTCCGCAACGCTATATGTCTATCTTTTAAGATTGTATGCTGAAACTTGCAAGAAAGACGGTAAGGGGCGCAATCGTGAGTAACAGCTTGTTAATAAAGCTGAAGGGGTTTGCAAAAACGAATTTGGATACCCAAAAAGCGATTCTCGCTGACACAGTTAGTAAATAAAAAATATAAAAATAAATTAATAATTATTAAATAGGCATGGTACATTCAATTGTATTTTATCACTATTCAAATTTAGCGCTACATATTGTCAAATTGAAAGTAAAAATTAATGACTACAGTCACTTATCGTACTGTGGATATAATTATAAAAAAAACACTTGTAACAACATAATTTAGGCTCTATATACACTCGGTTACGCCACCATATTGTTCTTTCACGATATTTAACACGTTTACCCACTATAAGAACTACTATATATAATATCAGTTTTAATAGAAAGGTGTTTCAAACAGTGTGGCTTAATTAGACTGGTAATGTTATTTAAATAAGCGTGATCAATTGTAAAATTCTAAAATGAGTCAAGAGCATTTCTTTCATTGCATTCTGTTTATATTTATAATACTTTATAATGTGGATTCTGCTACAAATTCTACGAATTCATATGTAGATCCTATAAAAACTTACGGTTTATTCGGTTCTATTATTTTGTATGTAATAAGATTTTCTACCCTACTATCTTGCATCCATATGACCTTTAATTTTTGTGGTCTTATATTCTACGAGGCATTTCCTAAACGGGTTATACTTAAAGGATCGTTATCACATACTCCATTTTTATGTATCAGAGTCGTAACCAAGGGCATATATCCGACGCTAGTATTGGAGAACATAAAAAAGAATCTAGACACTTGTACAAACATCGGGTTGCGAAACTTCATCATCGAAGTAGTTACTGACAAAGCTGTAAATCCACCGCACCATGAGAAATTAAGAGAAATTGTGGTACCGTCAGAATACGAAACTAAAAACGGTACTTTGTACAAGGCTCGGGCCCTACATTACTGCTGGGAAGAGGGAATTAACAAATTGGATGATTCCGACTGGGTTGTTCACTTGGACGAAGAGACGTTATTAACTGAAGATGCAGTGCGAGGAATATTAAATTTTGCGATGAATGATAATCATACCTGTGGCCAAGGATTAATAACGTATGCCAATGGAGAAATTGTTAATTGGTTAACAACATTTGCGGACACCTACCGCGTAGCAGCAGACATGGGAATGTACCGATTCCAGTTTAAAGCATTTCACAAATCGTACCATGGATGGAAAGGCTCTTACATGGTTTTGAAGGTATTGAATAACACTATAATTTATACTTTAAAACGGGCGAAGCTCGAACCTACGAACTGATGACACGGTATCTCAGTACGTTGGTTGCGAACCCGACTGCGATCTATTTCATGGATTTTCAATTAATATTAATCATACTTTCTGATACACAATATCACTAGATTATTTTCAAAAAGAAAATAATTATATTAAATATTTTGGCTGTTGTCGGCGTACTAAATTATGCTGAATATTCTTTTAGGCAAGCACCGAGAAACATGTTTCGTTTGACAACGGACTTGAGGGATCAATTATTGAGGACGGCTACTTCGCCATAAAAGCATCAAGCAAAGGCTATTCGTTTGACTTCATAGAAGGCGAGATGTGGGAAATGAGCCCATTTACTGTGTTGGATTTCATGAAACAAAGAAAACGATGGCTGCAAGGTGTAATATTAGCGTTGCATTCAAAGAATCTTCCTTTAAAGAATAAGATTATCTTTTTAATGTACTTTTACTCATGGATTTCGCTCCCAGTTTCCGTGAGCAATTATTATCTAAGCAAGTTCTATCCAATACCACTTCCGTATATTTTTAATGCCGCTGTATCCTTTTTGGGATCAGTGCAAGTCTATATGTATATTTATGGTGCCATGAAATCTTTTTCTATGAAAAGGCTTGGCTATTTGAAAATTTTACTCGTTTTATTAACAGTTGCGTCAATACCTCTCCATATTATTATAGAAATAATGTATATTTTATGGGCAGTCTGTAGTGATAAACGCGGGTTTACTGTAATAGAAAAGAACATTAATAAGATAAGAAAAAATTAAAACATTTTAAAAGTTATTTAACTATTTATTTATTTTTATAATAGAGCAATAGAAATCGTTTTTATTTGTGTATTACGTCTATTTATTTAATAAATTTAAAAAAAACCAATTGATGATATAGAGTAGTGATAAAATAGAAGAAATTGCGTCTTTAAAATAATCTTGTCCAGGTACCTTAGTACCTGGACAAGATTATTTTAGATTTAGATAGATCTTAATCTATTCAGGGTTTTTACCAATAAATTAAAGTGAACTTTGGGTTTATACCCAAACTTCCTACATGGGCTTTCTTTCATTAAAAGCCAGATGCCAGTAAAATAATTTAGTATTTCAAGGTTTTTAATGTGTGTAAAACTAACCTAAGGCGTATAACGTATTATAAACAAGTGACGTCAAGCTAATGTGTTAAAAAAATTTACTGGTATACATTATTTATTCTAAAATATTGACCTTTGCAAAAGCCACTGCTGCATGAAGACAAAGATAGAAATCTTGACATTTATTTACTTCTTGTGCGGTTTAGAAAAAAATATTAAGTTTCTCCTTCAATGTTATGTAAATTTTTGTTATTAAGTGCTGATGCAATTTTACTATTTCTTCTTATTTTGGTTGATTGGTTCCCATTTATTCCACTTTAGTTTTAAGTGTTTGCATTTACTGTTACGTTTTGCTTTACAGTATGTCCGTTTTTTAGTATAAGGCCCTTTTTTACATAATATAAAAGCTCTTGTAAAAATAATTACTGATTTAAATAACTGAAAAATTTCTTTACCACAACAATGAATATAAAATATCAAATACTTATTCTTTAATTGCAAATTCCACCGAGGTGATATCTTTATATTTATAATGATTTCAATAATGGAATAGATTAGTTTTAACATGAAATTTAAACCATTATATTGCAACTGAACAAATTTAATAAACTACAATTACATTTACAAATAATTTAGGGTATAGATAGTTTCAATTACTTCTTCAATGCTCCTGCAGAGTCATCAGGGATGCCAAGCTCCTCGTTAGTCCAGGTACTGGGATCAACATAAGTCCATTCACCCTGTGGCATGAGTTAAGTTTATTAAACAATAACAACATGAAATTCATCAGATTTTGTTATGTCATTTATAAATTTAAAAGGGTAGCTATGCAATATTGTTTGACTTTTTAAAGGATTAGAACTAGATATTTACATAAATGTGTTCTGGTTCTGTTGCAAGATGGTAGAGAATCCAATACCAACAAAGTCCACCTAGAACTTCAGCCAGCATGGTTTCTCTTTTTGAAGCCAATGGTGGTGGTGCTCTATAAGTCCATGTCCTGTCAAAACAAAATAATTGAAAAATTATAGTTTCTATTCTCATATTCTCCTTAGAGTTTCATTGCCGAATTTCGATTGGTTTTTACGTATTAGCACAAGAAGGATGCACATTACTGCTGTTTAATGACATAACAAGCACCAAAAAGAATATTCATGGAACTAAAACTTGCATAACGGACTTACCCATGGCCAGCATTCCTAACTTGGGATACATTTTCAGATGCGTGTTTTAAGTTACGCAATAATAGAGCCCTTCGAAGTAATGGTCGGGTAAACATTTTATTTACAATATATATATAGGAAGATGGAATTAAAACCATGCAGCAGAAATATTTTTTCGCTACTTTGTGTACAGATATATATGTCAATTGTCAGTTGTCAACACGACAAATTATGGCTCTTGAGTTTTTAACCAGTATTGTAATTTTAATGCAATCATTGAACTTGGAAGTGTAAGGTGTTCTTCAGGATAGCCCTATCCTGAAAAACTTTTTCTTTTTCGATTGGGAGATCACATTTACTGCTGCCTTATTTTAAGTGTTAATTGTAGAGTGTAGTTAAGCAGAAGTTATGAATATACAATCTATGATTTGATTTATGATAATCTTACTTCTATCTGTGAGATTCTTACAAATTGTCATTGACGTCAAAGCTGTTGAGAGAGACATTAAACAGTTTTCGCGAAATTTTATCAGGTTCTATATTAATGAACCATAATATATGTACATACTGAATAAGAATTACTCTATTTATTTAATTTTATTGAAAAAGGAGTGTGAAACTGATATGCAATACATTTACAGTTTAATTGAAAATGTTGTGACACTGTGATTTTATATTTTTGTACTGTGAAATGGAGCCTAATGTAAATCAAAAAGGTGAGTAATCGGTTGTTGTTAGCTGTTGTTTGTGTACGATTAACTGTACTTTGCGACATAATTTAGGTTGTGCTAGGCTCTATTTATAATTGTAGTTGTCTGGTAAAGAAAGCCTTCTTAGTGTGATATATGATGTTTTTTTGTTAAGATTATTGATAACGATATCGTTTAAATGTAGATACAGTATTTGCCTTGAGTACTGCTACGAGTGAGTCACTGGCATTGTGATGTCATGTGCATGTTAATAAACAAAACACATGAGGTAGATGTGTCAAGAATTCAACGATTAATGTGTAAAGATCGATTGTGAATCGTAAATTTCGCCCTACGGTTTCTAAAAAAAAGACAAATTAAAGCTCTATTTTCATTTAAACTGGAATTGTTAGTTACTTTCATACTATCACCATACTAAAACAAACAATCACAAAGCTACAAAGTTGTTTTACTTAACTAATTATAAAATATTGTAATACTTTTCAACAACTAACATTATTACAGTTGCCTGTGTGGTTAATTATGCATATGATGCATCTGAACCAGATGAGCTGACTATTAGGCCTGGTGACATATTGAAGGATATAGAAAGGCTACCAGGTGGTTGGTGGAGAGGCGAGCTCCGCGGTAGAAAGGGAATGTTTCCAGATAATTTTGTGACTGTGCTACAAGAAAATGCTACAAATAGGTATTTGTGAAGCAACAACACTGTAATAAATACTTTTGACTCGAAACACTCTTTCTTACTACTTTTCTATAATTTGTCAATATTTTGTTTTAAAAATAAAAAACAAAATATAATACACAAACTTTTGCTTTTAATGACTTAATAGATATCACAAATTATTTCTTGATTATTAGATATTAATCATTGCACACATTATCTAATCACCAGTGATAAGTAATGATAAGGCCAGTCAATTTTTATTACACACCAGTGTGGTGTTTTTCAAGTCAAGTGAAAGATATTTAAAAAAACACTATTTTAATAAATAAGATATTTCAAGTGCTCTGTGTATTTGTTAAGTAATCTAGAAAATATTACTTAAAAATTCATAGTTGCCCTGGCCTAATCTAATAGTGATTTTGCAGTTGTTCATACCAGCTTATCAAATATTATTTTGCTAGGAATAGTGTGGTGCAGGGACGTTGTCGTGCTGTATTTAGCTACCAGCCTGCTAATCCTGACGAGCTTTCATTGTGTGTTGGAGACGTACTGGACGTGCTTGGAGAGGTAAAGTTTTTAATCAAGTTGCATATTGTTATGTTCTTATTATATTGTTAAACAAAGATATGTTTGTTCCAATATTACTTCCAAGAAAACAGCTGGATATTTCCTTTTTTGGCCTTTATTTACAGATAATTAGCATTTTTTTAACACTTCTCCAATAATGGCCTGTGTAGTATTATATGCTGACTTTTTTATTGATTAGTTTAAAAGATACATAATCTTCTTTAGGTTGAAGAGGGCTGGTGGCAAGGTCGTCGCAGCGGTAGGGTAGGAGTGTTTCCATCAAATTTTGTAGTGATGTTAGAACCCCCCGCGCATTTGGCCCATCCGGCGCCACCCGTTGAACCGGCGCCCGCATTACCACCTAAACCTGGTATGTTACTAAATGTGAAGATTTATACTGCTTCTAGGCCGCCTTCCTTTTAAGTTGAACTCGGAAATGAAATCAATGTGTATCTTTTATTGTTTTTGTGTCGGTGATTGGTATTGTCACTACAATTTCCAAGAAAAGCTTATTACTACTTTATAACATATAATGAATAATGTCCACTTATCTAATTGATACATTTTTAAATCCAAAAACATATTAGGTTGATAGTGCATGTTGCTTGCTTGTGATCTTGCTTACATGTTGTATGGCTGGGAAATTTAGCCTACGATCAAGTGAACCGCCTCTGTAGCCAAATGGTTAAACGTATTGCCTAGCATTGCGTTATGCGTGAGAGGTCCTGGGTTCGAATCCCACGGGAACAAAAAAAAGTTGTTCCGGTCCGGTAGGGCACAAAAATCTGATCAACTACTTGCCCGTTAAAAAGAACGAATAGTGAAAAGGACACAGAAATGTGTTCGCCCCACGAGGGGGAAACGGGATTTCACATCAAGTGAACACAATGCTTGTCTTCTTTCATCAAAAAGAAAGTAATTATTTATCTCGCATTAGACCGACATCTAGATATTGTAACAAACAAAAGCCAGAAATAATAAACTTCTTTCTAAATAATTGTGCTAAGTGTAAATATTCTATAAAGAATATCTTACGTAATAATATTAGGGAATCAATATATTTTTATCAACTGTGACTAAGATCCGAAGGGAATAAGCGCCAGATGCGGGTAGTCAGATATTACGTATACTACCCACAATCTGTCGGTTTCATAACAATTAAATTGGACATGAATATAAGAACGCGTCAGAAAATATTTAAATATTAATTTATAAAACAGGCACTCCGCTTTCAAGTACTTAGTATTTTTACATTTTAAATATTTAAATAGTGAAGGAACAATGCCGTGTGCTGTTCCCATACACGGCCGTGAACGAGGATGAGCTGACGCTTGGCGAGGGCGACATAGTGACCATTGTGTCTAAGGACGCACCAGACCGCGGCTGGTGGCGGGGCGAAGTCAATGGGCGAGTTGGACTCTTCCCGGATAATTTCGTTCAGTTACTGCCAACAGGTAAGTCAATTAAGTTTTGATAGATTACATAAGATCTATAATACGAAGTTTTTGCCTAAATGAGATAATTTATTTCTATAAAAACGGTTCTTGTGAGTTTATCTTAAAAGATGGAAATTTTTGAATTCAAACCACTAGTTACTGAGATTAGCGCGTTCAAACAAAAGAATACTATAGACTAACTTTTCGTTTAATTTCTTTTTATAATCATAACCTTTAATATTATCTGCCAGTGTATTAACTAATTACCTGATGTATTAATAAGTTTTAAAATGTGCTCTAAAATAAAGACAATTGACATAAATTTAGGGCGTCGTAACAACCATCTTCAACGCAAAAACGTTAACACAAATACTGCTACTTCTATGCATGTACGTTTCCATCTGCTATAATTTATATGTTACAGTTTACGTAGGCTTCGTGTCACCATTCATTATTTTCAGCGTTTTCATTGAACAGTAGCTGCATGAAACCTCTGAAACTAAAAATTCGTATTATAAAGAGTACCGTACCGAAATACCGCGAGAGTGCATTCGCTGAATGTAACTGCCTAGTTTGTGTATTTATCGTTGTACAACGCATGCAAACATAAACACAATACGCTGCTAGCAATGAGGATTTTTTATTACGAGTACAATGCTAACAAACGGCACAGTAATAATATTTGTATGAAATAAATAGCCTTTAATATATTTATCATTTAAATAGTCATAGGCTTACAACCGTTTTTACGATTCTTGTATTGTAATTGCACATATTTGATTCATTATCAGAGGATCGTCACAGTGTGCCTCGAATATAACAGGTTCCGGTCCCGCCTTAATGATTTTTCATGTTATTAATATTTTATCCTTAACTTTCTTAAAAAGAACCTAATCCTTAACTCCTATTATTTCTCTGGTAAAGTCAGTTAAATAAAACAGTTTAAAGATAATTTAAGGTAATTCTGTGACCACAAAAGAAAATCGAAGTGAAAATCATTAAATAGCGTAACTATGGTTTCTAATAAGTCGGCAAATGAAAATCCGCTTCGTTTCGTGTCGATAAGTTTTTGCGTCACTCGACGGATCATCGGTGGTGATACGACGTGATACTATTCCTATATATAATTAGTAAATCCTTTTCTTATCGATACAAAATGTATGAAAGAAGATTTCGAAGCAAGTAAGCCTTTGTTATACATACTATATAAAATAGAGCGTTATCCGTCGTGAAAAATACGCTTTATTATTATAAAATGTTAGGGATTCTTTCGAAACTTAAGTAAAGTAGCCCTGTAACTATTGATGATAGATCAAAATTATGCTCTCGAACGCTATCCACCGTAATTCCGAAAGCCATCAAAAAAACCTCCCGATACTTAGTCTACCTAGTAACGTTAAATCATCGACTTCTTACATTTCAAAGTTAATAGAAGCACCGGCTAACGGTTATGATAATTATGCTTGAGTTAAAATCGTTAAATTACTTTTAAGACAACAATTAATAAAGTAACCAAAGGCACCACTATGATCATTTCTGACATCGCATTATTCCCCACCTTCTCGCGGTGAGGTTTTATCAATTAGTGTTGGACATTTTATCAATCTTTATTAGAGTGAATGTTTACTCGTCGCCCACAAGTATTGGTCGCTATTGACATTTATTATGAAGGTTACGACTGTGTCGTGATTGTGTTGTGTTACCTCATCGTCATAATTTGTCTCGAGTTGTAAGCACGTTCGTTTAGTGTTGCTTGTGTCTTGTGTTATAGTATTAATGATATGGGTATTTCAAGTGAGTTTTGTTTTTATTTAAGGGTTTCTTTTTAGGCGTATGCGCATCTGTCTAAGTACTGTTTTCATATAATAAAGGTAAATGTATGTATTTGTGATTTGGTTGTTAGTGAACGTGGTGAAAATAAACATCTATAAAGTTACAAACGCACTTAACTCACATACACAATACAATACGGAATTCTGTGCATTTTTTTTTTCATTTATATGCTTGATATATAAATAGACGCACGGAATGACATTCTAAGTAATTTTAATTAATTTTATACATATAATCAATTTTACATTGATTAGACATAATGTTTAGTTTCTTGTGACTTTCGACAAGGTGAGATATAAAAGCCAAACGCGCAAGACATGAAGCTGTCATCGGCTTCCATAGATGTGTTAAGAACGTCCTTGGTTCGAATTTCGGAAAAACAATTAATTGTTTCAGTCGAGCAGGACACAGAAGTGATCAACTTGTCTGTTAATAAAATCGACCATTGATACCCAGAAACACAAAATGGGAGTATTTTGGGTTCCTGGGTATCAATGATTATGGATCATCTGGGCTTTCATAATATACAAAACATACATTTGAATAGGCTACTAATATTTGTGCTAGATGGCGTTTAAATGTTTCGTCAGGTCTAGATTTGAAATTTCCATTCGCGGTTTTGGTTTTATTACACTCTTAATAAGTTGACCTCGAGTGTTTTATACGATGTCACACTTTGTCACGTTGCGTTTTCGGATACAATGGAACTTTATCGAGCTACAGTACTTCTTCTGTGCTATTAAAGAGGCTTTTACTTTACACATAGCAAAAGTGCAGTGTTAACCTAAATATTTCCAATGTTTTTAATTTTTCTGAAACGTGTTGGACTTCGTCTGAAAATCTAAATATTAAATGGGTGGTAGCAATAACAAAATACCAACCGCGTCACGAACGGTACCACAGATGCCGTGAAGTTTGATCGCGTTTCAGTTTCAATCTATGGATTTCCAAATATCTAAAGCCAAAATAGGTCGTAATAAGGTAGTAAGGTAACTCCCTTGCTTGTCTGTCCTGATCTATAATAAAAAAATTAAAGTAGGTAGACACCTATTTGCGTCCCTTTAACTAAGAAATTTTCTAAAGCCTAAAAAATTATGATATGTCACCAAAACCCGTACACACCAATGCGTAATACAATAAGACACGCCAGTCAAGCGACACTTACTTTGTCTTCACAAAATCTTCATTATATCTAGTGATAGCACCATAACTACTAGGAAATAGTTTACATAAGTCTCAGTCGTGTAAAAGACGTGACTCCAGCGGTGTTTACACTGTGGTTTATCAATCACGCTCAGCAGAACTAATTGATTAATTGTAAATACATCATTGACATTGATATATTATATATAGGTACATATCTTTACCAGTTTGAAGTATTTCTATAGTAAAAACGACCGCACTACTATATACCTATTGATCTCATTAATCTACGGGTCCTGTGTTCAATTCCCAGGTCTAATATGTAATAATGCCACCCTGCTCACGAACTATCGACCGTAGACGAAATAGCTGTGGAGACCACTTCACGGTTTCATTCGTTTTCTGAATGTTTAAAGCTAAAATAGGTCACAGCGAATTTTGAATTTTACATGTCTGGTATACACTGTTCATCGAGTGAAACTTATTCTTCTCTGTCCTCTTCTGTAAACAAACTTGTAATTTTATTATAATTGGATTATGTTTAGTTAACATGGTACCTAACTTATCATAAATAGCAACACGAATAAATCCCTTTCAAGACGCGCAACATGGGAAACAGAAAACCGCCGTTGTAAATATCGCTCAATTATTATAACTGTGCCAAAGTTTACAAGCATACGCATTTACCAAGCGACAATACTTCGTTTATAACTCAAGAATTTCCAAGCATTGTTCCCATATGTTGTAGTACGATTACAAGCACCAGTAACTGGGTCGTTGAATCGTGGTACAGGTTTTTTACACTTTGAAGCAAATTGTGAACTTCAATTTAGTTTTTACGAAATTATTGCAGTTTAGATATTATGTACACACGCGTTCTTAGACGTTTAGTAACTTCTACGATACATAAAAATACGATCTTATACTTAGTATTATAATAACTATCTTTAACAACAAAAAACATGTTTATCAGTCTGCATTTTCTATTGAATAATGAAAAATTTCTATCTGATATGAATCGGAACTAATTCTGACCTGGCTTCACTAATCAATTTTATCTATGGACAAAAATTTTGACAACTATCTCTTATCCTATCTTATATCACTTTATAATACTTGCTTTATATTTTAAAGAGATTTTGATGTATGTGTATTTTTTTTATTATTTCAGTAGCACAAGATGTGGAGGAGAAAAAGCCAGAACGACCGCCGACGAAAGCAGCCAACACTATCTACCCCGTACTGAATAAATACTCTGAAAAGACGTCGTCAATTAAAGAACTCACCACTACTAAAGTTAGGTCAGTTGCGTCAATATTATTTTTCACATTATCTGTTATAATAGTTACTATTTATAATTTGTTTGGTAGCATAGAAAATAATAATAGGAAACAAAATTATTTATTTAATGACTTCTCATTGTACTCGCTCTAAAGAACAGCACATTAGTGATTATTAGAATTGAGCTAAGCTTACACTAATGATGTTAAATAGTTGATAATTAATTGCGACACTTAACGTCAAATTTAATACATTTTCATGAGTCCAAATGCAATCAGTTATTATCGAAATTTGCACATGTTAGTGTGTTATCTGAAACTGTGTAATAAACTTTTCCGTTTTTCAGTATGCACAAAGAAAACACAACTAACAAGGAAAGTAGTACGCAAAGTACAGTCACCCACACCATTAAGAGCGAGTCCGAAAAACTGATACACAATGAAAATGTCAACGATTGTACTGTGGATGGACAGGTATCTTATTTATCCTACTAATATTATAAACGTGTAAGTTTGTATGTGTGGATGGATGTTTGTTACTCTTTCACGCAAAAACTACTGAATGGATTTCAATTAAACTTTCAAATAATATAGCTTATACATCAGAATAACACATAGGCTACAGTTTATAAAGATATTGTGTGAGCTGTCCAAAATATGACATTAAGTAAGTAACTAGGAAAAAACCTACCTTTCTGCGAGCTAATCTGGCGTGCGCTGCCATAAACGTTAGTTACACATAATTATGTAATATATGATAGGATAGACATCATATAGTTTAAATGCGCGAAACTACGTAATCCTTATCCAGCGTAGATGAAGTCGCGGGCACCAGCTAGTATTAAATAGATATAAGTTATCAATGAAATATAAATTAAGAAAGATGTACGGCAACACGAGTAATGAAATTCTTTATTGCTTTACTGTAATAATATTTTGAAAATACTTTAATTTGTATTTAAAAACTTTAATTTCAGGTAAAAAAACCTCCAGTGCCTGTTAAGAAGAGTCCAACGCCAACGTCGGCGGTGAGTGGACTCTTCAGCGGCCTAAAAAACAAAATGCTCTCATCGTCAGACAAGTCGTGAGTAATTTAACATCATATCTCAATGTAATTGGGAATTAAGGACATAAATCGATTTTAGTATATAGGTAAAGTTGATCATATGTCTATGCCCTGGTCGACCGAAGCAATATCGTTTCGAAGTCTGGATCGATTGTATTTATTGCAAAGCTTGCGAACGATCATTTGCCTTAGTCAACGAAATTTGATTTCCATAAGATGAAGGCAGATCTTGAGAGTTAATCTAAAAAAACATGTCTTCGCGGACATTCTTTTGGACATACTCAGATTTATTTAAAGAAGAATTATATTTCTTTGATACATATTACTTGGTATCTGGAACCGTTTTCGCTGCGCACGCAACGCTAACCCTTGTAAAATGAATAATTTTCCCTGTTTTCCTACATGTTCCTCTGCTTTTTCGCTCCTACTGGTGTTTTGTAGCCTGGTGTATAGCTAATAAAGCCTACCTTGATAAATAGAATTCAAACTAGCAGTTCCTGAGATTATCGCATTCATACGAACAAACAAACTCTTTATTTAAGTCAAAATCATTCCTTGATGTAGAACTTATACCACTAATTTACTTGCTTTCAGTGAGAAGACCTCTACGTCGATTTCGAATAGTAGCAACAGTAGCGTGGAGGGAGACAAGACAGATGGCGTAGCTTCGAGTAAAGCTGCTACCAACACTAACACTTTCGATCACGTTGAACGGAACTCCATTCTCAATGACCCCAGAGCTAGCAGGTAATTATATAAATTGAGGTTTATTTAATATAGAAGAATTAATTTAAAGCGCGAAATATTTTTACTACTCCGGGTAGTTCAATGTCTAATAAAGTTGTTTTTCTTCATTGTGGTAGACGAGCCGCGTCTGTAGTCAAATGGTTAGACATGCCTAGAGTGAGAGAGGTCATTGGTTCGGATCTCGGTAAAACGTGACGTTTACTTGATAGAAAAGATTGTTGAAATACTACAGGCATATATAAGATCTAAACAAGATGCGCTGTCGTCCTATTTAGAGTTTGGATATATAATATAAATCCGTTTCTATTATGCTATAAATCTAGGATTATTTAATTGTTCGGACCAGGCAAATAAAGGATGCTTTAATAAAAAAAAACATAATTTCAGAGTGAAAGCACCACGACGTCGGCCGCCCAGCCAAGTAATCCGAGACGACTCACCTGTCTCACTTGGTCTAACAAACGGACATGAAGGTATGTTGACATATTACAAAGATCATTTTTAGCTTCGATCTATTGCTGTAAAGTCGCCTGAGGGTAGTTAATACATTCGTGCCTTCTTTGATTAAGATAAGCGCGAGTTGTCCTAGGATCGAATCCAGCCATGTAAACCACATGGTTTATTTATTATTTTTTGTATAAAATACGGGAGTAAACAATAGTTCAATGAATTTGTTTCAGTGCCAACAGATAAAAGTGTACCCGCCGAGAAACCCTCAGAAAAGCCCTCAACAGATAAAGCTCCAGAAATTAAGCCGAAAGCTCGTGAATGGGAGAAACATAGAGCTCCCTGGATGGAGGAGTTAAAACTGAACCAGGCTAAGAAAGGAGGTCTGGGTGATAGGAAACAACACACAAGCACTGATAGGTAAGATTAGGAATATTTACTTTATGTCATGTGGCAAATTTAAAAAGGATTTAGGAAACCAATAACTTAAGTATACTTTTATTTTATACTATTCATTTCGACAGTTATTTTTATTTAAATAATAATATGTTAGTTTTTTCGCTTCTTATTTTTTCTTTATTTATTTAAATTTAAGTTTAAGTAAAAGCCAATTTTTTCATAAATCTTATTTCACTTGCTACTTCAGTTTTCATCGTTGCCGTAACGTAGTCGCTAATACAAAAATACATGTTTCTTTTTTTATAGTAATAAATTTCACTTTTCTTCCAGAATCGTCGACTGTGGCGTAGAAGAAAAGAGATCCACACATTCCATGGAAATGTCTAAGAGCACATCGTCTATAAGTAGTCGAATATCTGTTATGGAGAGTTTCGAGTCTAACTTTGAAGTAAGTATACATATGTATAGATTTTATTTAATTTTCTACGTATACATATAATTGCATCATGTTATTTATTTATTTATTTATTTACAACAATTAAAACGGCTATACCCAGTTACATTAATTGGAGACACATACTTAAACAATAACAATTAAAAATAGGTTATTACAAATTACATTAGGAGATCATTTCAAAGGCAGACAATTCTTTTAGTATTGTTGACCAATATATTGTAAATTAATAAAAATTATAACACGGGCGGGCCTTGGACCGGCATCGGCAGCATCCTTCATACCTGATCTAACCGATATCTATCATGTTGCACCCACACAAATTCCTCCCGGGTCATCCATTTTTTTAATAACTTTATAACATGTGAAAAGTGTTTAGGCTATAGTATTAGCCATAAGTTGCTTTACTTTAGTGATTTAATATTTCACTGCATGACATCATACTAGCTTACCTCATAGTGACATAATAGTCAGAATCAAACTGCTAAGCTTTGTTTATTCTTTATTACGAAATCACTTGATTATCATCGCTTATGGTTGGGTTTGTATTTCAGAAGTCACGTAATTCCCTGGACAAGAAGGAGAGTCCTCCAGAATTGCCCACAAGCAAACCCCCACCACTAAATTCACCCACCGCTGCTGGTAAGGCTTTATGCATTAATTTTAGATTGTATTAATAATAAACGATATGTGGAACAACGTGAATGATATGAGATGAATGGGCTATTAGACGTAATTTTAAAATGTACTTTATTTGGTATTTACCATTTGTTAAGGAATTCCAGAAAAGTAGTATTCTTAAATTCTGATACATATTTGTTGAAATATTTCATATTAAAAATCCGGCTAGTGACGTCACGACCTTATATTGCCAATTAGTGTATGTCAATCATATGATCTACAATATACATGTGTCTGTACCATATATATTTTAACCGTGATTAAGGAATTAAAATGAGTTACAAATTTATTTCTTTATTAATGCAGAGAACCGAACAGTATATACTCGGGAGCACTTCATATTTCTGATTGTAAGCAAGTGACGTCATAAACCCAACCAATCATGAGCGTTTTATGTCACGTGACAAATGTTTATTTACGGTTTTTTTTTATTTAAATATATATTTTAATACATGTGACTGCTTTACTATTTCTAGTTAATACTGATAACAGTAATTAACGCTATATACGCTATATTTTTTTGGCATTGTTAAGTAGCCCATTGGCGCGCATACAAATATTTCTTTTTAATATTATATCATCATGTATTTTTTTTCTACTTTTAGGTCGAACATTAACCACAATGCTCGACGAAATCAGAAAGCCGCTAGCTCCTTCACCGCCCCTCGCGTCGGTGCGACTGGATCTAGACAAATCGTCCGACAGATCTCTCGACTCGTCTAGCAAATCGCTAGACACATCCGGTAGATCGCTGGATAGATCGGACCGATCCGATAAACCTGAGGTTCGAGAAAAGATAGATATAAAAACTGAAAGATTGGAGACCATTAGCAGGTTTTCCAGCGTTTTCAATGAAGTTGAAGAGAAGGGTGTAGCTTTCAGGTGCGTAAAGTTTATAAACTGTGACAGATCAAAATCGGCCCTCTATTTTTACTGTACTAAAAGTCATTTAGTATAACTTTAAAAAACATGTACTATAGTGGTCAGGCTTATAAATATAAAATAGACTTTTTTGTTTGGTCATATTTACTTTAAATACTGTCTGTAGTTTACGCGAGTAGTACACATTTAAAGAAAAAACTTTAACGGTTTTAAACGCGATATATATTAGTTAAATTTATTTGAAGCAGCAGCAGTGGCCACGGGGAGACTACAAAGCATTCCCATAGTTAAAATAATTTTTAAATAAGTTTAACTAATATATATCGCGTTTTAAACCGTTAAAAAGTGTTTTACTTGGAACATATTTACCTTTATTCTTTTTATCTATATCTTAATATAGAACTTTAAATTACAGCTCAAGTACAGTGAACACTGGTATCAGCCCGAATGGGGGTAGTTCAAATGAGAAAACAAGTACAATAGAGAGGCGACATTTTAAGTCAGAGGAGGGAAGCGAAGCGCTAATTGCGCAGTTAAGTGACAGGGTATGTACTCTTTATATTAAAATGAACACATTTAATAATATGTTCCCAAAAATGTTGCTGTTAGATTTTTAGCTACACTATGAGACCACAAAATCTCTTTAAGCTTTTTTATTTGCTTTAAACAGAATTTTCCATACAAAGAAATAATGTAAGAATGTCTATGGCATATGTCGTACCACAGTTCTCGCTGTTGATATGTTAAACGGTATAGGGTGTTTTCGACGGTTAGGTCCTAGGACATGAGAGGTTTCATTTAGTGGAATGTACGTATGAAATCCGAATGTAAATATTTTAGTTCAACGACTGATATCGAACACCTAAGATCTCACAATCAAACCAATGGACGAAGCTAATTACGTTCTTCCAAACTGTCTGTAGTTTGGATTCAATAAAATACGCCTGCTGCAAAGCTTCTCAAACGTCGGGCCGTAGTTAAAATATGTTCCAAATAATTTTACCATATATATATCGCGTATTAAACGGTTAAAGTGTTTTATTTAAAATTATTAACATTTTTCTCACAGATATCGAACCTAGAGAAGCTTATAGAAGTACAAAACGCCAAATTCACGACAGCCATCGAGGAACTATCGAACAAATTGAAGTTTGAAACCGATAAGAGACAAGCGCTCCAAAGCGACATGGAGAAATTAGCACAATGCGTCACGCAGGTCTAGTGTACGCTTAAATTATTTTTATTATTTAGAGTATTTGTAAGTTGACAGTGTTTTACACTAACATCACATTCGGTTGCGACCTCCTTCGACAATTTTATTAAAATTGAATCACTCTCCTTAGCATTTCTTTCATTAGTAAATCCACATCGGGACGCTGAATGCCAGTCTATCTGATGTTTTCTCACCTTTGATCTAGTCTTAACAACGAAATTCCCTTCCATTGTTTTTATCGTTAGTATTGTCTGCACCGTTATCTGTTAGGATATTTTTACTATGAGGTTGATAGCGCGAGGATTATTTACATAGTCCTATTTTGCATTTAAAGTACACCGATAGTGCCATTTAAGTTTCTTTATCAAAATATAAATGTCCCATTTTTGTTGCGGTGTGTAATGTTTGTGCAGCTGTTTTTCATTAATTTAATCTAGCTTTAACAATATATTTTTCCCGGCTTTGTAACTTATGTTCTGAAGCTTAAGCGTTATTTTTTTATGAACACGTAGAGTTACGTGGATTTTTCCCTGTCAGGCAGCGCCTACAGAAAAGTAAAAATATAACGACGATAAATGCATTAAAAAGATCCAGAAGAAATTGGCGGTTTACTTAACGTATTTTAAATGTAATTGAAAAAAAATTAAATTTTTACCTCTTGCTCTGTCAGTCAACGCTGAGTGATGCATCCTGAACGGAATGGTCAGCGTCGGTCACTGGTGACTGACATGACAGTCAACGTGTTAACAAGAATAAATAGACTAGCAGGGTTTTCGTACTTAATTTTTGTACCAACTTTAACATACAGTTATCGCACATTTAAACCTACTACATCAAATACACTCTGTATTTGAAGTAGTAGGCCTAAGATCGTATGAATTAGTATTATTATTTTATTTGGGTGCCATTTCCTACAAAGCAGCGAATAACGTACAAACCTACGACTAGCAACTTGAGTTCAAATTTCAATACATCATTTTCCTCCTTCGATTTATGCAGATAGATAAAACTTTTAATTAAGTTGGTGCTTATTTTACGCTATAAATGACAACAAAGAAAAAATAAATCTTTCTTGACGAAATGTTACTATTATAGTATCATCACTGTCATTTATAGCATTGTGTGACATATTTCTTTTTTTTTGTTGATGCCGAAAAAACCTTTTTGGAAAATTGTGTAAATTTTAATATGCATAATGGGGTTCCCCTTTACATGCATTTAAAGATATTTTTCATTTCCAAGCTCCGTCTGTATTTATGTTTTCTTAAGGGTCATCTTACACTAGCGAAGAGTCGAAGCGTCAAATACTTTACATGTATGAATTGACCCTGAGACAATACATTTGTCGTGCATTTTAGGCATTATTTTTTGTGATTTTCACATTCCGTTTTGTAAAATAACGTTGTACAAATTTATTTTGTCCCATGTATTAAGTATTTAAATAAATAATTTTTAGTTACTGTCATTAACTGATGTCAAGACGATAAACGTTGCGTTTAGCTGTAAAATTATTAATGAAGTTAAGAATACTGTGTACCTTTGTACTACATATCCGTAATGATGTATCGATTTGTAAATCATGAACTCGTCATAAAACATATTTATAGTAAATTATTAATGCTCAAATACCCATTTGGATGCTTTTATTCCCCTCAATAAATTATTTGTTGAGGGTTTCATTATTTTAAAATAGTGAAAATTTATTTAAAAACTAGCGTAAGAGATGAATGTGAGAGCATCTGATAATGTATATCTGGTTTAGTTGTAACATCTTGTACGTAATAAACTTATTTCCATAATACTACACAACTTTATTTCGTCGAACTACGAGCAGAACCTACAGCTTTATATAAAGTGGGTTTGTGATAGTCTTTAATATGTACACAATCTAGATTTGGATTAAGCTATCTCTCGATACCCGGCGCACGCGCAATAGGCGGTACCGCGTCGTAAATAACTAGTAGTTATACAATAGGTTGTAATATTAGGTATTGTGATAAATGTTGCCTAAATATAAAACACTTCCATGGCTTTAATCGTGCACAAATTTGGTCACGTTTCTTTAAAATAGTCATATTTTTGTAGGTACAAATTGTTTTGCAGAGTTTTATATTCACGCTTGTTACATTGCTAAATGGATAGCTTATTGAAATGTTAAAATGTTTTTCAGCTAATGTTAGTGATAGCTATGCTTCGGTACTATACGGTCAATAGTGATTTGTTAGCGCTCCGCTGAAACTGTCCAAACAAAGAAACGTACCTGAACATATTATAATGACTGTAAATTGTGCTATATTTTGCTTGTTTTATATAATTTTTAATGGAAGTTGTACTGTGTAATTTCAATATGGCATATCCTTTGTGACAACATTAAGAAAAATACTGAAGCGAGGCACAAAGGATACAAGAGTACAATCTGATACAAAAACGTGTTTAACAGAAGATTATGTTGAATGTTCATGCCACAACTAAATATCTTTGACACACTAATTCTTAATTTTTCATGTATAAAGAAGTATAAATACTAGCTAATTCCATACTATGTATATAAGCTTTTTAGGTTTATTTGATAAACCTAGGTATGTAAGATAGACATCTTTTTATTATTTTAGTACTTAACTATCGTATGCATTCCAGAGGTCTAAAATGGTTCTGTATATTCAATAATAAACACATTTTAATATCACAATATTCTTTTTCTTATCCCATTACACATTTTGATAAATGGTACTTAAAATTAACCATAGCAAAGTGATTTTCTTAAATAATTGTGACATAAAAGCCTCGGCAAACAAATATGAGACTGATTACAAATGGACGATAGCACCAATTTATTTTCCTTTACACCATTAGTATTTGGTACGAATATTTCAGTCTTATTAAAACAAATGTTAAATAAAACATTCCTTACACACTGCAGTATTAGGTGTTAAGTTATTTATTTATGTGTTTTCACACTATTATATGATAAGAAGGTATATCTTTAAAATGCCTTGTAAATAGAATGACTACCTTTGATTTTTATGTTTCTTCATCACACGAAAGGTTGTTGAAACATCGAATGAAGTTTTTCGGCGTGAACTAAGACAACTGTCCTAGTTCTAAAATCGATTTACACAATATGGCACATAAAAGATATGGGCTGCGTGTCACAAATCACTGTTAAGTATGAATCGGTTTCCCTCGGAGTGCTTGCCCGTGTATTTGTAAAGACATTTACCGTAAGCACCTGAAAAATAAGGATTTGTTAGAAAGTTTTGTAAAATATCACTTCAAACATGGACCATGGATAAGATATGTCTGTGTTCGTTTTACTAATAGATTTTTAAGTAGAGTTATGTGCCCGACCGAACCTATTTTTTTTCTCCTTGGTTAATAAAGCACTCAAACGTTTAACTATTGCATTGTAGTATCAGACCAAACAAGGCTAAAGCTACAGGGCACTGTTAAATAAAAAAATAATGAAAATGATGAAGATTTGAGCAATGTATGATTAATAATCAATAGGTCTTGGGTTCGATCCCCACCGGGTTCAACACGTTACAACCAATAAGTTCTTTAAACATACGACGTAGATTTCCGTTCGGGTCACGGATCACCGTCCACAGATGCGACGGTTTAGTTGCGTATCGGTTTTAGTGTGTGGGTTTCAAAATATCCAAAGCCGAAAAGGTCGACATCACATCGTGTTTAAGTGCTATATGGCTGGGATATTTCAAATTATATCAAGAAGAACCTCACGCTTGTTTATCGTGTCGAAATAAGAAAAAAAAACACAAGATTTGTTATCTTTCCTGAGGTAAAAACCTGCAGTTAGTTTTTATCGGCAGAAACTCTGTAAGTAGTTTTCTAAACGAAGCAAAGTTCACAATTTAGTACTGCAGCAAAGTGATCGTCCTAGAGTAACTGTCTCCATTATATTGAAGTTACAGCGTTGAAGAACAAAGTTATATGATAAACTCACGGTCTTGGTGTGCGAAGAAAATTAATTTCAAACTTAGTCCGTCAATTTTCTCGTAACTTGTTTATTTCCTGATTTTATTATAAATTTGTGTTATGTACAACGTATTTGAAATTTAAATTCTTCTAAACGTGTTGGACTCCATTTGAAAAAGCACGACCGTTCCCAAATAAATGTTAATAGTAAATAGTTTACGTGTTTGCTAAAAAGATACACTACAACCGATTCTTCTTTTTTCCTTTCTCAGTAAGACCTCTTAAGTCTTTATAAATAAACCAGCTGTGTAAGCGACTTCGTCCGCATAGAATAGATAGGTATTTAAGTTGTTACCCACGACGTCGTCTGCGTCCCGCGGTTATTCCAAGTTAATCTTAAAAGATATATACTATCGCGGACATGTTTTTAGATCATATAAAGAGAAAACATTTTTTTATAAATATTTTTGGGTATCTTAAAGCGTTTTTAATATTTTTTTTCCCATTTCCCGCTCCCAAAGTCACAGCGCGAACGCAAAATATTTTTTTTTAATTCGCATTAGCAGTTCGAGAGATTACCGCGTTGACACAAACTCCTCAGCTTTATATATTAGTCTAGATAAGTATAAATGGATGGCTAATAAAAATACAGTGGTGAAGTACCTTTATGTTTCCCTAACGCATTAAGATCAAGCGGAAGCGGAGTCAAAGGTTGGACTTGTGTGACCGGTTCCTGCGTCGTTACGGACGGAGGGCGACGGACACGCGTGAACTCGCCTCGAGTGCTCGCTTCCAGCCGTTCCCGTTCGCTGACACGACGGGAGTCCAAGAAGCGGAGTTTCTTCAATTTGTATATCACGAAGTATCTTGAAACAAACATACATTCAGTCCGGGTCACGACCCACCGTCCACAGATACAAAGGCGTGAAGTTTAATCACGTTTCGATTTCAGTCTATGGATTTCCGAATATCCAAAGCTAAAATAAGTAGCGCATCTTGTTTAGACGCTATAGGCTGGGATATTCCACCTACCATCAAGTAAATCTCATGCTTTTCTGTTCTCTATCATTAAAAAAAGTGTTAAATACAATTACATAAAAAAGTATAACGAAGGGGCCTGAACAGCGTGTTGCATGAGTTAGACACAATTTAGTAATGACCGATGTTAGCCTTCTGAAGTCAGGGTAGTGTTGACTTTTCGCAATCATGTTTGGATGACGTCATCAGGAGAATTTGAGCGCTCCAAGATTAAAAATGGCCGCGAAGACCCCGTGCAATTTGAGTCTAATTATATTTTTTGTCACTTAATATTTACAAACTGACAATTAAAAACTTGCGAAAGCTTTAATATGCTTGCGTAGTATTAATTAGTTTCATTAAATACAGCGATAAACTTTTCCAGGCTATGAGTAAATTCAAAATATGCCAGTCAGGGTAAAGCCACGTAACCATGACCCTCAAGATCCCGATAGGATAAGTGCCGATAAAACTTTATCACTGTGGGAAACATTCCCTTTCTTTAATTTTCATAAAAGCCAGTATCTAGATTGAAGTAAAGTAGGTACTTATATAATTTAACGACGACATCAGTAAACGTCCCTTGAATTTTTAGCTTGAGTCGGCCTCAATTTACAATTACATAATAGACTGCAATATAAGTATAGTAGCAAATATTAATGTGTATAATAAATTTCACTTCCGATTATTATTTGCCCTACGATAACAAGTTATTGTAGCGTTGAGTTTCGCAATTAATTTATACAAGAATAAGATAATGTCAGTCGTTGTCGATTGTGAGATGGGTCTAGAAATACAATCATTTGTAAGAACAGTTTATAAAAACAATCTTCGCTCACTAGTAACAGTAACTCAATTGTATAACATTGCTTTGCGTTAAGCACGCGAAAATATAATAAACTAACTGTGCCAGCGTCTTCGTCCGAGTAGAATAGTTACCTATTTTGGGCATCAAAATTTATTTTTACAGACCTTTTCCTCATGTTTATCAATGATAGCTGTTACCTACGACGTCGGTCGCATCTCGTCGTTGTTGAATATTAATCTTAAAAAATATACATATACTATGGACATTCTTTAGATTTTTAAAGAAGATTCATTCATTCTTACATATCAGCAGTGCACGCAACCGAAAAATTATTCCACATTTCGCATTGTTTCTTCTATATATACTATATATATAGCCTAGACGGTATTCGGTAAATGGCCTGTCCAACACAAAAACATTTTTTCAATTAGAACCAGTAGTTCGGCTTTATTATTTTAGTAGATTTTTACGGTAGTGAGGACACAAGGCTAATAATATTTGTCAGCGAAACAAACGATTTTTACCATAATAGAAGAAAAATCATCGTTAAATAAAAAATAAATGCATCAAACCATTTCATTAGACCGAAACGTTTATACATTTTAAGAGACAACAGTTATCGATATCAACTTGTTAATTTATGCGGAAGCACGGCGCAAGTTCTGGTCTCAAAAAACCGGTTTCATTAAATATGGGCGTTTTATATTTATGAGTACTTCTCGAATGCGATCATTCTTAAAATTATCACTTTCAATTTGCATAGCAATTTAATAACCACTATAAAGAGATTGTTTCAATTAAGATATATAAAAATGTCTTTTGGCATTTGAAATATGATTTACTGTATATTTTGTACTAGCTGAGCCAGCGACTTCGTCCGCGTGAATCGTTATTTTGGGCATCCAAAGTTTTTGCAAACCCCGTCATCTTTATAAACTTAAGCTGTTAGCCACAACGTCCATCGCGTCCCTTCCCGCCGTTCTTGCAAGTTAATCTTAAAAGATAGACTTACAGCGTCGCGGTCTTTTTTTTAGATCATTTAAAGCGGAATCATTCTTTTATACATAATTTTTAGGTATCTTGAACCGTTTTCGTAGCGTACGCAAACGTAATGTTTCAATTCGAACCCGTCTTTCCTAAGATTAGCGAGTTCAAACAAACTCTTCAGCTTTATAAATTAGTATAGATTAGTTACTAGTAGCATAGTTTTCTATAAGGGAAAAGGAAAAGAGGGGAAGATGACATTAGGAACGTGGCCGGAGTCACGTAGAATAGAGTAGCCCAAGAAAGGAGTAGAAAGGAGTGGAAAAGGTTGGAGGAGGCCTTTGCCGACCGGCACACGGATCTAGGCTTATTATAAAAATAAAATAGTAGACAAGTAGACTTGTACTAGACAAGAAAACATTGTAAATATATGTAAGAAACATCCATAATTGTAAATTCCAAAGTGTCATTCGTAATAAAGGCTTTCTATTTATTTATTTTAGCATAGTTTTGTTGTTTGCAAGATTAACAAATAATTGGTAATTGCATTAGATTGCATTAATTTCTAGCAAATTAGATTACTATATTAATGGTTCTTGCGAGTGAACCTTCAAAGATAGACATCGTCGTTTTTTAGACCATTATTTAATACATATATATAACGGAAGCCCTTAAAGATGAGTAATTTTCCCCGCTTTTTACAATTATTAATAATTAATACGCTTTTTTTTAATATTTCTTTCCTTCTGGTGAAAGCTTGATGTAATATAACTCAAGCCTTCCAGGATAAATAATCTGTCCAGAAAAAAAATATTTTTAAATATTTTTTTCAAATCAAACCAGCAGTTTCTGAGATAAGCGCTTTCAAACATACAAACTATTCAGCTTTATAATATTAGTATTGATAGGAAACAGTAATAGTACATAGTTAAGTTTTACAGTTAGCCGTCGTTACACAGTACAGTAAATATTTTGGTATTTACGAATTCTGAGTTGAATCGAATGCCTTCGAGTGTATTAATGAATAAAATGTAAATGTGACCCAACGTTAAAATTATTCAGCCTCATAAAAGGTGAAGAAACTTTCATCTTAAACTCATTACATTTTTACTGAACAGTACGAACCTGTATCTTTGGTAGTCGGACTCGTCTTTATCGAGATCTGAAAGCTGGTTGGGACACGCTCTGTTGCTAAGCAAACTCAAGTACGATAGCTCTGGAAACGCTTCACAAAGTTTACTGACTAGACTCTCCAGGTTTGTAATCTAGAACAAATGAAAAGGTGTTTGTATAGGAGTACTATTATTGGCAAACCAAGGAATTTGTTTTTCTTAATGATAGAGGGGGATAGACAAGGGTGGGAAAAATTTTTAATTGAAAAATTAGGAACACACGACCCGTTGATAATTAGCAATACATAGTAACTATTAGACCAAAGAGCCCGTCGATGTTTATTATTTTCTATCGGGGACACCCTTGGCAGGACGGGTGATCAGTCCACGTTGTCCGCTGACCATTTCACCCATGCCCGTCGATGTTAAGCAGCTTTTTATATTTTGTCTTAGTGGCACAATGGTTAAGCTTGTTGTAAGAGAAGTCCTGGGATTGAATCCCGGGGGAAAATATTTCGGCCCGGCAACTAGCATGCACCTAACACAGGTCTTACTTTTTAACATATAGCCGTTTCTTATGTCTATTATTAATGGTAATTTTTTTCATCCCAGGTTTGACTCTCTGGGCCATAAATAAAATTCAAAAAGACGAAGAAGAAGAAGATCTACTCTACTTCTGCCTCCATCCATATGCCGAAGGCTACTTAAAATATCAAATATTGTTAAAAGTAAGGTAATTTAAATAAAACTTACATCGTTATTATTTAAAGAAAGCGTTTTTAAAAATGGCAGATAAGGGAATTTCACAGAATCGGCGAGCTTGTTGTTGTCTAGTATCAATTCTTCCAAGCGGGTGAATTTCTCGAGGCCCTTTAGCGTTTCAATACTGTTGTAACTGAGAACAATATAGAATCTCATCAGTCATTCCAGGTTACTTGACCGAAAGCGATGATTTTATTTGTAACAGAAATACTCCAACCCAATATCGCTAGCGATATGTACATTTAGTTTGTTAATAATGTAAATAACAAGACCAAGTTCCTATTAGCCAAAAAAATTGATGAATATTTGATGTGAAAAGATATGTAGCATTATTTAATATAAATAAAACACTTTAACGGTTTAAACCGCGATATATTTTAGTTAAACTTGTTTGAAAATTATTTCCCCGTGACCACGACTGCTGCGAAGCATCTGAAACGTCGGGCCGTAGTTGTAGATAGATAGATGCTTTTCAGCAACCGTAGTCACAGATAGCGAACTAATGTTTCATTTACAACAGAGAAGTATTTTTTTTAATAACAATAGGTCAACGCGTCGATTCTTAATAATCCTTATAATTTTATAAGCTAGTATGAACTTTAACATGTGACACTTAGAACATAATTTAAAACCATTTTTATAACACCAATTTCTATTATTTATTATTTTAAAATAAATATCTATTTATTTCCATAATATAACTTTCCTAAATGGAAAATAAATTAGAAGCACTATAGGTAATGAAAGCCCTGTTAATAGATTGACTTTTCAAGAACAATTAAAAGTTTGCTCGCGATTTGAAATATAAAGGGGAAATTAACTTAATTAATTAAAGTTATAGAATAAAACTGCTTTATCCTCAACCGGGATACCGACTCTTTGTGTTCGGAAGTTTGTTTTATCTTGAGTATCAACCACAAATTGTTATCCCACACAGAACAAGAGATTATCCAAACTTATTAACAGATAAATAATAATCAGTTAATTTTTGTTAATTACACTTTTAACGGTTTTAAAAATGTTCAAAATTAGTCATATTACTTCACACATACTTCCCAAATTATTGTAAGACCAACAACATATTGGTCTCACTTTAATATTGACCACATTTTTGTAAGATTTAACTTCTCTCATTAAAAATAGTTGGCACTTTTTTGTACAGTTTTTTTTTATTTTGAATCCTTATATACATATATATAAATTGTCGGATCGAGACAGTAATATTTACCTTAAATCTAAATAGTTCACTTTGGCGCCATACATATTCCATAACGCCGGTGGTATTTTTTGGCAATCCTGACCGCAGTAACTTAACTGCAACAAGGAAACATTTACATTACAAACCCTATGAATGAATAAATTAAATATAGATATTTTTAAATATTTAGTTTGAAAACTTCAAATATTTTTCACATGTTATTGCACATGATGGCACTATATAAATTAAAAATGCGCGGGAGGTGTATGTAGGTTGCAAAGTTTCGACGATGAAGCGTAGTGAGGCTGTTGATGTCGGTTCAAGGCCTGCCCGTGTCGTAAGTTTTTTTTTTATCAATCTAATATCGACTTTTAATTTATGATTTAAGAGTGCAATTTGTGTACCATTAAGTTGATGAGACTATTTAAAGTAACTTCTCTTTCTTTTTCGAGCTTAAACTGTCCTGGGCCAATCCCGGGAAAATAAAAAAAAAAATTAATTTGGAAAGGTCACGATGTCTGGCAATTACTTGCCTCTAATAAAATTCGAGGGGACTTAACCTCGAACTATACTAGCCCCATGCCCCATTAGGGAAAACAGGATTGCACTCACTATATAATTGCAACATTGCCGAACTTATTTTATAACATAGCTCAGGCGTCAAAAGTAATAATTATTCGCCTCTGAATTCACGACCGCCGTTTTTATGGCGCGTTTCTGTCATCAGATATAAAAGTAAGTAAGTACCTTGTTAAGCCAAATGATCATGTAATTAAACACTCGTAAGCGTTTTTAGTGGTATTTAATCTTTCGAGATTCCACTTTCCATTTAATAAAACTAGAATCACGGTCTGATCGCTAAGGTTGAAATTACATTGCGCGAGATGTGCATGTAGCAATAGGTTGATAAAAATCGACGATGACCAACCAATTGAACTACCGAGTTCTACACTTGGTAGCTCAATTCGTTAGAGCAACAACACGGAACGCTGTGGATGCCGGTTCATGTCCTGCCGGAGTCGTAATTTTTTTTCATTCATAATCGATTTTTAATTTATATAGCGCTATCACGTGAAAAATATAAAAAAATTCAAACGGCTTGGTAGTACTAACAAATCATAAGAAACAAAGCATCTTATGCTTTGTTACATTGCACATCAGTGCGATATTCTCCAGAATTTGTGTATAAAAAGACGAGTAGTTAATGAAGGTGTTGATGATTTTTTTATTACAATATTTAATTATCTTTAATTATAATTTATAACTTTATAAGCGACGTAATTAAGCGGTCTATCGGGATGTTTGTGGCTTTAAATTTATTTTTAAGTAGGTTTAAATAAATCATTAATCCTACTATAATAATTAATGATACCACAAAACAGTTACTTAATTGCTCAAAAAGTGGCGAGGACTCGTTATGGACGTCATTTTAAAATTGGATCTATATTTTTATAAGCAGTGTACAAAGCGATGGCAACCGTTTCGATGTAACTCTGCAATATGATAGAGGTCCCTAAAATGACAATGTTCTCGTAAAATATTCATATTACGCACACGATATTAGAGTCGTAACTTGGTACGGTGGTGATAGACGCCGTCTAAGATTGCAGCATCAAATTTAACTGCCCGTTCTCGGTTGTCACAGAGCACAAAATTTGGAGATTGTTACTTTTAAGCCCGACCGAAGTTTCGGTTACGGGAGGAAAACCGAAGTTGAAATTTAGCCGAAGGTGTACATTGTAATTTGGATTAAACCGTAAACCGAATCAGAAACGTACCTATACTATGTCTACTTCAAGTTTATATATTTGTAAAAAATTGTAATGTTAATTAAATGACATAATATCAGTACAAGTAATTAAAGTTAACGTTGATTAAACGGTACTCTTTCCACCTGCCAGACTTTGCCCAAAAATTGTCCTCAATAGATCGGATACCTACCTATTGAGGACAATTTTCATCAAAATTGCGAGTAAATTGATACGACACCAAAACAGCATTTAACACTGCTTAACGTTAGTATTTGTTACTGTCAAATCAAGTACACTTATTTATGGTTGTAAAGTTTTTTAATATATACAATAAATAAATATAATTAAGAAACATATTTTTTTTTTGTCTTAAAATCTTTTCAACAATCCTTGTACAATAAAAATATTGAAGTAATTTAAAAAATAAAGAATGCGTAACGATCAACAAAAATGTCTTAAAGTATGTACAAGCAATGTCCGTAGACTGTGGATATTATTGCGTTTTATACCGTTATCTTTATCGTGGGTCACTTTATCGCTTTTATGCTTGCATTTATTTGCCGAGGACTTCATTACGTGTATCTATCACGCGAAATTGCTCTTCGCCTTTAGAACGTAATATTTAGTTACAAACATATTTTCAGTCAAGACTTCGCAAAGACTTTCAAAAGTGATCCATTTTTTATGCATTGTAATATATTTCTTTAAAATGCAAATTAAACAATATTAAAAATAAGTAAGAAAACATTAAGGTAAGTTTAAAAAATGACTTAATCCTTTAAGAATTTTTTAATAAACGTTATAAGCGCAATTTGATACAAACCGGTGAGCCTCCTACAATTTTTATTTCGTGAAAATTGAGAATTTCCTGGTGCGTGACAAGACGAGGTCTCGATAATGATGATAGATTCGATGAAAGTGGATTTTCATCTTCATTAAATAAAAAAAATGTGAAAAGGTATCAGCCGCATAAATAAATCATACACAGTATATGTTTCGCGCTTTTAGCACTGTCTTCTTGTACCAGAGGCCTTGTAAAAGCACTTGTTAAATCAAACATTTTAAACTTTCGATAGAATCGAAAACATGGACGCTTTAGACACATTTTATTTTAATATTACTCAATGACGTTTTACATCCTCCAAGGGTTAAAGAAATGGAAAGTGGATTTATCCAGACAACCATAATGTTATGCAAACAATCGCTACTTAACATAAATCACGATGTTAATTTATGGGATTGTTCAAGTGTCAACACTAATATTGTTAAAATTCAAACACGAAATGCTTCTGTAATATTTTAATATTAGAGTAGAAATTGTTGTTAGAACAGACATCTCTGCACAGTCCTACCGAAATCTATACTAATATTATAATGCGAAAGTAACTCTGCCTGTCCGTCTGTCTTTCAGGCTTTAATGCCGAAACTACTGAACCGATTTAAATGAAATTTGGTACACAGGTTCTAGAGCTTAAGGACATATCTTTTTAATGCCAAAAAGGGTAGTTAGGGGTTGAAAATGGGGATGAAAGTTTGTATGGAAATTCGTGATTTTTGAAGATAGAACAATGAAACTTTCTTCTTTGGATTTTTGGGAATAGGAGTGAGAGTGGGAGTGGAAGTTAGAGTAGGATTGATGTGAGGTGAGAGTGGGAGTGTTACGGCAAAGTAACACTTACCACACAGATCGGCTGCCTTTTATAAATAAATAAACAGCCTAAATAATTAAAAATTCCACCCAAAGTCACTATACTACGCGGACGAAGTCGCGGGCACAGCTTGTACTTTTTATATTTATTAAGATGTTTGAAAAATTCGAAGCGGGGCTTCACTAGCGTAATGCAACACAATGCGACTCAACGTACTAATTAACCCTTATAAGTAAAGCCATAGAAAAACAATAAACGATGATAATAATTGTAATCCCACAATTGTACAGTATTTAAGAATGGTGTATCTAGGCTTAGGTACAAACAATTGAAATAGTAGGTACTCGAGCCAGTTACAATAATCTCATTAGTTGATAGACAATACTAATATTTACTGTAATCTTATTAAACTGATGCATGACGACAGAAAATGCATGGATTTTCTTTCGCTATCTAATCTCATCAAATCACTCGAACAACTTAAGTAACAGACGGAAACGTATTATTATGTTAACCTACCTTATACAAATGACTAAACCTTCCTTGTCCTTCCATCAATATACTAATAGACGACACTCGGCACGCACCACCCAACGAACTTATAGTTTTTAGCTTCAAAATATATTCATATTTGTATTTAATTTCTGGTTCAAAACATTCTATTCTGTTTGAAAAGCATGTATTATTGATAAGCATCATTAATTTTATGATTGCAGGAGGACAAACGTAAGTTTCAAGAAGAGTAAAAATTATAAGACTAATATTAAATATTGTTGCTTGATTTTGAGTCACTATTCTCCTTATGTGGGAGAAAATCAGTGAAAACACTACGAACATTTTAAATGAATATTGTATATGTGTCGCGGCGAATATTACATACTGAGGCATAACAACTGTTGCAGGCCCGACAAGAGCATAATTTAATAAGAATACACCGACACGTCTTTATAATGGGATCTAATAGGGAACTTGTATTGAATTATTTATTATTATTATTTGTAAATTCATAGTGGAAATGTTTTGATTATGAGTATGGTTTTTCTGATTACTATACTTTATAATGACAACTGTTTTTTTAAACTTTAATATTTGAAACTATAGACTAACAATTAATATTTACTGAGACAAGAAATGCATCTTAAGATGAAAAATTTGGAACGCAAAATGGCAAGGACCTATATAGAGGCTGAACAATTTGTTAACCGATCTGACAATATCTATATATTTTATTTATAAAATAGTGCTTTAGCGTAGCCTTATTTTAATTGTTTTTTTCTGACTGCAGAGACTGCAGTTCTCTACCTAAACAAAACTGTGTCCACATTATGTTTCCCTATGATTTAAACCATTCTTTCTTGAAATGCTGGGGAAACATAATGAAAACATAAATCTTTTGCTTAAGGCAATATGCTTAACCATAAACTCATAGAGGCAATATTTACTATATGATAGGTACAATTAAAATATTGACATTGTAAAATGTTATACTATCAAACAATAAAATGTAATATAAATGCCAAGCCTAATATATGTGAAATTCATGACAGCTAGATAAAGCACTATTCGAAAAATATAAAGATTGTGTAAAATATATAAAGTACTTCAGATCAATATTTTATATCATGTCAAAGTTAAACATTATCTTATAAGTATAAGTACATATATGATTTATACAATGAATTGTTAATTATATATTTATAGTTAATTCAGTAAGAAAAATACTTTTATACATTAAAAAAAATTAATCAAGTTAGCTATATTATTTAAACAGAAAATTGCTTAATATCCGGTTAAATGTCTAAACTGTGATTTGGCAGAATATTATATTTCAATTTAACAATGAATTTTTAATTTAATTGGATATCTTGGAATAACTTTAGAAATAATATTAGGTTTAATATTCTGTGTATATAGTAATATCCAAAAAAAATAATTATTTTTCACTGTGATAAATAAAAATGTACAAGAAAATTATAAATAGGTCAAGCAATAAAAATACGAACTTACCCTATTGTTTTTGAAAGATAATGCAAAGTTATTTATATTGGAGCCTTCCATTGTGTAAGTTGTAGAATATTTACAAACTATCACACTTTTTCTTAATTTACAGCACACTTTATGGCCAGTATTAATGTAAGTTAAGACTAAAGTAAATAAAAATTTATTTAATTTTAACTGCCTTCATTTTTCAATTAATACCTTTAAGCAATTATAATAATTAACGTATATAAATAACGAAATTTTTCCTTTACTAATTTATTATAAAATATAACCGTTTTACTATTTAACAATATTTGATATATAACTCAAAAACAATGAGAACTAACCAAGAACTTGTCAACTAAAACTTGTATTGGCTGAAGATGTGACACAATGTATCTACTTCGTTACTAAGTAACGAATACTCAACTTTATTCAAAGGAACGAATTGTTACTTTACATAAAGTTGCGTTACAAAACTGTAATTATTAGTAAGAATAATAATGTTTTTTTTATTATTTAGCGTTCAGGGTATAAAAATATTTGTATTTTTACTATACATAGATAGATACATCTATGAATATTTTTGACTATACATAGAACTTACTAGATACTTAAAAGTACTACATAAGTTTTTGATGGAAGACGTGCTAAAAATATAGTCTCAGCAAAAAGTGTTGGGACTATAACGTGCATTTTTTTTTCTTTTGCTTACTTTTCAAACTTTCATTTGATACATACATTATTCTCGCTTGAAGTACTAAAGTATACTTTATTAAACAAAGCGCTTAATTTTTACTAATGACGAAGACAATTACCTCTAAAGAATGTCTCGGAACGCAGATTGCTTTGATAAGACATCAGTATAAAGAAATTCATTCATTCATTTTCAGATTTATCACAGACGCTCACTAGATGGCACTATTTACAGTATACACATAAAGTAACATATTTATACCAACCTTTATTATTTATGAATAAAAGATAAGAAATAATGTCATGAAAATAAATGACGATCTTTTTATTTATTGATAATTTATAAATAATACTACATTACAATTTGTAGTAAGTACACCATTGCAATTATTTGTAATCCTAATTGATATGCACAAGAAGAACAATAACAGTCTTTAATCACGGCTTCATTGTAAAGCATTTTTAAGTCATCTACAATTTCGTCCACGAATTTATTTTTATTAACAACTTGTATATTTTCTTGGATTTCCGAATTCTGTTCATTCGATGTGTAATAAATAGTAAAGCCGTTGCGGTCGGATTTTGTCTTTTCTTTGTGTTTTGCAGTTTTCCTTGTACTTTCATCTAGATACGGTTGGGAATATTCATAATATATTTCTTGGCTCTCTTCGTCATCCGATTCGTCTTCATCCAGTATTGGTTTTTTGTGTTTTCTCTCGTTATGGGGTCTTGGTCTCTTTAGATCACCGATAACGTCTGGATGGTAGTAAAAGTTTGTATAATCAACCATCGTTCCTATAAAATATGGGGAATACGTTATGTAAAAAGGATATGGTGTTATAGTACTCGTGGGAACTGTCCTTGAACATACTTGGGTGCTAGAACCTAACTGAGAATTGTCGTTTTCATTTTCCTTTTGGTTCAGGAAATGATCGCGATGCTTTTTTGACTTCGAATCGCGTGTTTTAGAAACACCATCCTCACAAGTACACTTTTTGGTGACACGTAGAGCTTTGGAAGGCAGATTAATTTTATGTAATTTGTGCGTCAAGCTCCGTAACTTTAGAACTTTGTCATTTGATGAATTACAATTCCTTTTACAGATGTCCGCATTATCATCCTCCAGGATTTCATCAATTTCGGTAGCCCTATTTAGGTTCTCCATGTATTTTACAAAGTCTACCTTCTTTTCATTGTTAGATTGTAATTGTTCTATCGGCCATCTTTGTTGTAGTTCAAGAAGCGGCGTAGGAACCTTTCTTTGTGTGCTGATTTGCATTGTTGTCGGAAATGTAGCGTTCCGTTCGTATATCTGTTGCTTCATTGAAAGTATTTCATTAGACAGCAATTTATCGAAAATGTTGGATTCCAAGTTCGGCATTTTACTACTAAACATCGGATCTAGGAATTCGTTTACAAACACATTTGTCGAGTTTATTTGCGTTACATTTGATTCTGAAATAAGCATAATATAATAAATATGAATACATTTCTACAACTTGCGCGTATGTTACAATTTATTGAAATTATAAATTACACAGTTAAATAGTTATTTATAGCATACACACCATTCACCCTTAGCTGTTTATAATTTCCCTCTACATCCTTATAAAATGGAAGTTTATTATTGTGATAAGATTGAAATTGTGTTAAAATTACTATTAAAAATACAATAAACATAACCAAAATCTAGAATCCATTTACATTTTAGCAATTTCAAATTGACATGATTATCATATATACAAGTGGAGCTAAGTAATCTATTAGGCCAAGAATTTGATTGTGATTTTGTGATGTTCCTATAATAATTTGTTATGTTTAAATTTAAATTATTTGTAATATTTATTTGGAGTTTCACGGCAACATGTAACGAATGTTGTGAAATATGTCTCAACCATACTCTATGCAAGTATACTGTGAGTATAGTAAAACCGTAAAGGTAATTTCGTCATATATACACGAGTAGATAATTTTCCAATTTCATACAAGGTTTCAGGTCCAAATGAAAGATGTATTGGATATAAAAATACTCTTACGGTCCGAGATATTGAGGAAATTGTTCAAAGAATTAATGAAAAAAGAAATTCAGTTGCCATGGGTTATTTAAGACAATTTCCTCAGGCGGCTAATATGAAGAAAATGGTAAGCTCTACTTCATATTTATTGCATTAATAAAAGCTGAATTACATTCGCGTGTTAAATTTTGTATTTATATACGTCAAATTATTGATCAATATATGTATTATAAACAAACAACTTTCTTATCCATTAAAATTAAAGTTTCATAGAACTATTTATACTTTCTAAAAACTTAAAAAAATCTCTATTATGTAGATATTAGAATGCTTATTGAAAAATCTTATTCACACAAGAGGGATCGAAAAGATTTGTTATTAAAAGAATTTTAGATTTTTTTTTAAATTACGACACGGGCCGGTCTAAAATCAATTTTTAATTTATATAGTGCCATCATCGTGTACAATAATATGTGAAAAATGTTAAAGATTTCAAAAGATGAGTTATTTTATATTTTTGTCTAGCGGTCTAATAAAGATTAACGAGCTTGCAATAAAATATCAGCTTTTCCTGTAGTTTATTCGAGGTAAATTATAAGAAACAAAGGATGTGTACACTTACAAGGAAAATATATGTGAACAATAAGTCACATGAAACAATTTGCAAATATCTAGTAAATAATATCAGTTATTAATTATTTTGCGCAGGTGTGGTCCCGTCAGTTGGCAGATATAGCGCAGCGTTGGGCAGATCAGTGCTATCCAGTAATTATGCCAGACAAAGAGGACGAGTGTAGAGATTTGGGTAGGCATTGTTCGAATAATTTACGATTAATTGATCCATAACACGAAGAGAAAAGATGAGAGCATTAAATATTTATCTTCTAATAAATAGAAGTATTGGTTCCGAGAGTCGTGGGCTCCAGTCCCATTTGTGTGTTCTGTATTTTAACATTTTTAATTATGACACATAATGTATGATTATCGAATGCTAGCTGTGTCAACGGCTTCGTCCGCGTAGAACAGTAAAAGTAGAAAAAAAACATTTATTCATTTAGGTAACTAGGTACACTTATGAACGTCACAAAACTAAAGTGATTTTTGAATGATTCTCATTATTATAGAGACAGCAAGTATCGGCCAAAATATAGCAACTGTAACCGGCTTAACAAGTAAAGTCAACGTACGAAATTTCGTAGACATGTGGTACATGGAGTCATTGGCTTATAAGGGAAATGTTGCGTTCTACAATAATTCGTAAGTAAGCAATTTGATTAAATATTTTTTATACTATTTTGTTAGAGCAGTGTATTGAGAGGTGGCTTTTGCGTTACCATTTGAATAGGCGCAAAAAAGTGTCCTTTATATTACTTAGTTATAGTATTGTTGTTTTTTCTATCTAATTTACCCTTTCAGAGAATTTTCAGTCTTTGAATAATGAATAATTATTATAGGTCCACAGATAGAAAATGTAATTATTTTACGCAGTTAATTTGGGCAACAACAGATGAGGTCGGTTGCGGACGAGTACGCTTTTACGTGGGTATAAGATATTATTATATGTTCTGCCTTTGCTAATTAATGGAAAGAACGATGTCATTGTGGACATTATCATATACATTTGTGAATGTAACGATATGGGTAATTAGTGGCTTTGTATTGAGTCATTGAGAGTCATTAAATGATTTTATTTAATAAATGTAATTTTCTCCGTTGTTAACTTATGCCTTGACTTAAATTGCACGTGATACAATCGAAAACTTTATTTTTTTCACATGATGTCACTATTTATATTAAAAATTAATAAAAAAATTGAAAATATTTACGACTCCGGCAAGATTTGAACCAACATCCACAGTTCAATTGGTCGCTGTTGATGCCGGAAGTCCTGCTCGAGTCGTATTTGTTTCAATTTATAATCGATGTTTAATAGAAATATTATCGTCTAATGATACGGACACAGAAAAGTTTTTGCCGCACATAAAAGAAACTGAATTTTCTTTTCATTTAATTTCAGATACAGAGGAAAGGTATACAACTGGTCGATAGACTTATTTGCAACTTCTCACCTAAGGGCAATACACAGGGAAGACCCATCTATGTTATCGGTTTACCAGCTACTCAATGTGACGAAGGAATGGTGACAGATAGTGTTTACCCAGGATTATGCTCGGCTGATAAGGGTCAGTATTGATATTTGCTTATTTATCGGCGAAACAAGGCAATCCCTAATTTTTTTGCTATAACTTAATATTTAGTTTAGCTGTTGTTATTTACAATACTTTTTGTGTCCACATTTCTACAATACAGATTCCCCTTCACCATCCAGTTTACTGAGAATTGTAAATGGAATTACGAGTGAAATAGATCCTATACATAATAACAATTTACCAAAGCATAACTTAGTCAGAAACCAAAAGATGCGCAAGCATGACAGTAAGTTAAAGAAATAAAAATAAATATTTTTATTAATATGAATGTATTTATTGAATTACATATAATTTTTAGTTTCAGTTTTAAAAAGGGATAACAACAATATACGATGGAGTCCAACAAGTAATTTTCAAACCAATGACGGTAGTTTTCGTCAAGGCGAAAGAGATCATTCAAGGCTCGACCATGGTCATACTGATCACTTTGATTATCTTCACCCACACGGAACTACTCACTATCGTAGATTTGAGACTACCACCTCTATAAATGAGAATCCTAATGGCGTTTATAGACAGATACACGATCAACAATGTACTCGAAAATCACAGGGTAGTAATTATTTTAGATCGTCAACATGCTATCCAGACTTCATACAGTCTAAAAAGTGCACAAGAGGACTAAATAATGATTATAGTAAAGTGAAACACGAGTGTGACATCACGACTAAACATTCAGTATGTGAAACCTCGCAAAATTTATGCGAATGTAGTACACTAAAAGCTTCGTGCCCAACTAACCCTCCACCATGTTTACAAAATAACAACTGCGGCTGCACTAGAACAGACTCGACTGTAAATATTTGCTCAATGATTCGGAATTTCCAAAGTGAAGGCTCTAATGAGAAAATTTCTATCCGTGATAACTCTCATCCTTATGCGGGGTTTCCGCGAGGAGACAATGAATCGGTTCTAAAAAGGAATTATGACTATGCGAGTCTGAGAGACGAACCAAAACGATTTTCTTTTCCTAAAAGAAAAATACGACGAGATTTCAGGTAAATGTTACTATTTCATTTAGAATTATATTTTAATTCAACAAAATGTGACCTAACACAACTAATACTTAACATAAAACTTACAGGAACAGAAGACGAAGAGATTCAGAACTGTCAACGTTCAAACCATTTTGGGAAGAAGATGAATTCAATAACCGTCAATATCAGCTGAAGTCTATGAGATATACTACCATATCAGGCTTAAGATCACGAAAAAAGAAGCCGATTAAAACATCTAATAATCAAAGAAACTCGAAAGTGACTGAACCTATAACTATTTCAGTAAACAGTAGTAACCAAAAACATGTTACTGAAAAATATTTATCGTTTGATGAATTATTGCGTTTGAGAAAGATAACTGCAGGTGAAATGAATGCTCGACGTGCTGATTCACCCGTAAGTAGTGAGGAATCAACAGTTCCAGAATCTAGTACAACAGAGTACACCGCCAATACTCCTTTTATACGCTTGAAACATTGCACCCGAAAACTAACTTGTACTTGGACAGCTGCGTCTTTGGGTGATAACGAAGGTAATGCAGATATAGGAAACAGAGGGTCTCGAACGCCTCCAGGCTATGTTGAAGGTTGTACTCGTACATCAACGTGCACCCGTGATTACATGAATCGAAACAAAATGGACACCATACCCACTTCTAGTACTGAGGCGGATACACCTGAGAATAACGATGAAGATTATTGTGAAAAGCGATCGTTAAATGTGAGACGCAGAAACTTGAATGTAAATGAACCAAAAGTAAATAATGACGCATTTTTGCTTTATGAGTCTAATAAAGAAAAAGGTACTGATGATTCAGAAGATGAGGATCCTACTGATATTTGTGAGTGTGGTAATGAGTTTTCAAGAAATAAGAGATCGGATATTAATTCAGATACAGAGATATACAAATTTAAGGAGAAAAGATCAACTATTAATGATATGTCATTATCATATGGAGATTTATTTTACTTAGTTCTTCATAAAATAATAAAAAAGTGGAATAACGATAGTAAACAGTTACAACATTGTTTGTGCAATGTGGTAAATAAAAATCGATACAGTGCTCTAATTATATTATTTTTTCAAATATTTTATTGGATTTTGTATAATAGTTATTATTAAAGAGAATATAACATAATATACCAAATATTTGTTTTTAGTACTTGTTTGGTTATGAGCGCAATGAAATTTTGAATTTAATTTTAACTTCTTTAAGTCAGCCGCTAAGAGTTTCAATAGCACATTGTAGTTTACAATGTCATCACCATTATAAAGTTTAATTCCATTATAATTATTGTCTCGTTTTAATCTATTTTTACCCGTTGAACCAATAACTGTAAAATTAAAATAACTATATCGTTTTCCTAAGATATTTCTAGCAAAATAATGTAATTCAGTAAAATGAAACCTATCAAATACGTTATTTAATAATTTATTTACTAAACTCTTGTCAGTAGTATTATTTTTGTAATATAGTAAAATATTTTGTTACGTATTACCATTCATTTTGTCGCTGGTTATAACATGATTTACAGTTACTGTTTCCTCATCAAAGTCAGCTTCAAGAATTTCTTCAACGAAATCTTTTGTTTGTTTGCCTCTTCTCAAATCTTCTATCTCCTGTATTATTTCAGATACAGGTAGGGTAGACTGGTCATAGTAAACTTCGGTAGGGTCACTTTGATTTTCTTCTCCATCTTCAGGGAAAAAGAAATGGCCAGTGAATTCAAGATTACGTTGTATCTCGCCTAGTTCTGCTTGCATCTGTACTGTTTTACCCTCCAGATATTCTGTATTGGGAGTATTTATCTCGACTGTTGATATTTTATCTAAAACAACACCATTTTAGTTTCACATTAGTTTCATTTTTAATAGTAAATATAGTGATAAGCTTACCGCGATTCCTAAAAATAACAGCTTCCACCAAATCAACAAGCAATGTCGAATTTAACATTTCACTATCCGTGGATTTTGTGGTGGTAGGGATTGTTTTTTTACTATATATTTTACTGAAAATTGCATCAATTTTTGGGTCAGTATACTGAATATCACTTTGAGTTGAGTTTTTAATTAAGTCTTTAAACAAGCTATCAGTGCTTAATTTTTTATGCAGCAAATCTATAAACTCGTCGACAGCCATGACATTTTTACAGAAAGATGTTGTTTCGATTGCCCTATCATTTGTATTGTTCTCTTCCCGAAATAAATGCGAATATAAATCAAACATAATATCAGATTCCACGTCAGTATCGATTAGTTTCATCCCATAATTATCTGTTACGTTCTTGCTTGAATTTTCTTTTCTATCGATTTGTAAACGTTCCGGTTGTTTTGTAATACTTTCCTCGTTATATGGATAAATCGGGGCTGCATGAAAATTTAAAGGTATAAGGTTATAGTGTCTTTAGAAAAAAATATTAAGACTTCAGTTCTTTACCACATAGCGATTTGTAGTCTAGATCACAATTGCTGTTAGAGGGACACTGAGTACATGGAACTCCTTTTCCATAAATTTGATGACCGTCTATATTACCTCGTGGTAAGAAATTACAAACCAGTCTATACACGGTTCTGTTTTCATTATCCGACAACAGCTCCTTGGAGTAAAAATAAAAAATGATTGAGCTTCAATTTGTCTATCATTCCATTTGGCTTTGTTTTAAAATAATTACTTGTACCTGAAACTTTGATGCACCGCACCCCACTTCACTTGTATTTGCCCAAATGAGTTGCGTAAAATAGTCATAGTGATCTAGGTTTGTAACTGACGACCTTTTAAAAAATTAAACCACGAGGTACACTATAAATTAATTCTCACAAACGACTTCTTCATATTTAAATTTTAGAGCCAGACTGCTACTAATGATAAATTAAATGATAGTATCATTACTATATAATATACCTACCTAGATATGAGATTCGTTTAATAAGAAATATTATGAATTTAATGAAAGGAAGTCTGTGCTTACTTTTGTATGCAGGATCAAGAATTTGGTAAATGAAATTACAATTATAAAGAAATACCAACCACTCACATTTGAAATTTGGAAATGATGGCAGGATTAAAATTTAACAACTCCGTGTACCACAAATCAACTAATGTGGCTGGGTTTAACCGCGGCGCTTCCCCGTACACCGTTGCTATGACTTGGCCCACTTCCATCTCTGCATTTTATTTTTTTTTCAATTCAGTCTCTCGTCCACAAAATATAAACAAAACAACTTTTAATAAAAAGCATTAAATATGCAAATTTAAAATTAATAGTTTCCTATGACGTAGGTGTGACTCGAACATAAAATGCTAACATAAAATACTACAAAACAAAATACCCTGGTTTATAAGAGTATTTATAACCCAAAGATATCAAGTATCTAGGTTGATTGTTTAGGTATAACAAAAGCATATTTCTGATTCTATTCCACGGGTCAATTATATTTACAGGTCATCTGTGGCCTGGTCGATCGAAACAATAGATCGTTTTTCCGGGATTCGAACCAACAACCTCCTGTACTTAACGTAATACTAATTCAACCATTGAGCTGAGATCATCAATTATATATACGTCTTACTCGACAATCACTACAAACAAATTTCCTATGAATCGTAATGTCTCTTCAGGGAAATACAAGCTAATTCCGAACTACTAACTCTAGATCTAGAGAACTATAATAATATTTAAACTTGGCTTAGTTAATTCAACAACCTGAATTTCGACAGTCGTCTAACAAATGTGCGTCACTCACACACTGATCAGCCCAATGCTGTGCCAATTCGGCTAGTTTAGTATTCCACTTCTAAAACGTTGTAAAATTGATTTAAAAATGTGTATAATAAATTGTAAAAGGCTTTCACGGCCATCGTTCAGCATCATCAGGAGATGTTGTTAGCTCCTCGATTGCTCGAAGAATTATGATGCTGTCCGCTCAGGACTAATGTTGGTAAAACTTCGACAACCTCTTGTCGCTTACGTCAGCCGAAAAGCCCGCAAAGCAATGACATGAAAAATATGTACGTCTTAAAGCTAGAATAAGAATAACAGCACACATACAGGCATTAGAAAGTAGTATTAGGTGTTAGAAACAAATTTTATTCGAGTTACAAGCATTAGGTACGATAAAAAAAAAACAAAAATGAGTAGGTACTGTTACTCCATAGAAAGGCGTATCGTACGGTATGTTACTTTTTTAAAATTTTAACCTATTTTTAATATTCAAAATCGATCTATACAAACACAAGTACCTAACATTTATCTGAGCATTATTATAATTTATCTAATACCATTGATATTAATTTATCTATATTAAAATAAAACAGATTTAACGCTTTATAATATGAAGTATATTAGTTAATTTATATTTAATTTAATTTAACTACAGCCCCATAATTCTAATGTTTTTCGGCAGCTGGAACTTTACGTTTTTTAAGTTCGGTTTTAAAAGTTTATTAAATGTCTACTACTCGAGTACAAGAAACACCTCACGGGCAATACCTAATATATAAGTACTTACGTACCTAAGACAACATATACGTATTATACTTTACCACTTTTCGCATATTCTTAGCGGAAGGCAGCGACCGAATTTCGCCGGACGCCACTTTATTTCTTCGACTGTTGATTTTGTTTAAAATTTCGTACTCATCTCGTTTAGATTTAATCAACTTTTCATACATGACACAATTTGAAGAAGGACTTCCAAGCTGAAACGTTAAAGCGATTTTCATTTTGCTTACGAAACTTTCCTTTTGTACTAAGGCGCCGTTTACTGATTACAAATTACATTAAAGATTCAAATTAAATATGCAGAATCGACATTTCTAAACGATAACTAGGTCCGAGAAGAAAAGATGTCTATAGTCCGCTGTCGTTAGTAACATTTAAGTTGTTCATGTGGACAAAAAGGCTGTATACTGAAAACAGGTTATTGTTCGGTGTTAACGATATTAATTGTTTCATACTGCATATAAAGGCAACCTGGGAAGTCAATTGAAACTGTTTAATTACGTCCGAGCCCACACAATGTTGCGTCAAAATCTATCATGCTATTATTTGTGGCCTTTATTCCGAAAAAGCAATTTCAACCCTTTTCCGAATACTTAAAAATATATGAATGTACGTGAGATAAACGCTATATGTTGTTTAAATTTAAATAAAACACTTTAACGGTTTAAAACGCGGAATATTAGTTAAACTTTTTTGAAAATGCAGCCGCGGGAGACTTGATTCTCCTCGTGACCACGGCTGGTGCAAAGCATCCGAAACGTCGGGCCGAAGTTAAAAATCATTTTCAAATAGGTTTAACTAATATATCGCGTTTTAAACCGTTAAAGTGTTTTATTTAAATGTGTACTACTCGCTATATGTTGTTACAAAGTAAACTATAATCAAACCTTATCACAAATTTGTATATTTTTGGTTTCACAATCATTTTGAGGACAAAAATCTGCAAGCGCCAAGTAGCAATGTAGAAGAATAAAATTTAAGACTGTGAAAAGCAACATTGAATGTTATAAGGAAGTAAGGTTATTAAAGGGAACATCATTATCAAGTTGGTCATGATTCTGTATGTATACGTAATATGTATTATTTTTTGCCCGAATAACAGTTACTGCTAAGTAATAGTGCAGATTAAAATTGGGATAAAAATATATCAATACAAATACTACATTATACTAGGATAGCGAGTGATCCGTGGCATAAATAAACCACTGCACTGTTTTCATTACCGGCTAATTAATGTACATAAAAGATAAAGGAAGTAATTTATATATAAAACTTAAACCCTACTCACAACATTAATTAAAGATTAATGAAAAATTTAAAAAAAATATGACTCAAGCTAATAATGGTCTCTCGACATGATTGTGTCGCTATGTCGAAAAACCGAATTGTGTTTTAGTCTAGATATATTTGCGTAGTGCCTTTTATACAAGCATGGTAAAAAACTCAACGGATTTAAAATAAATTTCATCCAGTCCTCCGGCATGACGGTGAGTGCTTAATATCACATAAAACGCTAGCAAAAATGTGTATTCCGTTTTTGCTCTCATATTTCTATTTTTTTGAATACACGTAAAAAAATATACAATCATCTACGATAACGTGTTATAAACCGATTAATTCTACGCAAACATTGAATCTAATCCGATTAAACTCAATGACCCTCTGAAAAGGCTCAATTCGGGCAGAGCTGTTCAGTATCTTGATTGAGAGCACCTAAGAGTGGCTGGATGTATAATGAAAATCAATATTTTGCATTTTCTCATCTTACTCTCCTTTTCTTTGTTTTAATTACAAAGCTCCCCTATTCGCTAATTATGTGTATAACTACACTGTACTTCAAACAGAGCTTTTATCGCTAGTAAAATTGGACTATGACACTTGTATGACAATTTAAATAAAACACTTTAACGATTTAAAACGCGATATATTAGTTAAACTTATTTGAAAATGATTTTTAACTTCGGCCCGACGTTTCTATAGGCAGTACTTGTATGACAATTTTACATTTTAAAGCAAATAGCAGATGTGTTTACAATGTCGTTTTATTTAACTGTTAAGTCTTTGTAACATAGATATCCGATTACAAATATGAGTCAATATATCAAAGCTATACGCTCGGTATTGTTTGAAACAAAAAAATAAGTTTTACGTCAATGAAATTCTAAACTAAATACGTAATATAGTTATATGTACAGTAACAGATAAATTCTTCTCGCTTTATATTCCTATATTCTTTGTCATATAACAAACCTTTATTCAGGCACGAGTCTGTAGGGATTGTTTGAAAATGGAACGAAAGAGGTCATAAGAAACAGGATACAGGTTAAACAAATCGTAAAGGAAATCGACAATTCTCACTTCAGATTGTTCTCAGATACTGAGGAAGGTAGATATAATTAGGTTGTTACTGCACTGCAAATCATTTTCCTAATTGTTTCCTGGGAGGCTGTAGAAGCCCATATATACCTAAGTTATAGGCTATACAAATTTTTGTTGGGATCAGTATTAGGTATAAAGTTTATAGGTAAATAAACCTATAGTTACATAATAAAGTAAGGATTTTACTCAGCAAGAGGGCTCCAGAAGTAGTAATCGATGAAGTCTGTCCAGTATGTTCGGCTACATATAATTGTATAGATTGATTCGAATACTATTTTTAATGACACGCCTAACTGTAGAATAAACAACGCTACTGAAATTTCTTTAAATAATTAAACGTCGTTGATATAAATATATAAAAAAAATAATTAAGGCTTAGTATTGTTTTACTTTTTTTTAATTACATTTCGTATAGTGTTGTAAAATTACATTGAAAAAGGTTTCTTAGTTTGCATGATTAAATTTTGCTTGAAACCATTTCAGCTCGAGGAAACGTTTATGTCACATGTAGGTGTATACTTGATCAACATTACGGAAATGTTAACCTTGCTAGGTTAGAAAGGTTATGCGGCTTCAAATAATCACTGGCAGGTTTTTAGTAACTAAACAATTTCAATTTTAAAATTTCAATACTGTTTTTGTGCCACTAAGCAAAGAAAATATACGTTTTTGAATTATGCTTTACTATATAAAATATAAAAACGCTTAAAATTTCAAACCTATTTTTCATCGTATACAAGACACCTATACAACCTGGTAACGTCTACGGCGTAGGTAATTTGTAGATTGCAGACGTAGATCGTTGCTACAGCGAGCTGTCTTAGCTATGCTTTCGCCAAAAGCCCTTATAATACGTATTTTATGACCCATACAATTGTGCAGATTATATATGACGCAATCAATCATAAGTTCTTTTTATACAAATTGGTTGAAAATTTGGTGGAAAACCCAAACATAAATGACTACTACTCGCGTAAACTAAAGACAGTACTTAAAATCTGTCACTTCAAAAAAATAATTAATCTGGTAGTTAAATAAAGCGAAATAAAGTATGCCGAGTTAGTGTTTTATGAAAAAAACATCTAAATAAATAATACGTGCAAAAAGTTTATTTATTCATATTTTATTCATAGATATATGTCGTATTTTTTTAATGAAAATGTGATCTGACGGACAGGGCTCGAACGGGCACGCTAGTATTTGCACGTTGTCCAGACAACAATGAGGAAGTAGTCAGGCGTCTACTGACACTGGTACTGGACGTGCCTCGGCGAACCACGCCGTTTGCAACCATGAGATCTGCAACAAGCATTATGGTAGTAACTATGTCATTACTGTCTCTATTTTAGTAATAGTTGTATACATTTGACGCAAATGGAAATATCACTTCTTGACTGCTCCTTAAAAATTAGTATTATATTTAATTGTATAGCACAGTCTTAATCCAGTTAACATTTTATCACTATAAGACTGAACCTTCGTAAAAATTTGTAAAATTTATCAAATTAAGTATTTTAATTTCATGCCTTGAATTCATGATTTTGGTAAATATTTATCTATATATAGTCTTACTAGTTAATTAAATGGAATTGTAAAGGTAATTGTCAAACACAAGAGCATATCAAAGGCCATATTACTGATAAAATTCTATCAATTTCACGTTGTGAGTGTTTTTAGAATTAAGTACACAGATTACCAAGAACTGCGAGCAAATTAGCAACACTTACCATTCATTAACTGGTAACCTAAACCTACCAATCACGTTAATGAAATATAAATATTGATTTAGTCACGCTACACTGCTTTTAATAACTTGTCTATAACAACCATTAAAAGTACCTACTGTATTGAAGCAGCGGCGTCTTTAAAGTATTCATGTAAATGCAGAAAACACAAACTTTGGGTTACAAACATAGAACATTTGTTGTTAAAAATAGTGTTAATAAGTAATAACCTTTCCTGTCTGTAGTTTACGAGGGTAGTACACATTTAAATAAAACACACAGTTTAAAACACGATATATATTACTTAGCGCTAGCGTAGTAGTTTTTACTTTGAGATCAGAGACACCTACCATCTATAGTCTCCCCGTGACCACGACTGCTGCAAAGCATCCGAAACGTCGGGCCGAAGTTTAAAATCATTTTCAAATAAGTTTTACTAATGTATGGCGTTTTAAACCGTTAAAGTGTTTTATTTAAGACAGTATATAAGTTTAACTAATACATACGGTTTAAAACGCGATACATATTAATCGATCGATATATATCGCGTTTTAAATCGTTAAAGTAATAACATATTATCTTACTTTTCCCACATTATAAACTTTATGACATTAAAAAACAGACAAACATAGGTTTTACTTGATGGAAAGCAAAATTAACGAGTTCCTCAATATCTAGCCGGATGCGCTGTCGAGTTATTTCTAAAAATACTGAAAATATGCTAACAAACATATTAAACAAGGAACGTGAATATATTCACATTTAATTTTCTCTTCCGCGTAAAATTGTTTATCTTCCCCTCTGCTTCACACAGCTATATGTGTATAACGTGTGTTATCGTGAAGATAACAAGATGGTACCGACAGACATACTAATGTCCTTAATTTTCGATATGACAAAACATCATCTACTTCACATAGGGTTGAAGCTAAATCATTTTATAATACCTTATATTTCATTAAACATGTGCATGCACATAGTATAGAAATAAAACGAGTGGTCGCATTGCTAACTATTATCGGGTCGTGTGTGCGATCCCAACTGGGTAACATGATTTAAATCAATTCGAACTTCGGCACATTAAATAGATAGCAGAGATGTCAAAATTAGGTCATCAAAATTTCGGTTTCAATCTGTGGATTTTTGAATATCAAGATCCATAATAGGTCATCAGCGCATTTTGTTAAGATGTTTAATGGCTAAGGTCCATCTAGTGTCCTATGTTTGTCTGTTTACTCCGCCATAAAGTAGTCGTACTTGACGCATCTGTATATTATATTCAGCTATAGAAAATCAATAAAAAAATTGTAATGAACATAAAATCAATTTTTACCAGCCCTAGCGAAGACATATACGATCACAATCATTTCTCGTGTGACGTAATCTCTCCATGACGTGGCAAGCATGATAAGAACTTTTTAGACTCGTTTGTAATAAATTAGTGAAAAGGAGATCGGCGCAAAATCTGATGAACACTTATACAAAACTCTATTTAAAACCATTTGGGCTCGGTTTCCTTTCTTTGCTCTAATTAATGAAAATTTAATTAAATGCAAATTGGATTGCCAAAGGGTTTCCGAGCTTCCCTTTTACAGTTTATGATAGGTGCCTATAATATATTTTTTTAAAACAACCTGAATGTATGAGAATTTTATGTAAATTGCGCGTTTATTGATATAATATTTACAGGTAATAATCTTTTATTAAGAAAACCTCTTGCTAGTTATTTCAGTAGGGATTACATTACATTTTTGTTTTAGGAACTATTTCCGTTTATGACAGCATAAGGTTCGATTTATATTCTCGACGCGCGCTGAGGAAATGTCTAGTGTTAAAGTTTGGACAGAATTGATATCGTGTCATAATGTGCCTAACGCCTAATTTAATGGTTTTTATGCTTTTTTAGTTTGTTTTAGAAAAACGAAAAATATATCAAACCTGAAAGTGGTAATCCTTCAACACTGCCACGAGCACGTCGACAAGCTGTCTCCTCTATGCGCGGGCGCAACACGCAGCTCAATGCCTGAATAAATAAAGGAAAATAATCGACCCTTATTATCTATTCGTTGATATTAAAAGAAACAGATTTGATTTTTTTTTTACATATTATTAAACGTGATGGCAATATAAACACGTGAAAAATAATAAAGTTTTTAAACGTAAAACTCTGTAATTTCAGCTTCAATGATTTTCTTAAACTGCAAAGCATAAAACATTGAACCATAATACGCGATTGTTAAGGTTGAAATTACATTGAGAAAGAGGTGCCTATATGAATAGGTTGAAAGAATAGATTGAAGGTTACAGAATACACTGACGTGCAGGGCACGGTAGCTCATTGGTTAGAGCAATAGCACAGATAGCTGTGTTCAAGTCCTGCTCATTTCATTATTTTTTTTTTCAATGTAAAATCAACAGTTTACTCAACAACTTATACCTTAAAATTAGTTTCAAATAGCTAATATACGAATATACCTATTTGTGACAACTACAAAAAAGTTTTAAATCACTTTTAAGTTGTTAAAATATTTCATAAATCCGCCACATTAAATTAGGAATAATTTTAGGTATTTTCTGCATATTAAATAAAGAACTCGTGACGGTTTAAAACTGAAATAGGCAAATTTTTTAACTACTAGTATTATAATTGTTTTATTCGAGAGTTTGACTTCAACAATAATCCTTAGAAGTACGTACGTAGTACTATAGACTATATTAAACCGCGAGAGAGCATGAGTATGTGTATTTAGACCAATTTCTTGGAATTCCTCTTCTGTTACAAATTGCAATATCAATTTCGAATGCTATTACTATACAATTATTGTATTTGTGTTCACCTCGATGTACGTAGTCATGTATATAATTACAATACAATAGAACAGATAGCAAGTCATCTTTGAAAAAGGTTTGCGAAAATTGGGACACTATAACTAGAATAACTATGTTTAAATAAAACACTTTAACGGTTTAAAACGCGATATATTAGTTAAACTTATTTGAAAATGATTTTTAACTTCGGTTCGACGTTTCGGATGCTTTGCAGCAGCCGTGGTCACGGGGATTCTCCAAGTTTAACTAATATATCGCGTTTTAAACCGTTAAAGTGTTTTATTTAAATGTGTACTACTCGCGTAAACTATAGACAGTATTGAATAACTATGTTATCGGATATATAAATAGCTTCGTATGTAAGTAGATATTAGAGTGAAATACAGTTTTTCTTTTAATAATAGCGGAAAGATAAATACTTAGTTAAAAATTGATTTTAGATTGAAAAAAAATTACGACACGGGCAGGAATTGAACCGGTATCCACAGCGATTCTTGCTGTTGCTTTAACCAATTTGAGCTACCATGTCATCGACGATTTTTTTCAACTTATTGATACATCCACCTCGCGCAATGTAATTTAAACCTTGCGTATTCAGTGACAATTTTTGGTATGGAGTGTCGTTTTCAAATTAATGAAATAGAATTTTAGAAGGAAACTGTTTAACATTCATATATGTTATGTACATATTAGCAGAAGCGGAAAACGTTGTTTTGCTCCGCTACTAGTCTGACTAGCCGCGATTCAGCACGACGGCGATATTTTATATCAATTACTTTAAAAGTTCATAATATTTTATACTTACTACTTACTAATAGATTACTTTTAAACAGCCGTTTAAAAGTCATCCAAATTAAATATGAAAAACGTGCATTTACTTTTAAAATTAAATTGTTCCAAGACGTTTTAAACGGTTTTTGTTCATTCTTGATATGTTTTTTTTTATATTTTTATTAATTAATAGTCACGATGAATTAATTACAAAAATCAATTCAGTAATATTATTAGTGTACGTATATTTCTATCAAATTTGAATACTCATCATAAAAACGAATAATGTATACCTCCCAGGCCGGTTCCACTCCGTAAAACTCAAATTGCTATGGAATGTTAAATGTAAATACTGCGCAAACATAAACGGGTTTAATTAAAAATAGCGATAATCAACGTCACTGGTTTAATGTTACAGAACTTTGTTAAGCGGGGTTGTGTCAATAAATCTATATTTATAAAAGAACAACATGTTAATTATGTATACTACTTATGCTCAAAAACGACTGAACAGATTTGGTTGGAAATGTAGTTTAGATCTAGAAGATAACGAAGCAGACGAATTTGCAGGTGAAACCTAGTTTAAACATAAACTCTTAAACGTTAGTTTTGGGAAAATCGAGGCGTGTATTTACCATGGTTCACGTAACATAAAAGGGCTTAGACATAGAATTAGCACAAAGTCGCTATTTAGATATTAGACAAACAAACGCGTTAATTTAATTGTCATAAACGGTTTTCGTATAAACCTGACCTGAAATTAGTTAGTTTATTAATTGTATACATGGAATGGATGTGTGCCACTTTCATGTATACCTTCGTTATAATGCATATTTTCTTAAGTAAATTAAGGTCACGTTCATGAATGTATCCATCTATCAATACAAGCTTTTTTTGCATCTATATATGGACGCAAACTTTCATCAGCTATTTTAGTAATTTTATTTTAATTATATAAATCCATTGATGTTTAAGAACTGTGTCAGAAGCAGCGGAAATAAGGTAAGCAGAAAAAATAATTACGGTCAAGCACTAATGTCGGTTGCGATACCTAGCAGAGTCGCTTACGTTAAAGCTTTAAATATATGTATTCACGATAATTTTAGCACTTGCTATAACTTTGAAACGGTTTTATTTTTGGTTAGGGTTTAAAATATTGGTTTCGATAAAAGACGAATTTTAGGAAACATGTCGCTTACGCTAAAACGCTCGATTTGTTTTTTCAATAAGAGGACCGTCGACCTTGTAGCTCACTTGATAGATGTAATAGCCAGCTATAAAACATCTAATTGAGATGAGCCGACGACCTCTGTTTTATTTGGACAATCGATATATTCACATATATATCAAGCCAGGATAGTATGAAGAATTAAAACTTTTATAGACACAGATGGGAGTATAAAAGTTTTAATGCGAGAACGTATTTTTGTCGGAGCTTCGAGTCCCAACTGTGTTATTTATTTTACTTAACTTAGTTGTAATTACATTCGACAGCCTCTGTAGCAAAATGGTTAAACGCGTTAAGCGCGCGCGATCTTAGGTTCGAATCTCAAGGAAAGAAGCCATTATTTCTCTAAAATTCGAACAATTGCCTCTAAAAGAACCAATTAGTGAAACGGAACAAGAAATGTGATTGCCTCGTGCCACGCGAGGAAACAGGATTTTTCTATTACTAGAAAATATATATTTTTTAAATTTTCCATGAATTTAAATTTATTAGCATTTACATGGCTTCATACAATTATAAGAGTAGTATAAATGCATATGATTGTTTATTTAAAAAATAAATAAGACTAGGAACCTGTTGAAATCCTCTGCGATATCTCGAATTCATGTAGCAGTAAATAATCGGGTTGTAGCAGCAGTGAGACATGGCTAGCCAGTGGCAGATGAACCAAACGTAGGGCATCCCAGGCCACATTGCCCATGCCATGTCGTCCTCGTGAATTGTCCATAGTATCTAAAAATAATACCAATAAACTTCCCACGAAATTGTATATACCAATACATTGGCATCTATTTACAAAAAAAAACGTAGTTTTAAACAGTCTAATTGGTGTTATGGTAGCAATGTACTCGTATAGTTAATAACCAACGGGTCGTGGGTGGGGACTGGAGTATTTCACAATTCATCAAATCTTCTAACTTAACTAAAATATAGTTTTTCGTTTAGTTTTATTCAAACGCTGCAAAACGTTCCAATGGAAATTGTTATAAAAAAAATTGTTGGTCCTATACGATTGCGTTCCACGATCGTTTGCTTCTATTGTAGGCGTTAATTGATTTTTAGATTGTGCCAACTTAACAAATATCGATAACCTTGCTTATTTATAACCTAGAAGATATTATTTACGGCTTCGCAAAGTACGACTAAATACAAGTAAAAAATTATTTAAAATACTCTCCACGTATACGATAACTCTTCTTATATTAGGGATATGTTTGGCAAATTTGAACACGTAATTCAATAGCAATAAAGCTGTATGAAGATAACGGACAACGAAAACATATACTCTTGCAAGCTATGTTTATCTGCAGAACCCTTTCCCGGCAAGTACAAACGAAACATTCCACGTTTATTGCTGCTACGACTGAAATGATTCTGGAAAACTTACGATAAATGCATTCAGAGGAAGCCAGCACACAGTAAATACAACGACAACCGTCACCATCATCTTGATCATCTGAAAGCATACATTATATATACCTTTTATATCTATACTAATATTACAAAGCTGAAGAGATTGTTTGTTTAAACGCACTAATCTCAGGAAGTGTGAATTGAAAAGTTGTTTTGGTATTGTGTGTGTGAAATCCCGTTTCCCCCTCGTGGGGCATGGGGCGAACACATTTCTGTGTCCTTATCCGTTGTTTAGCAGGCAAGTAGTTGATCAGACTTATGTGCCTTGGCCGACCGAAACATTTTTTTTTTTCGTTTAATCAGTCTTGTTTTGGTATTGGTTAGATCATTTATTGAGGAAGGAATAGAACATCATGCTGCGATCAATGGAAGTGAAGAAAGAGTGGAAAGTGTGGAAGAAACGGGGGAAAATTATTCCATTTGAGAGTTTCCGTTGCGTGCGCTGTGAAAATACCAAAAAATGTGTATGGTCTACAAAGAAGGCCGCACATGTCTATCTTTTAAGATTTACTTGCAAGAACAACAGGACGCGAATGAAATCGTAGGTAGCTATAAATAATAAAGATGAGGAGGTTTGCAAAAATAAATTTTGACGGCCCAAAATAACTATTCTAAGCAAGCGAGGTCGCTGACACAGCTCGTATACTTAATAATCATTGCAACCTATGTTCATGTCAAAGATATCCTAAGGAGCTTCGAAAGCTTAGATCCAAGGAAGAAGTTGCAATATGACTTGGTGGGCTTTAATCATTGGCACTATATAAGTTACTAGCTGTGCCAGCGACTTCGTCCGCGTAAAATAGTTATTTTGGGCATCCAAATTAGTTTTTGCAAACCCCTTCATCTTTATAAACTTAAGCTGTTACCCACGACGTCGGTCGCGTCCCTTCCCGTCGTTCTTGCTAGTTAATCTTAAAAGATAGACATTTAGCGACGCAGACTTTTTTTAGATCATTCATTTATACATAATTTTTAGGTATCTTGAATCGTTTTCGCAGCGTACGCATCTGAAACCTACAGAGATGAAAATTTTTTCCCGTTTTGTTCACATTTTCTGCTGTATCTTTGCTTCTATTAGTCATAGCATAACATTTTATAGCCTTCCCCGTTAAATGCTCTAACCATCACAAAAATAATTTTTCAATTTGGACGCGTAGTTCCTGAGATTAGCGCGTTCAAACAAACAAACTCTTCGGCTTTATATATTATTTGAGATGATATAATCATGACATCTAAAAGGTGCAGCAGTGATAACATCTCCTACGAGAAGATACCGGATTCATTTTAATATTCACAGAAAAATTGCATCAATATTAACTGTAGGTATATATTTTTGTGCAAATTTGTATAAATCTCTACTTAAAGAATTTATTTAAATAATGTGTATTTTCTTAAAATAAGGTTAAATATAAAGTGAATTCGAATCCAGTATTATTACAAATGTGAAACTGCTATAAAGTTTCAAAGCGTAGTTTGATTTTAAACAATGCAACCGGAGAATTTTTGATGCGCACACTCTGAAACTAAGCTTTATAACGATACAAAAATAGAAATATGATCAACTGAAACTATTACTGAATGTTTTACTAGTTCATCTAGACATTTGTTTATATATGTATATGGTGTATATTTTGTGTAGTTTATAACAAAATAATATATCAAGAAGAATAAATTTAACCAATACAGTGTAGAAAACATTCCTAGTACATATTATTCATATAATTGTGTATTGTAAATAGCTACATTTCAAATTTTCGCTTAACGTTGTTGATCGTCTTATCAAAGCGAAGCTATATAAGAAAATTAAGCTTGATAGTAATTTAGTCATTGATTTCGTGACAAAAACTTGATCGTAATTCTATGTGCCCTGCCCGACCGAAAGTATTTTTTTCGATTTCGCATTACACGTTTTAAACATTAAGCCACAAACACGGTACCTATTTATATTATTAATATTCTATTTTTAAATATGTATATGTGTACTCTATTTACCGGTTTGTTTTCGTCTATGAAGTATACCTATAGCTAAATATATAAATATGCCATAGATTAAATTTTAATTATACTGTTTACTTGCGTACAAATACCTTTCTCTTTGCTTGTTGAAGACGGGAGTCTCTTACGGTCTGTGCTTCCCCTGGCGGTCTACCACCCCAGACCACGTGGGCGATCCGAGCATACGTCAACACGAGCGCTGCAAGCGGCAAAGCGAACTGAAGAGTCAGGAGTATAAAGGAGTAGTGTTGACTATGTGCAGTATTTTCCCATTGCTCCAAACAAATGTCCCTGGAAGGATCATCCTTTGAAAACTTTTCTTAAATAAAAATTTATATTTAGGACAAAAAAAAAACAGACAAAAGAATAAAAGACTTTACTGCTAAGCAGTTATTTATTACACAAAAAAGGGAAGACCGAAAATATAGTATATATTTAATGGAAGTATAAAAGGGAAATTAAATATAGTATAATAACAATTTTAATAATTAAGTTATTAGTAAAAGTTTATGAGTTTGACTGTCTAACTTATACGCATTAAGAGATAAGTCAGACAGTATCTTTGACTTATTGAATAATTTCGTTCATTAGTCCTCCGTACAATTACTCAAATTGGAAGTAGGTTCTTGTATAATTTGTCAGCTGAAATATATAAGAGTAAATTTAAGTGATATAACGTAACTTATTACTTAGCTTATTCCTAAAATCGTTTTATATATAAATGTTTGATCTATTAAAATACTTACTCCTCACACAGTTCATGCCAAGTAGTCGGTCTCTTGATTTCTGATACAATAAATATTGGCGTAGCGGTAGCACAGGCGCTCGCCCAAACTCCGGCCACAATAAACTTAGCGGCGACACGACCCAAACGGGGTTTTAACGGTCTCATAATCGCCATGTACCTGTCTATTGATATCGCCACTAGTGTGTACGCACTCACAAACACAGACACCGCCTGTGTATAGTTCACCACTTTACACATGATTAAACCAAAGGGCCAATACCTAAGTACCAGCATGGGCACAAAAGAAAAAGGGACACATAACAACGTCATCAAGATATCACCGATTGCCAAATTCATTATAAAATAGTTCGTCACTGTTTTCATACGAGGGGAACTTTGCACTATGAAACATACAAGCCCGTTCCCGAAAATCGAGGCGATAAATATAATACAGTACATGAAATATACTAGGGAGTGAAAAAGGGGCGTCGACAGAAAGTTGACGGTATCTACAACGCACGGAGACTCTTTCGGCCATGTTGAATTCGTTAAGCTGTTATTGATGACGTATTCTGAATTCAAATCTTGGTACTCTTGACTGTCCACCATGATGGTTTTCGTGTCGCCATTCCTTATGCCCCAAGTGTGTATCTGCAAACAAGTAATTGCCATATGTAGAAAGTATGATACTCCTTAGGGTGGCACCACTTGTACACCCTCAACTTACTGAAAATCAGTTTCAGGTCAACACAGATATTAGATTCTGTTCAGATAGCAGAGTTAGATATTATTCTACCAACTCGCAATACACATTCTTATAGTCTTAAGATTAAGTATTTTTCTTGAATACTGTGTGTAGTTTACGCCAGTAAACTACACACAGTATTTAAGAAAAATACTTAAATAAAACACATTCACATTTAAATAAAACACTATAACGGTTTAAAATGCGATATGTATTAGTTAAACTTGTTGAAAATTATTTGAACTACGGCCCGGCGTTTCAGATGCTTTGTCATACACTTGGACGCTACAAAATCAGTTCACAAAGGAAATCTTCAATGATATTCGTATTTAAACAAGAAAATAGTTGCTTGAATCTTGTGTTTATATAAATGTCATAAAGAAACGAAATTATGTGTAAAACAGTATGTTTAAAATTTAAACATAAAGAATGAGTAACCTATGATATAAGTTTACGCTGTAATTTCCGTTGTTTATCTATTCATTCATCATAGAGTTAAAAATATATTACAGTGAAGGAAAAATGGCTTCAAAAGTAGTAAACATATTTCTGAATTAGCTTATAAATTAACTTGTTGAAGGCGCGAGTGGTTTGTTTTTGATTGTTTTATGAGTTTTATATAATAGGGATTTGTTTGACGTGGCAATATTTCGCTATGAATATTGTCTAACGTTTGTGGATAATGTAGGTACAACGTTCGTTTAAAAATGTTTGAATTTCTTCACCAAAGCAATTCGTAAAGCTTTCATAATTATTATCGAAGCTATAAAATTGGTTAGAATTCGATTATTTTTCACTACAACCTCTTTTATTTTTTCATTTTTTTTTTAAACGTAGTAAAACTTTTATAATGGGTAACCTTATATATTTAAATAAAACACTTTAACGGTTTAAAACGCGCAATATATTGGTTAAACGTAATAACGTGCCGTGTTCGAGATTTGCCGTGACCACGTCGTGCTGTATTTAAAATATTTTTTTAATAAATTTAACGAATATATTCTGCGTTTTAAACCGTTAAAGTGTTTTATTTAAATATGCACTACTCGCGTAAATTGCAGCCAGTATTTAACTTTTATGTTATTTAATATTTTATAACAGTTAAAAGGAATAACGGTTCAAGTAATATAGTCGATAAAGTTCTCGTCTAATAGCTATTCTATGCTTTATAAGTTACTTCTCAGTATACATAGGCAATATCTGCGTTGTTATTGCAAATAACTTCAAAATTCCGTCATATTACAAACTAATTTGTTGGCATGTTTCCTCATTCTAAGTTTTCTGTGGCAAATTAATTAAATAAAAACAAGTAATTCGAGCACGCGGCACTTGTATATCCGAGAGACTAACAAACAAGCCGTATATTCACTATTTTACTGTGACATGTAGTTGGTGCTCTTAACGCGGAACGTGTGGGCACGACAAATTTTCCATTAACTAGTACCCGCCCGCCCTAATTATTGTCGTGGCATACATTTTTACAAAATTTAGGCGTTTTGACTTTATTATGATAGAAAAGAACAGACAAGCATGGGTTCACTTGATGGAATACGAAATACCCTATAGGTCGACAGACATTTTTGGCTTTAGATATTCGAAAATCCACAGACTAATCGAAATGCGTTTAAACTTCAGGGCTTGACATCTGTGGACGGTGCTTCGTGATCCGAAATATCTATATTTCCACTTTAATATCCAGATTTCCAGATGAGGTCCAACGTGTGTCAGAAGATTATAGATTGATTTGAGAACTGTTGGACCTGGTGGGGATCAAACCCATTATTATTAGTATTAAAATAACACCACCGTCAATCTTATATATAAAATTCTCGTGTCACGGTGTTCAAAATTGAACTCCTCCGAAACGGCTTGGCCGATTTAGATAAAATCTTTTGTGCTTATCGGGTATATATTGTTACGGCCAACATCTATTTTTCATCCCCCTAAATTTTAGAGGTAGTCCACCCCTAGATTTTTTTTATTTATTTTTTAGACAAAATTTTTTATTTCTATTTTTTATGATACCACATACAAAAATACATACAATGCTGAATTTTCACCCTTCTACGATCAACCCTTATTTTTTAATAACCATTTTAGTAATTTAATCATTTTTCCTCTCCGCAAAACAACCTTTGCCAGGTCAGCTAGTATGCTATAAAATACCTGCAGCGGCAGATCTTGGCTTGAAACATGAAAGTTTCGGCAGGGCAGGGCATAGAAGGCTATTCATGTTTCATATAAGTCGTGATAAGTGTTTTTACCTTAATTGAAATAGAAATTATATTTTACAAATTCTGACCCCAAGTATACTAATATACGATTAATAATTTCAATTAATTTCATTGTAATACAATACTAAATGACTGTAAAAATAAGTCGAGCTTTAATCAGATTATACCTAATTAATAGATATATTCAATAATGCACTTCTATTTACCACTAATAGTGTTGCCATAAATGTAATAATAAAACATTCTCTTCTCTTATATGCAAGAAACTGTTTGTCTTCTACCAATGTACTGCATTTATCTATACTAATATATAAAGCTGAAGAGTTTGTTTTTTCTTGTTTTTGAACTTTTGAACGCATTATCGCAGGAAATACTGGTTCAAATTGAAAATTATTTTGTGTTGGTTAGGGCATTTATTGAGGAAAACACATCACTATGCAACTAATAGTAGCAAATAATAGTAGGTGAAAAACGGGAAAATATTACCTTTATGGGTAATTAAATTATACCTTTGAGGGTTTCATTTCATTCGTTGCGAAAACGGTTCAAGATTCCCAGAAAATATGTATAAAGAAATTAAATCATTAAGTATAACTCGCAAGAACGACGGAAAGTGACTCCCGCGCCGCCGTGGTTAACAGCTATAATTTACAAAAATGAGGAAGAAGTTTGCAAAAACTCATTGTGATGCCTAAAATAACTATTCTACGGGGACGAAGTCGTTGTCATAGCGAGTTGTGTAATAAAATCGATAGTGGTTAGACATTCTTCTTAACTAAACGAAAGGTTTGACGATAATTTAAATTCCAATAAAATTCATTTAAATAAAACACTTTAACGGTTTAAAACGCGATATATTAGTTAAACTTATTTGAAAATGATTGTTAACTTCGGCCCGACGTTTCGGATGCTTTGCAGCAGCCGTGGTCACGGGGAGACTAAAGAGGGAGGATGTCTCTGACTTCGAAGTGAAAAAAAAATTGCTACGCTAGCGCCATCTGTTCCGTCGAAGTTGGTATTTGGCGAAACTGGCTGGGCCGTCGTCGGGCCGAAGTTAAAAATCATTTTCAAATAAGTTTAACTAATATATCGCGTTTTAAACCGTTAAAGTGTTTTATTTAAATGTGTACTACTCGCGTAAACTATAGACAGTATCCAGTAAAATTCGTTACAATTCTCTCGATCATAAAAATGCCCACTGTAGCATAGTGAATTAACAGTCACAACAAATTGTAAGATATAAGGTTGGTAATTATCCTGCTTGAGAAGGAAACAAAAGACAACCTGTTTTTTGAATGAATATTGCTTTAAGATTGGTTGGCTGATAACCCTCTGTTTTCCTTTATATGTTACTAAGATACTGTTACGATACGTGTTTTGTATTAAGCGGGGTTGTGTAAATTGTTCCGGTGAAGAAAATGGAAGTGCGGAATTGAAGCGTTTGCGTGAAAACAAATTTTCGAGTAAATGTTGTTTCGCTTACCGGGCACTTATAAAGGTATATTGTCTATCTGAGAGTATTGATCTAGGGATAGGATTGGATTTCGATTCTTGTGCAACCGACATATTAAATGTTGATAACATTCTGATACTTGCTCTTAAGTAGGCAAACGGCATGTTATAAAACCTTAAATTTTACGATATAGGACGCCCAACATCGAGGCGCGGAAATAATTAATTATAGGCCTCATGATTTACTAGCTGCGTCCGTGATTCCGTTTGCATGAGTAGTTATTTTTAGTATAAAATTATTTTTGCAAACGACCTCCTTAGCGTTATAAATTTTAGCTGTCCACAACGTTGTCCGTGTCAACTCAATCGCATCAACGTTATTATTTTAGACGATTTATTTTTTAAAAGAATATGCAAGGTAATCTTAACAGACATATATGACTATATATCCCGTACATTTTTAGATCATATAAAGACGATTTATGTCATACATATTTTTTTGGTTTCTTGAACTATTTTCCCAACGCACGCAACGTTGGGAAAATGGTTCAAGATGGTTCAAGGTTTTCTCAGTATTTTCCACATTTGCACTGTTCCTTCCTTCCTATTGATCGCTGCGTTTTTTCTGTTTTATAGTGTTAAGCCTTCTTTTTTCAACTCATCGTAATTCTTAAGATAATCGTGTTTAATAAAAAAAACAAACTCGTTAGCTTTATAATATTAGGATAGATTATTGTAGTATGTTGTACGAGTATTATAGCTTCACGACAGCTCACAATTGGATAAAATTAAAACAATTAAAGTTACTTACTTACTTGTACGTGTTGTTTAGATTTGTCGATGAAGAATGATTCCTCTAGCACCTTAGTAAAAGGACCAAGAAAGAGAATTTCTAAAAGGGAATACATTTAAATTCTAAACATGCACCCTGAACTGAATTAACAATTACGACCGGAGTGTTGAAGGTTTGTGTCGAAGAGGGGACTTTCTTTGACCGAACGGAAAGATATGTTTTTTTACGAGATGGTGCCTTAAATATTTATGGCCTGTTGTTAATTTTTATCTTAGGAATCCCAATGTGCTCTTAAAATGACGTTGTTGGTTTAAAATTTATACATGCCTTTTTTTTAAATACCGCCTATAAGAACCGCCTTTATGGTTTGTTGCCAAACCCTTAAAAGTTAAGGAATAACCGACATATGGTTAAGGAAGGGTCTAGG